GTGTCGGAACCCTGGTGGTGGGTTGCGGGATATCAAGGAGGGGCACACTGGGGCAATTTCAGTCCAGCAGGCTGGAGCCAATCATGGAGCAGCACAACAGAGGAAATCAGGTGTCAGGCTAGAAAAAGGTGCAAGTGTGTGGTTCATTAGGCTGCAAGAAATCATGGAGGAGCACACTGAAGCGCACGCTTACAAACCACTGGTAAGTGCTGACTACAAGTCATGACTTCAAATTGTTATATAGAATGATTACAAATTATTTGTTGTTTGTGCAGCTTAGTCAAGAGTCCCTAATTGATGAAGTCGACTCAGATTCTGACGATTTAACTGTCAAGAAGAAACCTGTAAAAAAGTATGGAAAAAGAAAAATCAAAAACACTTTTCTTCAAGACTCGGAAAGTGACGAACCAAAGGCAAATAAGATTGTTATCATGCAGCTGCAAAAGAAGAAAAATGGGGGGCGAGTATACAGCAAGAGACACTTCTGCCTCTACTGTTCAATGTCCTGCCACAAAATGTCCCGTCATTTGACTAGAAAACATGGAAATGAAAGTGACGTAGCCAGAGCATTGGCTCTACCTGTGAAATCTAAAGCACGTAAACTTCAGTTTGATTTGATCAGGAATAGTGGAAACCGTGAGCACAATTTTGAGGTTTTAAAGGCCGGCATTGGAACTTTAGTCCCAGCTAAACAGCCAAATTGCCCAGTTAAATCCAGTGAGTTTTTGCACTGTATAGACTGTGGGGCATTGCTTAAGCGAAAGTCGCTGTGGAGGCATGTGGCCAGGTGCCGGCTTTCACAGAAAGATGCCCAGGCTAAACCAGGTAGAAGTAGGGTCCAGTCCCTCTGCTCCCTAGCCCAGCCTGTACCGGAGGGCATCAGCAAAAAGCTGTGGTCTTTAATTTCGGCAATGCATCAGGATGAGGTCACGGGTGTTGTCAAAGCAGAAAAGGGGATTCTGAGACTCGGAGAGCACCTGTACTTAAAACACGGGCATGATAAGACAAAGCATGATTACATTAGGCAGAAAATGAGAGAAGTCGGTAGGTTAATTAACGAAGCAAAAACCGCAGGGAAACTGAAAACAATTAAGGATTTCTTTATTCCTTCCAACTTTAACCATGTGATTGATGCAGTCAGGTCTGTGGCTGGATATGATGAGGAAACAAATCAATACAAGACTCCATCCTTGGCCCTCAAACTCGGCCATAGCCTCAGAAAGCTAGCAGATATTCTTGAATGTGACTCAAAAATGGAGCATTGTGTTGATGAACTATTTATTAAAAACCTCCAACGAAGCCGGCTGCTTTTTGAGAAGAGGTGGGACGTCTGTGTTTCTTCTGCTGCCCTACAGACCCTCCGGCAAGCCAAGTGGAACACTCCGGACCTGCTCCCTCTGACTGAGGACGTTAGAGCCATGCATGCACATATTGAGGTATGTCGACCTGAATATGTGCAAACCCTAATAAGTGAGCCAACGTCTAAGCATTGGTCTAAACTGGCAGTTTTGACTCTTTGTGAGGTCATCATTTTCAATCGAAGAAGGGAAGGTGAGGTTTCAAAGATGCCACTGACAGCCTTTACCTTAAGAAGTAAGACTGGGATCCATTCTGACATTGCTCTGGGACTGTCCCAACTTGAGAAAAAGCTGTGTCAGCATTTTCAACGCATTGAAATTAAAGGGAAAAGAAGTGGGAAAGTGCCGGTTCTTTTGACTCCTGAAATGATTGCTTCGATGGAGGTGCTGGTGCGCGCTACTGGTGTCAAACTTCATATAAAGCAGGATGTCCTCAGTCAGTCTAAACCCGAAGACCTTAGGGTGGAGTCTGGTGTACTCTTGTTTGATTAGAATGAAAACCTGCAGCCACGCCCCTTACATTAAGCAACATTGAATCTTAAATACAAACTGTTTCTATAATATCATAGAAATGTCTTTACAACAATGACAATAGTTTTCATTTCAAAGTAAAGGAAAAATATTTTACAAAACAAACAAGGAGAGACAGCAGCAGCCATGGAGATAGCAAGCTAGCGGCTAGGCTGGCCTAGGCTGCAGGACCGAAGAAAGAATTTAATCCACAATATATAGTTAAGTGAGCACTGACTTTAGGTTAGAGTTTGTTACAAAGGTTGAAAGATGCAGCGTTTCGCCGGACCTGGTCCCGTACAAGCAGACTCCGGGACCAGACCAACAACCTAAGCTAACCTAACCTATAAGCTAAATTGTAGAGGACTCTTTCACACCTGGCCTTGAATGTGGAGACCGTGTCTGCTTCCTTAACGTGGATAGGAAGCTGATTCCACTGTAAAAGAGCTTGGTAGATAAATGCTCTGCCGCCAACAGTGCTTTTTAAGACCTTACAAAAAACCAGACGTCTGGCATTTGGCGAGTGCAGTGCTCGGTTTGGTAGGAAGAAGCCATTTATGGCTTTGTAACCCAGACATGAATCAGGCTATAGAACAAGAACTTACCATTCCATATTTACTTTCAACTGGTCCGCCTTCTACGTTTCATTAACCTATTGTTATTCCCCGGTTTCATATTATTATAATATTTTTTTTATTTTTTTGCCGAAACAATGTGATTTTTGACCCTGAAGACATGCACGAATGTTTGCACATGGGGGGTCTAAAACAAAATGTGTGAATGAGCTTTTTAGGGAGAAATATTTGTCCGATGAGGCTAGAAATGAATTCACAAATTCAGTGTATTAATTTGAACTCAACGATGTGCAACACACAACTGTGTGGAACACCTACAGGAAGTTCAAGGTGTTGTGTTTTTGAATTTCAACAATTCCCTGGTTTTTCCTCGCAGAGACGTCTACCACGTAATTTTTCCATCTAGACAAATTTGCAGTTATACAGCTATCGAGAAAAAGTTATAAACTCTTCACCGTTTTTGTTCCACGTCATGGCAAAAAAGTCTTTCGTTTTTAGTGTTTTGGCTGAGCCCTGAGGGCCACAGGCTCAGACCTACAGAGCTGAGGCTCACATCACTAATATTAGGTTATGGCCTGAACGCATTCACACTAAAATCAATTGCCCAATATGAGCTCTCAAGCGCCACCTGTCGGAAAGTAATAAGGCACAAGGTGTTGTGTTTTTTAATTCCATCTAGTCCCTGGTTTTTTATCACACAGATTTCTACCATGTCATTTCTCCATCTGGACGGATTGAAGTTATACAATCATCGCAAAAAAGTTTGAATTTCCTCATTGTTTATATGCAAGGTAGCGGGGAATTTCTCCATGTTTGATGCTCTCCTGACCACAGTCTCAGACCTACAGAGCTGAAACTCACATCACTAACAGTTGGTAATGGCTTGAGCGTAATGGTGTGAAAATACACACCAAATATGACTCTACAGCGCCACCTATGGATGGTTTCTGACCTAAACTTTTCCGATCCTCACCAAAGTTGCACAATCAAATCTTTACATCCGTGCGAGCAAAATACTACTCTACGTAGAGGGTGCATGTACCGGAGGTGAGTACTAGGCGCCCACTTAATCCCATTAATGAGCTTTATTGTACATAATCCTGGTCCGATCGGGTTGCCAATTCGTCGGTGAGTACGCCACGTGACGCTTGTGGGACTGGTGCCAGGGAGGCGGCCGCAAGAGTGGCGAGGCCTTTCATCGCTGCTTGCGGCTTTAATTACCTTCAACTTTTCTGTCTGAAAAACTGAAAACTAGCAAAAGGTTTTAGAGCCAGGAACCTGTGACATTAGATGGTTCTTTACTGTGTGGTTTGAAAATTAGGTTAACATTCCTAAACTTTAAATACTGAAGGAAACTCATTATTATTTATATTCACACACTCAATGATCAGCTTTCAGAGATTTGTCAACAACAAATCTTTTTCACAAAGATAGAAATCCTTGTTTCATTCCCTGTTTTGTCATTAATGATTTGAGAAGACTGCTTTTAGTCCTGCAGCCACATGTTACTTTACCAGTGAGATTAGCTGAGTTCTGGCAACCCGGATCACAGACTTTCTGATTGGTGAAACGGTGGAGGGCGGGACATCGAAATGAAAACAATTCCAAGTAATCTATTATCTCGGCTGAACTACTGTTATCAGTTAAAGAAGTATTGGAAAAGAGCATGGTTTATTATTGCCTCTTGACAGATTAGGGCCCTTAATGATGACTTGACATGAAAATCTTACATATTGCTTCTTTAACTTAAAATGTTAAGTAAATAGTGAAACTAAAACACATTTCATTTGTTCAACTCCTCTCTGTATCTGTTTGAGATGACTGCTATAAAAGTCAGTCGAACATTACTATAGCAAAGCGGGTAGAAGTCATTTTGGGTAAAAGTCATTCTGGGTGTGCATCCTGTTCCCGCGGCGCGCAGCGGTGAAGCAGCTTTTACTGTTTTTTCTTTATTTTTTTCAAGCATAAAGTGCAGGTCTCGCGGTGGGATAGGGACAAAGGGCGACTTGTTTTGAGAGGAAGAGGTCGTCTGAATGAACAGAACCTGGTGTTGAAGCTTTTCTGGGGGGGGGCGAGGGAAAAGGGGGGCGGGCGCATGGGCGGGGTGGGGGGGAGCCTGGGGGTTGGGAGATACTTTTTTAAAATCACAAAAACAGTGAAAAACATGAATGTGTGTAAAGTGCTGCAGAACTGGAGAAAGTGCCATCTTGTCATTTATCATCATGATAGTTTATTACATTATCATAATGATATCAGTATATTTATATTAGTAAGTAAGTAAGTAAGTAAGTAATGTTTATTTATATACCGCTTTTCACAGACCAGAGTCACAAAGCGGTTTACAATTGTTATTTTTGGGCACTTGTCCTCTCACTCCACACAGAGATGGCGTCATGTTATCGTATTATTATATTATTATAATATTATATAATAATATTATATAATATTATTTTAGAATAGTTATTTTGTTAGTTTTTTACTCTGCTGTTTTTATTGTAGATAATGTTTCAGTTATTTATAAAAACCTGGTTTTCTGATCTGCAGAATTGACAGGAAAATGTCTCTCAGTCAAACCAACTACAAACTGGACGAAGCTCAGGCCATTTTCACTGAACTCCGCAGCATCAAGAAGGACATCATCTGCTGCGAGAAGGAGAGGCAGGACCTCCTCCAGGTGAGCACCTCCAGCACCTTCTCCAGGAGAGAAGGAGAGGCAGGACCTCCTCCAGGACATCCTTCAGGAGAAAAGGAGAGGCAGGAGCATATTAATGATGAATTAAAAACCTTTTTATATGTGGCCACATACAGTTTCCTTTGATATGTTTAAAATGTATAGAAATATGGAGATATTGAGATACATGTATATTTTTACTCTCAATATCTGAAATCAGTGTCTAGTTTCAATACTAGTTCATATTAAAAAAAGGAGTCTGAGGCACTCTGTTATAGTGAAAAAATAAAAGTCCTTTATTTAAATGGACTGCCTACGCGTTTCAACCAACAGCGGTCTTCGTCAGGGCATAAATAATCACCTTCAGGTGTACCTCTTTTAAAAGCACAACAAGTCACATGACAGGAAGAACATGTGACTAGATTAACCTTACAATTTTTTTAAAGTTTTACAATACATTTTTACACAAGATCACCAGTATGACTCAAGTCAGAAAAGAAGACAAAATATTAAATATTTAGGAAGCACATAAAAACGATGTGTATAAATACATGAAACTGTGTACACTCAAACAAATGGAGCGCCACAGTCAGGAGAGCATTTGTACAGCACTGAGAAAGAAGAGCAGTGTAATGCCAGTTCTTACTTTCATCGATATACATTTTCAAAACATAGAACCAAAGACCACTATCCAAAACTCATAATTCCGAACATCTACAAAAATGGGGTAAAGTCCAGTTCCTCGTTTAGCCCAGGGTGATGTATAGCTCCAAGTGTGTCTATCCAATATGTCTCCCTCTGGAGCAGTTTTTTGAGTTTGTCTCCTCCCCTGAGGTCCATTTTGATTGTCTCTATGACCATAATTTTGAGTCCATTGATGTTGGTATGGTCCATAGTTTTGAAATGTTTAGCTAGCGGATAATCCAGATTTTGAGTTCTGATTGCGTATTTATGTTCGGCAAACCTCTCTTTTAGTTTTCTCTTGGTGCGCGCCACATAAAAGCAACCACATTCACTGTCAATTCTGTACACTACATAGGTTGAATTGCAGTTTGCAAAGCTAAGGCTTTTAAAGGTCCTCTCTTTTTCTAGTTCATATTGCTTTACTTGAGTACCAGATAATTCTCATGATCTGTGGTCAGAGGTGGAGAGCCACACCTGCCTCAATCTCCCCCAGGGCAGCTGTGGCTACAGTGTGTTTTTGTGGTTCCAGAGCCTGGCGAAGCTGACGGAGACGTTCCAGAGCGACGTGTGGGACGTGACCCAGAGTGGGCTGCGGTTCTGCGACACGGGCTCCCAGACCGAGCCGCTGGGAGAGGTACACACACACGCACATGGTGGCACGGGGCTGAGTGGTTAGCACTCTCGCTTCTCAGCAAGAAGGTCCTGGGTTCGAATCCCGCTCAGAACAGGGCCTTTCTGAGTGGAGTTTTCATGTTCTCGTGTCTATGTAGGTTTCCTCCGGGTGCTCCGCTTTCCCCTACCACTAAAAACATTTACAATAGGTACTGTATAAATGTAATGAGTGAGTGAATGGGTGGTGTTGGTTGGGACTTTGATGCGCCAGTGTGTTGCTTCCATAATCACCGTGTGTGGAGAGAATGGAATAACTTTCTCAACTCTGAACCATTGTAAAGCAACCTTGGTCTGTAAAATACGCTATAAAAATAAACCTTACTTACGTACTTACCGCTTACTTTCTCACATACTCTATACCTTTTCTTCAATCAATTTAAATCACAACAGCAGTGTCGATTCACCAACAGCAGATTACATAGAGAATCTGAACACCTGTCTCAGTTCTGTGTAGTGAAAGGACTTCTTCACATGTGTTGAAGCCGGTGCTGCGCCCTCTGGTGGCAGCACAGGAAGCAAAGCCGTGTTCCCACCGTATCATGCATTGCGACGAGTTTTATCGTAAAGTCAATGGTGACCTCCGCCCATACGAGGAAGTGCATGCACGTTGTCACCTTTTTCCGGCGCAGCAGACGCCTTGTTGCAGCTGGGCGGAGGCGGTGGGTACAGCGGTTAGATGCATGCAGCGAAAGTAGGAGGTGAGAGTAAAGGCGCGTTCAGACCAAAAGCTTCAAAAAGCTTTTGACGCGCTTCAACTGACGCCGGGATAGTTTTGTCATTTTGGTGCTTGAAGCTTTTGACGCGAGTGACGCGCCTGACGCCGGTGGGAGGAGCTTCTCTGTTGCCTGTAGTCAGAACAGCGGTGGATTTTTCAATGAGCAGCGAGCCTTTATTTGTTATATAAAGCAAAATAACGTTGTTGTAGGGCTTCAACAAAACATGTTCTGGGTTCACCACAGACTTGAGAGGCTGCAGTGTTTGCAGAGTTCCGTCATTTACTCCAGGAGCTGCGTACGGAGGAGTTTCGCTTTCAGCGGTACTTCCGCATGTCACTTGCCCAGTCTGAGTTCTCAAACCCCGGCTCTCGCCTCTCCCTGCCTCTCCCTGCCTCTCCCTGCCTCTCCCCGGCTCTCGCCCGCCCGGAGCTGCCTTGCTCTGAGCCAGACTCATCGTCAGCCTGTTCTTATTTTAAATAAACTACGTTTACTACACAGCATGTGTACAATGATTTTGTTACTCAGAACGTTACTACTCATACAAATAATATTACTAATAACAATAATGACAATAAAACAGCAGCAGCATGACTTCTCTTCATGACAGAGACAGACCCTCTGCTGCTGCTGCTCCTCGTCTCCTGATTGGTTGAAGCCCGCGTCAAAGCTTCAAAAGCTCAGCTTTGCTCAGCTTCGGCGTCAAAGGGATTGTTGTGATACGCGAGCGTTTCGCGCGTCAAAAGCTTCAAGTGAGCGCGTATTACGCGCGACTCTTGAAGCTTTTGACGCGCGTCAAGTGACGCCGGGGCTCTCGGCTTCACCTGACGCGCTTCACCATTCACTTTCAATGGAAACCTGACGCTTTTGACGCCGAAGTTAAGTCCGGTGTGAACGCCCCTTCACTGAACATCCTCGCTCCACACACGTGCAGCAACCAATCAGAGAGCAGCAAAGTGGTCACGGGGACATAAGCCGGCCCAAAACAGGAAGATGTAGATACTCGAAAACAACCAAAATAGGAGCTAAACCAGGATTAAACCAGGGCCGACAATGGAGGACACGGCGTTTGTGAACATAAGTCTTCAAGTTGACGTTCTATTGTGATTGTAAACAAGTGCTGCTAACGTGTTTGCTGACACGGAAGTACCCATCACTTCCACTCTGCATTTTTCCCAAACGTAGGACAGGACGTCAGATTGACTCATGCAGCTGATAATTACTGAACATGCGTCCATGCCTCAATCAATGTACAACCATGCATCAGCGGTGGGAACACAGCTTTACAGGCAGCATTCTTTACAGACTCTTTTCGATATGGATATCGCACTCACTAATATCACAATAACGATATTTTTTTGATATATCGTGCAGCCCTAATATATATATATATATATACATATATATATATGTATGTGTGTATTCTTCCACATAAAACATGAATTGACAGTAAATCGTTTTAATGGAGATGTTTTTACTGATATTTGCAGTTTGGCTCACAGGACTCGGTGCACACGGTGGACAAGGTGAAACTCCACTGGCAGTACGAGGAGGCCAAGAAGAAGTAAGGGCCTCTGACCCCTCTGAGGGGACCAGTCTGAGAACAGTCTAAGAACAGTCTCTGTGCAGCTAAATACAGCAGGAGAAATGATCCCGAGTCACAGGATTAAATATGATAATGTTGGTATTAAGTTCATCACTTTCATTTTATTCAGTTCAATTTAAAATATTGCCCTAAATCACAACAGTAGTTATCTCTGAGGACTTTACAAATGTTATTTGCCAACACAGATCAGAGAACTGTGGTGTTGTCACTCTGTGATGTCACACTCTGTGGTTCTAACACTGTGATGTCACACTCTGTGATTCTAACACTGTGATGTCACACTCTGTGATTCTAACACTGTGATGTCACACTCTGTGATTCTAACACTGTGATGTCACACTCTGTGGTTCTAACACTGTGATGTCACACTCTGTGGTTCTAACACTGTGATGTCACACTCTGTGGTTCTAACACTGTGATGTCGCACTCAGGGTGCAGAGTATACAGCAGCAGTTGGCTCAGTTGGACAGTGAGAGTTGGAGCGGTCGAGCTGAAGCCGACAGAGACTTTCTGCAGCTGCTGAAGGAGAAGGAGGCTCTTCTGCAGGAGCTCACCCTCCTCAGCAAACACCAGGACAAACACCATCCTCCAGACTCCGCCCTGAGGCTGGAGCAGGAGCGAAGCCGCCTGGAGGAGGAGCTTCAGAGGGCCCATAGCTCCCAGAGCCAGGGAGCCAACCACAGGTACCACCATAGACATGCACAAGGACCACAGGTACCACCTCTGTGAACCATAGACAGAAATAAAACAAAATGTATTTAAAATGTATTGATTCAATATTAGTTTTTTTTGCTGTGTTCAAACTTTTTTCTTTCTCACTGTACACAACATTCCATTAGTCGATTGTTGTACCAGGTGATAGGTACTAGATGACAGGTGATTGGTGCAAAGTGGCTTTAGACTGAAACATGGTCTGAAACACATTGGGTTTATATCATGGTCTATTATAAAAACGGGTTTATATGTTTGTGACGGCTCCCCTTTGTGGACACTCAGGGTTCTGCAGCAGGACAAGAGGAACCTCCTGCTGAGACAACTGGAGGAAGCCACACGCCTCACCACATACCTGCACTCCCAACTGAAAAGGTACCAGCACTTTACAAGCACTTTACTCTAACTCAGACTTCAGTTGGATTGATTTGAGCTTGTGAGTTTGTGGTTTTAAAGTTAGATTTAAGTGTTATTTAATTTCAATTTAATTTTTTGTGTGTAGCACTAATCACAACCGCAATCATTGGTGGACTTTACAAAGTTGTGGATTCACCAACTACAAATCAGAGACTCCAACAGTTTGAACACAGGAATTGTAATAATAACAAACACATAGAGCCATTGGTCCAAAGGGAGCGTAGATCACTGTCCAGAGATTGACAGTGGTCTCTGGATCATAGTTTTTATGTAGATAAGGAAAGTGTTTTTTTCTTTTTGCTGAATTTGGATACTGCTCAAGATTAAGACTCTTCACTTTTTACTTAATCATTCTCCTTCTTGCTGTTAAATTCTGGGATCTTTGTGGCACCTCACCGTCCTCTCAGCCAGCTCCCTGACCCTGTGCTCCTTTGACCCTGTGCTCCTTTGACCCTGTGCTCCACTTGTAGCCTCTCGGCCAGCTCCCTGACCGTCTCGTCCAGCAGCAGTCGTGGTTCTTTGGCTTCGAGTCGCGGATCTTTGGCTTCGAGTCGTGGTTCTCTGAGCTCCATCAGCTTCAGCGACATCTATGGCGTTCCCCAATACGAGCGCCACGAAGGGGACCCCTTGGACCCCCACCTCCTCTACCTCCTGTCCCAGGTACAGCCCCCACCTCCTCTACCTCCTGTGTGTGTCTTTCTTACAGATTTGCTACATCTTGGTTGACAGATTTTAATAATATTGTTAATTGAATTAAATGTAGTGTAAACAATTTCAGACTTTAAAGCTGTCGGTTTGTGGATCTGAAAGAGTTTGTGCTTTGTAGTTGTTAGGGTTAGATTCTTATGGATTCTACTGTCCCCTGTTCTCGCAGGACATGTTCCCGGCTGACACACTGTCCCAGAGCAAAAGCAAACGTCCCCACGACACTCCTCAGTCTCTGGCCTCTCTGTCCTCGCGCTCCTCCTTGTCCTCCCTCTCACCCCCCAGCTCCCCTATGGACACTCTCTCTGTCCCCCACGACTGTCTTCCGGACTGTCCCCTGACGCAGATGACGGAGGAGTACATGGAGCAGGCGGGACGGGGGCTGCTGGAGGAGATCCGGGCACAGACACAACATTCAGCCGGAGCTCAGCTGGGGGCGGAGGAGGCTCCAGGGGAGGGAGAGGCCCCCGCTCAGTCCAGCTCCACAGGTAACAGGGACAGATAGGTGACACGTGTAAGTGTGAGCATCGAGAACTTTTGCAAAGCAGAGTGTATAGAGTGTGCTATAGACACGATTTGATGTTTCTCCCATACTGGTCAGACCACTCTGGTCCCAGTCCACAGGTGGATTTAACCAATGGCAGATTTATCCATGTATCCAAATGGGATGTACAGTTTACTAGAGTTGAGACAGTGCAGACAGTGATTTCTCTCTCTGTGGTCTCCCACTGGGCAGCTGGTCTCTCTTCACCTTGAGGAAAATAATAGCATAAACAAGTAAAAGATCTAAATATTGTGACAGTAAACATGACACACTTAGACTCCCACAGTGATCCTCTCTCTGTCAAAAAAATGACATTCAGAACCTCTATCAAACATCCACAAAGCCTCTTCATTTCAATCTTTGAGAAATAAATTATATACAATTATATTTTCATTATTAGACAAATGTGTAGACAGCCCAAGTAAAGATTAAGATTAAAAGATCTGTTATTTGTCCCACATTGGGGAACAGACAACAGTATGAATATAAAATCTTCTTCTATATATGTAGGGGTGACACTTCGTGGGAACAGTGTGAACAGAAGCGGCAGAAGAACCAGGCGGGTTTCCGAGGGGGTCTCAGAGGACGCCCTGGCCACAGACAGTGGTGTGTTCGAGGCCTGGGGCAGGAGGTAAGAGAAGACTGCTCCCTCTACTGTTACTAGTGCACATTACAGCTGCATTACAATTCTGAGAAAAAGACATTTGGTCAAATGCAATTTAGAACTGAATGTATGTAAAATAACGCAAGTCTGGGGTCAGGTGTCTTGCCCAGTGGGGGCGGGTCCCGGCTCAAAAGTGGCCAAAATGATGTGCGCTGACATGCTTGCAATACCACCCCGGGCCGATGGGGGTGGACCTGGAATAAGCTAACATATAGCGTTGGCAGACCTCTCGAAAACATCTTTACAGGATGGTCCAAAAGTTGGCTCTTGGCCCAAAGCTCCGTTCCACATGTGTGTCAATGCTGAGGGGAGTGAATTTTTTTGTCCACTCTAGTTTACTCGCTGTGAATTTTTGAAGTCTCTCGTTCAAATGACTGACGCTTGCGCCGGCTGACGCATGCACAGATGCGTTTTTTCACAATTTTCTTGTGGGCGGGACCACTCGCGGCCATTTTGGATAGCTCCAGTAGAGCACTATTTTTGACCCATTAGTTCGAATGGCGGAGGTATTCCCCTTAATCCATTTCTGGGTCGGGGGGGTGGCAGTCAGAGCTGCACCCAGTCCTCACTGATCCTCCTGCTGGTGGTGAGTCCACAGGAGCCTTGATCTTCCAGTGGGGCTTTAGGCAAAGTGGGGTCCCAGGCAAAGTGGGGTTAAGTGTCTTGCCCAAGGACACAACGGTAGCAGTCATGAGTGGGAGTCGTGAAGTAGGTCTTGTGGTGGGCTTGAACCCACGACCTTCATGCCCCAAAGGCCAATGCTCTACCAACTGAGCCACTGTCCTCCCAGGCCTAGAGTCTGTAAGAGTTAAACTGAACCCGTCATTTAGCAAGCTCAGAGAGCTTGTGAGTTGTACATGATTTGCACAGTGAACAATTATATCTTTGACCACAACATCAGAAACTTTGAGTGACAGGTGGTTCTGTGACTCAGGGCTGAGGATGCAGAGGACCTCTCCTACATGAAAGACTTGGCGTGTGTGAACGAGCCGCCTGTGATCCAGCTGGGACTATTGTGAGTATGTGATTTAAAGCCACATTATCAATCCATTAAACATGTCTCCATTGTGAACAGGTGGGAGTCGGCCTCTCAGTCTCTGCGGCTACATCTGCTGCAGCTCAAGAATCTAGACAAGTCTATGGTGAAAGACGGTTTTAAAGTGTGAGTACTGAACCTCACGTCCACCGACCTCGGTTTAATCCTCAAACTCAGCACAAAAGCAGAGACTGTAGTTCTCCTTTGTACCAATAGGTGGTGGTGTTTCACTTCTCTTATCATCCATATATTCTAGTATCTCTAGCAATATTTAATATATGTTATTTCTGAGTCAGGACGCCTCCCTGGGGAGGTGTTCCGGGCACGTCCCACTGGGAGGAGGCCCCGGGGAAGACCTAGGACACGCTGGAGGGACTATGTCTCTCAGCTGGCCTGGGAACGCCTTGGGGTCCCCCCGGACGAGCTGGAGGAAGTGTGTGTGGATAGGGAAGTCTGGGCGTCTCTGCTTAGACTGCTGCCCCCGCGACCCGGCAACGGACAAAGCGGAAGAAAATGGATGGATGGATGGATGGATATTTCTGAGTTTGTTTTTCTATTGTTTGTTGTTTGTATAATGCTATGCTAATATCATTATTTCTGTCATACTTTTGAAGCAGGTTTCTTATTTGTTTCAGTTTAGTCTTTATAGTTTAGTAAACACCAGGGGTCTCCAGGCGTCTTTTCCACAATTTTTAAAGTTAGTTTAAGGTCAGACTTTTTCAGGTTAAAACGAGAGAATCCTTAAAACCCAAATTTCAATTATTTGATGTCCTTTTTTCTGCACAAACTTCAATATTTACAACAGTAACATGGATAACATGACATTTTTATTATTTGTAATTTCTAAAACCTTTGGGGAGCGACTGATAAGCCTGAGATACAGGTTGGACACCCCTGGTGTGTCTCCTGTGTGCGTCTATACCTCACCCTCCCCTATGTGTGTACCTCCCCCTCCTCGCCCTCCCCTGTGTGCAGGTATGTGAAGGTGCACCTGGTTCCACTGGATGTGTCTCAAGCGTGTGCGTTTTACTGCTGCGCGGCGCTGGAGCCTCAGATTGTGATGAGTCTTAACGAGGGGTTCCGGATCCCGGTCCCACAGAACGCTCTATCCCTGAGCTCGTTACAGCTGTCTGTGTGTGCACTGGGACCTCAGGCACAGGACCATCTGCTGGTGCGTCTCACCCTGTACCAGGGGATTATGATTCAGTCTGCATCAATATTAGGGTTGCAAAGAGGTGGAACATTTGTGGTATCCCTGAAGTTTATTTCCATGGAAAGTTAAACTGTGTTAAACATTAACACTCACATTATAAACATGCTAGCTTGTTAAGCATCTAACTCATCAGTTTGCTATCTACTTGATTAATATGTTTGTTTAATTTAAACTTGTAATCAATATATTATTTTATATTATCATCAAATGCGGTGTTTGGTTCTAAAGTCTGGTCCAGTCCTGGATTCTACTGTATGTGATGGAGGCACAGGGCCAGTAGGGGGAGCCCTGTCTCTGTAGCAGGGGGCTGTGTGTCTATGACTGGGAATGACATTACTATTTTGTGGTGTGAACAGGGCAAAGCACAGCTGGGTCTGTCGGACTGTGAGAGGAGCTTGGAGATGTTGTACCACTCTCTTCAGCTGCAGATCCTGAGTCCAGAGTCCGAACCTGATCCTAGACCTGATCCCAGACCTGATCCCAGGACCCAACAACAAAAGGAGGGCCCAGAGGAGAGACCCCGTGTCCTGGTAGATTCACAGCAGAAGTATGACAGTAGAATCCAGGTTAAAAACAGATGCACTTTGAGTTGCCTTGTGTATGAACTGAGCTATACAAATAAACTTCCTAAGAAGTAGTGGACAGAGTGCTGACGTAGTTTGCCGAAAGTAGAAGAAGAGCTCACTTATGTTGAAACCAACACAGATCAGAGAATCAAACCGTTCGAACACAGGAAATGCAATAATAACATAGAAGCTAATGGTCCATATGCAGCTGCTCATCAATATCAATAAATGCTCATCAATATAAATAAACACGGTGCATGAGGTTTTGAACGAACCAATCATCTTCCTTCTGCGCCTGAATGCTGCTTTGGCCGAATTCACAAGTGAGAACGTGACGTAAGCACTTCCGTCCACGGTTTATGATGTATAATTTCGGCTACCTTCTCAGTTCAATATATAAGACAAGACATGTTTATTTGTATTGCACAATTCATACACAATGCAAGTGCTGAACTAAACGGGATAGAAACAAGGGATTCAATTCATAAATAATCACAGTACATTAAAAAGAGTAAAGATACAATCTGTCAGCAGCGAAACACAACTTTTTTTTAACCTGGATTTGAACATTGTCAGAGAAGAAGTCTCACAGTTTCAGATTTCATTAAGTGTAATGCTGTATATCTGTCACTTCAGGACAAGGTGTGTAGTCTGTTGTCCCGATCCAACTCTCACCGGGACGATCCGGAGACTCAGAGGAACAAGGAGCAGCGGCAGATGGAGAGGTGACAGTTAGTACAGTTTACGAGGCAGAGCCTGGGGCCTGCGGAAGGCTAATATGTTATACCTGTTAGCTTTAAGTCAGGTATAACACATTAGCCCAGACTTTTAGTGTCGACTACGTCACCACAAACTCCTTCTCAGTGGATGTTTGAGACCGTGTCCTGTGTGTGTCTGTCAGGGGCTGGCAGGCCGAGTCTGTGGACAGTGGCTGCAGTAACAGCATCGCCTTCACTGCGCTCTGTGCGGAGGGGATCTGTGCTGACGGGACGTGTCTCACCACTGGTGGGCGCTATGACATCTTACCCACCAAACCACCTGCAGTCAGGGTAAGAGGAAGTGTGGCTGAAATAAATCTCAAGTTTAAACTAATGCTTGTTGATGTTACTCATTGAACTGGGCTTGAAAATCAGTTTCATGCTCTGTGTGCTCCTGGTGTTTTTATTAGGCACGAGTGTCGAACTAAGGGACTATTGCTTTCACAATGGTGAATGCAAGAGGTTGCCATGTTGTCCTACAGCTACAATATATAGTACACATATTTGTCACCTAAATACAAAGTTGTATAATAGCCATACCCCCTGACAAACCGGAAGTCCATCATTTTGAAAAGACTTGAAATCACACACATTGTATGAACATCAACTCTGCCTCAGTCGTTTCACAGATTTAGCTCAAAATCGCTCCACATCGTCTAAACACATGTAGCATCTAATGTTATCCACAGAATTCTAATCAGTTAAACAGTGCATGAGCTGCGCACCAAACTATTTCAAGGCTTTTTTGAATTGGAAACTTTTTGGCCGATTTTCACAAAATTTGAATCGGTTGTTCAACTCCTGAGTAGGGTTGCCAACCGTCCCTTAAAATATGGAATTGTCCCATAGTTTTAGAAAAACTATGTGCGTCCCGTATTGAATCGATTTTCAGAGTCACCTTAAATGCATCACTTACTCACTGCGTGTCACACACACACGACACACACAGTAATCACAGTTTAAGCATCTACCTTTCTGCCAATGAGTGTCAAAGGGGCGTAGGCTCGATCACATCCATGGGCTTAATGTTGACAAGCACCAGCGTGGGCCACCATCAAGTTTGGTAACGTTAGCATCACAGGTCAATAGCTCATGAAAGCTACTTTCTTAAACAAAAGTAATTGTGCTAAAATGATCTACATTGATTTTTCAAATCCAATGCGTTGTTTTAATGCAGAGAAATCCATTAAATCCAATGCACTGCAAGCGCCGAGAAAAGCGCTTAGGGAGCGTCATCAAATGTCCAGACCAGCTTTGTAAACAAACAATAGCTTTTACTGAAGCCATGTACACGCACTAAACTCTCAGACACTATAAGACCATGTCTTCTAAAAACTGTGATTATGAAATTCCATGATTACTGTGTAGTTTGAAATTAGAGCTAAAAAGTTCTCAACCCGATCCACCCAAATGGTGTCCCTTATTTTTCTGTTCTGAAGTTAGCAACCCTACGTCTGAGTCTACGTCACCTGAATGTGAAAAAAATGAAATTGCAGCATTAGCTAAGACTGAACCAAAGGTAGACAACTCCACCTCGGTTGTTTTACAGATTTACCTCAAAAGTGCTCCAGATCATCAACACACATAGTATCAAAAGTTAGCAACAGAGTATTAATCAATTAAACAGTGAGCAAGCAGCCAAGCTGAACATTTTGAACTTTTTCTACCCAAATTTGACAACTTCAAATTGGATCCTGTTTACTCATATACAGTTTGTTTTGCACCAAACTTGAATTGGTTGTTCATATCTTGGATCAAAGTGAAAAACATGAAATTGCAGCGTTTGCGCCCCCTGCAGAATGAGCCAAAAGTATGCATGGGTAGGAAAACATTCCAAATCCCAGAGAAACTCCCTTGCATTTATGACTCTACTTGTAAAAAGGGTGATTTTACTGAAGTGGAAGTCTTCACAGCCTCCATCTTTGGCACAGTGGTTTCGGGATGTTTTTTTACTTAATCAAACTGGAAATAATTAGTAGGGGTGGATCCATTGATATTTGCTCCTGTTTACTCATACAATGTTTGGTTAGCACCAAACATGAACCGGTTGTTCAACTCTTGGATCTAGGTCAGTTGAAAGTGAAAAAAAAAAATAGCACCCCCGTACAGAGTGAACCAAAGAATTTTAAGTACACTTTGCTAAACCAGCCTCGGTTGTTATGCCAACAGGGCTCAAATTCGCTCCACATACTGTAAACAAGTGTGGCATCAAAAGTTAGATACAGAATTTAATTGTTATTAGTTAAATGGTGTGAGCGTGGCAGATTTCTGGCTCATTTCTATAGAGACGAAAGAAAATTATTATTGTTATAAAGAAATTGTTATACAATGGAGACACACACTCACGAATCATAGCGTGGCAGCGCCACCTCCTTTGCAGTGCGGCGACGGCCTTTTGATTTTTTTTATTGTCTTTTAAATCAAGATATGACTCAAACAACTGACTCTTTCATCTAAAGCCTTTTATCCACAAGCCTTAGACAGACCTTGAGTACTTTTGAAGATGTTCAAATTTCAAAATCTTCTGCCACTCTCAGATGTTTGGTATTGGATTTTTTACTGAACAAATGTGTAAAAGATCAATAGCTATTAGAACAATACAATAGATTACCACTACCTTCAGACCAGAGAGAGATCAGAAAGAGAGACCAGAGATAGACCAGAGAGAGAGATCAGAAAGAGACCGGAGAGAGACCAGAAAAAGATCAGAGCGAGACCAGAGAGAGACCCTGCTCTGCATATCCTCTCATATCATGTCTTGCTGTGCTGCAGGTGGAGAAGGCGACCATGACCGAGGGAGGGTTTGCAGAGGCGATGCGAGTACGTCCCAAGGACAGAGGGGGGCGCTGGAGCCACTCCCCATTCATGAGAGGCAGCACCATCGTCCGCTCACAGACCTTCTCTCCAGGGGCACGCAGCCAATACGTCTGCAGGGTACCCACTCTTTCATACATCTACACAGTACCCACACTTTTGTCTGTCTGCAGAGAAAGAGAACCCTGAAAGAGGAGTAAATATGTTTTTGCTTGAACGTTTACACATTTCAACCTCGAGAGAGACGAACAGACAAAACAGGGTTTATTATAATTGAATATTTGTGGAAATTAATCTGATTGACTACATAAATGATCACATACAACCCTGAAGACGATGTCATGACAGATTTCATTTGTTGCTGCTGAACAGAAATGTGGTTAGATTTGGCTTGGACCCCGGCAGAGACCTGTGATGATGCAGAAGGTAGTTCATCTACCTACCTACCTACCTACCTATAAAGATTATGAGATGAAATCTCCTGGGCCCAGACCCTGATGGTGGGAGCGAGGAGAAGGTGAAAGAGCTGGTCCTGAACGAGGAGGAGATGGGGAGGAGGAGGTTTGATGCATGAATGAAAGCTGGAACTGGAGGCCTTTTTCCAATTCTTCTGCCGTCTTTAATGTGAGCTGATGCAACTACAGAAGAATCATGCATTCACTTTAATAATGCATGCAAAGCCGCACTGGACATTGTTGCTCAGATAAAAAAAAAAGGCGTAAAGCTGAGCCTTGGCTGAATGAAATGACGCAATGAGACAATTGTTGAAAGACGCATGAAGAGGATGTGCCAAGTCTGGGATCGTGTCTTAAATTCAGACAGAAGACATGTTTTATTGTCGATGGTAGAGACAGCACGAACAAAACACACGATCACAGATACAAGAGAATGCAAGTGTATTATACAGAGCGGAGGCATGGAGACCTCCAATCAGCAGCTTCCACGGTGTGCTTGTAGCTTGGCCTTCAGATAGACAAAACAAGGGAAAAGTACTGGCTTCTGCACATTGATAGAATGATGAGTTTAACTTTAACAAAAGTTGCTTCAAAGTGTTATGAAATCTCACATTCCCCCCTCTGGTCATACATTCACGTGTGACCATCAGGATCGATAAACAGCAACATAACATCATAACTCAATACTTCAAAAACTCATAAACTCGGTACTTCACTCGGTACTCGGAATACTTCAAAAACTCAGAAAACTCATAAAACATGTTCAGATCTTTCATAAAACTCGTCAACAATCTTCAGTAAAATACCAAACTTCATCAGTCGATGGTGGTTCCAGATATTGCTTTGAAAACAGTCTCTCCCACTTCTCCGTGTTGGTTTCTTCAGGCTGCATTTGTGTCGAGCCATGAATTCTTCTGTGACGTGTTATTTCAATCACACGTTTCAGCTTCAGTGTCCAGATTCAGCAATTCAATTCAGTCCAAATTATGTCCAAATTCAGAAATCCAGATTGTTCCAAATGATGTCCATGCAAAAGAGGACGCTGGTGTTGTCCATGTCTCAGCAGCTCACAGCCTGACTGGAATCAGGGGCTGTGCAGATTGTCCAAGTGTGCTGGTCCAGATGCATTCTCTTGAGGTTTTTCAGTTTTGGCTTGAAAAAAAAAACACTTTTTGTGTAAAAAAAAAAAAGTCTTCTGTTCTGTAGATGTTACAGACAATGCCCGCATCCTTCCACCACCTGAAGAGGATATGCCAAGTCTGGGATCGTGTCTTAAATTCAGACAGAAGACATGTTTTATTGTCGATGGTAGAGACAGCACGAACAAAACACACGATCACAGAAACAAGAGAATGCAAGTGTATTATACAGAGCGGAGGCATGGAGACCTCCAATCAGCAGCTTCCACGGTGTGCTTGTAGCTTGGCCTTCAGATAGACAAAACAAGGGAAAAGTACAGGCTTCTGCACATTGATAGAATGATGAGTTTAACTTTAACAAAAGTTGCTTCAAAGTGTTATGAAATCTCACACACACTTATGGTATCATTTCAGATAATGCAAGCTAGTTGGCACTCTTTCAAAAACTCTGTTACAGCAGCTAAAACAAGTCATTTATCTGATATTATTGTTTCTAATGCTCTCAATCCAAGAGTTCTTTTTGAGACTGTTAAAAAGGCTCTTGATGCCCCACAACAGACCAGTTTGAGCCAGTTACTTTGCCCTTACTAGTAAAAGTAATGGATCAGATTAAACTCACAGGCTCTCCCAATGATGTGATCCCCCTCGTCTTTTTAAAGAACTGTTTCCTTTATTGGCACCTCATGTTCTGTCCATTCTTAACGGAAGCCTGGCCAGTGGAGCTGTTCCCTCTTCCTTTAAACATGCCCTTGCTAAATAAATCAAACTTGAGCTAAGCAACTATCGACCTACTTCTAAGCTCCCTCTGGAAAATGATGGAGAAATGTTTTAAACAGTTTAAAGGTTTTTAATTAAAATTTTCTGGCAATGGACGCTGCCCACACTGCTGCTTTTCTTCTGTTGGATCTTACTGCAGTATTTGATGCTGTGGATCACCTCATTCTGCTGTCCCGCTTGGAGAAATATGTTTGCGTTCGGGGGTGTAGCCTTGTCCTGGTTCAGGTCCTATTAGACTGACAGGAGGTTTTTCGTCCAAGTTGATGATGCTGAGGCCCGTTTAGACGGAGACGCTGTGGCAGTAAAATGGGATAGTTTGGTGTCGGTTGCTACTTCCCTTTTACATGGAGACAGTGTTTCAGGGGGGTGAAAACGTAAGCGTTGACATCCAGATACAGTGTGGAACAGCTCAGATACGCTGCTCAGCAGGGCGCTCTTTCACTCCCCGAATGAAGAAAAATGTGTGAATTCTCTGCCCGTTTTGACCCCCACTTCGCCACACGTACATTTGGACATGCGCAGTAGCCGAGAGCAAAGGTAAACAACAATGGCGGTGGGTACACTAACTATGTGTGCTTTGAGCGCTACACAGAGGAGAATTCTTCTCCTTCGTTCGTCCAAACGAGACCACGCAAAGCTGTAGTTTCAGTTTATATTTTTGCAGATGCTGCTAAATGCAGAATGATGTTTGTGCATTTTTTCACGTGGCCCGATGAGGATTTTGTTGAGGAAGTGAGTATACTGCTGGGGGTCGCGTGTGCAGTGTTGTAAAGTCTCTCTGCCCACTACTGGCCGAGCACTAGAACTACATCGTTTTTGATCCTCGTATGAACGCTGTGAAATTTGCATAAGGAGCCTGGTTGTTTCTGTTAAAAGCTTGGCAACGTCTGCGCAGCGCCTCCGTCTAAACGGGGCCTTAGTCCTCCCTGGCTTTACTAACCTGCGGGGTTCCCCAAGGGTCAATGCTTGGACCTCTACTATTCTCTACATATTTGTTGCCTCTTGGAGAGATTCTACGCAAACAAAGTTTCGTTCCATTTGTATGCAGACGACATCCATTTGGATGAGGTTAAAACATGGATGGCTTTTAACTTTTTGCATTTTAGTGACAAGTAGACTGAGGTAGTCATCTTGCCATCCATGGACAAAATAAAATTGTTTTTATTTCATCATAACTTTGAAATTTTAATCCATGCTGAGTTTAATCCAGGCTTGTGAGTTTGCAATCAGTGGCTCCCAGAGGAATTCCCTGTGGAATGGCCTGCCTCTGCACATTAGACTGACTGGTGGACTCACTTCCTGCTTTTAAGTCACCTCTTAAGACTCATTCTTTTACTTTGGCTTTCAACTCAGTGGGTTGACTTTCTGTGCAATGCTTATTCTTGTCTAAAACAACAATACAATATAAAAACATATATGTTTTTATATGATAATGTTTTTTTTAGACTTTGGTCAACTGTGTTTTTTTTTTTTTTTAATCTGATCTATAAATAAATTTGAATTGAATTGAATTAAATGAGAATGGGCAGCTTTAGCATCAGAGAGGAAACTCCAAGCTGTTGTAGATGTTTAAGGGAAAACACAGGAGCACTGGGGGATGGAGACTAATAATCAGCCAGTGGTTCAAAATAAAAACATGTTGTGTCTTTGTTTAAACGTTCAAACGCAACATAAAGACTCTGGAATAAATATCTTTGACTTTGTCTTCTATCAGTACTTTAACTTCTGTCAGTAATTTAACTTAACTTTAGAGTGGGGCCTTTAATTCCAACGGTCATGTGACCATGGAAATGTAATGGGTTTTTTTATTCAAGGTTTTGTTGTTAAATGTTTTGAACATGTATTTAAGATAAAAAATAAATAAAAAACTTTAACTTGGACTTCTCTCCTGCAGTTGTACCGCAGCGACAGTGATAGTTCGACTTTACCAAAGAAAACTGCTTTTGTTCGAAACACGGTGGAGAGGAGGACGCTACGACACAAACAGGTGACACTCAAACCTCACTCAGAGCCTCAGACACTTTGTTTCATATACATTCACACATGTTCTTTGTTGTGTATACTTGTATACTATGTGTAAGTGCATACACACATACAAATATACAGTATTTCACAGTATGTAAATGTATCTTTTTTTTTAAGTGATGCTAGATTGGTGCAATAATCTGAATTTCTATCAGAAGGTGTAATATAGAATCACACTGTGTCCCAGAGCCTCATGCTGCTAACATGCTATCGTGCTAACATACAACTATATATGTCTGCATCTTAGACTTGCTTCTTTATGCAACGCTGGCATTTCCCCACTGTAGGACAAAAAAAGGATCTATTGATCTTAACGTTGGTGTGTGTCTGTGTGACTGTGTGTGTCTCTGTCTGTCTGTCTTTGTGTGTTTCTCTCTCTCTCTCTGTGGCTCTCTGTGTGTGTGTGTTCGTGTGTGTGTGTCTGTGTCTGTGTCTCTCTATGTGTTTTCAGCAGTCATACCGCTCGTCGCTGCCAGAACGTCCCACTCGTACGTCTCTGGACCTGGAGCTGGACCTCCAGGCCTGCAGGGTGCGCCAGAGGCAGCTGCTGGAGGAGCTTAGCGCACTGCGGGAACTGAAGCAGCGGTTGGAGGACCCTAAGAACAGTGAGAACCGAGATAACCAAGAGCACCGAGAGAACCCGGAGAACCGAGAGAACAGAGAGAACCGAGAGAGCAGAGAAAGCAGAGCCCCAGAGCCGCCTCACTGGGCGCTCCGCGACGAGCGCTTCACCCGGCTGCTGAGGGAGGCGCACAGACAGGTGAGTTTAGAGAGACCTGTGCTTCTCTCTGGGCTTCAGCAAGGCGCCCCCAGTCCATCAGAGTAATAAGTGATGTCACAGTTGCTCTTAAAGAAGTCATCCTGTGTTATGATGTCATTCCAGGCGAGCCAAAGCAAACAGGAGCAGCTCCAGGAGGAGGCAGCGGAGCGGAGGCTGAGGAAGGCGTCCAAAGAGGTGCTGCAGATGAGGGGGCAGAGCAAGGAGCCGCTGCCCATCCAGACCTTCAGGTGAGGGACTAAAAACAATATCTCTGCTTTGTTCTGGTGGCAAACACTGGGACACAGTTGAGACTCATACGCTCATACGTTCACAGTGTCATCCAGCCAACTTCAGATGGCTGAAATCCAGTTGTTCACTTAGCATCTGCCCCACTTGGGTTATGAGTGCCCTCAACAGAAAAGTACCCTCCTATAGGGGAGTGCACTTGTAGGATAGTCTCCCTAAGACTATTGAGCAAACGTCACCACATATGAAACCAACACACGCTTAAAAAAAACTCACACTCGCTTCAAAGCTTCCACACGTTCAGCACGGGCTGAACAGGCTTTAGATCTTTGTTTTTGATTGTGTCACATCTAATGTAATCAATCAATCAATCAATCAATCTTTATTTATAGGGCGCTTTTCCTGCACAGGGCAACACAAAGCGCCTCACAGTCCACACCACACAATGCACAAATCATCACCATTAAAATACAATTAAAAACACATATGTAATTAAAAAGCATTAAAATCACATAAGTAATTTAAAAACATAAGAATCACACAAGTAATTAAAAACAATAAAATAGTTAAAAACACAAAAAGTTACAACAATAAATAACAAGGTGTGTTAAAAAGATAAAATTCTTTAGTTGTATGCACAGGAAAAAAGAAAAGTCTTTAACATGGATTTGAACATTGACAGAGAGGCAGCCAGTCTCACATCCTCAGGAAGACTGTTCCAGACTTTAGCTGCATAAATCTGAAAAGCAGCCTCCCCCTGTCTAGTCCTGACTCTGGGCACTAACAGGAGTCCCGTCCCTGCGCTCCTCAGAGTCCGGGATGGTTCATATGGGACTAGCATATCATGGATGTACTTTGGTGCAAGGCCATGGAGAGACTTGTACACCAGGAGAGCTGCTTTAAAGTCTATCCTCTGGGCCACGGGAAGCCAGTGCAGAGACCTGAGGACCGGACTAATGTGGTCGTACTTCCTGGTTCTAGTCAGGACTCGGGCTGCAGCATTTTGAATATACTGCAGCTGTTTTACTGCATGTTTGGAGATACCTGTGAGCAGGCCATTGCAGTAATCCAGCCTACTGGAAACAAAAGAATGGATAAGAATCTCCAAGTCTGCCCTGGACACAATATTTTTAATTTTGGCAATATTTTTCAGATGATAAAAAGCTGCTGATGTTACCGATCCAATGTGGCTATTGAAGTTTAAGTCAGAGTCCATTATTACTCCCAGATTTCTGACCTTATTTAAAGGCCTTAGGGAGAGAGACTGAAGGTGACAAATGACGGTCTCTCTTTGTTTCTCGGGACCAAAGACAATCATTTCGGTTTTGTCCGCATTTAGCTGGAGAAAATTGCATTGCATCCACTCACTGATCCGCTGGATACAGCGAAGGAGTGAGTCCACCGGTCCATGTTCTCCTGCAGTCAGTGAGACATAGATCTGAGTGTCATCAGCGTAATTGTGGTAGGACACTTTCATACTTTGAATTAACTGACCTAATGGCAGCATGTAAATATTGAACAGGAGAGGTCCCAGAATCGACCCCTGTGGCACTCCGCAGGTCAGGGCCATATTATCTGAGACATAGTCTCCAATCTCCACACAATACTTCCTTTCTTCTAGATAGGACCTAAACCAGCTTAGGGCGGTACCAGCAACACCAACCCAGTCCTCCAGTCTCTGCATGAGAATCTCATGGTCAACGGTGTCGAAAGCGGAACTCAGATCTAACATGACTAAAACAGAGACTTTTCCTGCATCAGTGTTAAGCCGAATATCATTTGTTACCTTGACTAGAGCGGTCTCAGTACTGTGGTGTGGTCTAAAGCCAGACTGGAACATGTCAAATGAGTCATTAGATATTAAAAATTCAGTAAGTTGTTGGTAGGCAACTTTTTCAAGAATTTTTCCCATGAAAGGCAGATTTGAGATGGGACGGTACTTTTCAAGTACCGCAGCATCCAAACTGCTCTTTTTTAGGAGGGGCCTGATGACTGCCTTTTTCAGGGCCATTGGAAATGTTCCAGATAAAAAGGACATGTTTACTATTTGTGTCAATGAGGGTAATAGACTACACATAACAGACTTCAGAAATCTAGGAGGTAGTACATCCAGACTGCAGGTAGAGGAACTAAGACCTGTGATTATCTTTTTAACAGTTTCATCAATGTAAAATGTAGCTGCTGAGTTATAAACAACACAGACAACTTAATTATTTGACATTTACCTGAGTGAGTCTAGACCAAGCACCGGCGAACCAAGATGGCGCCCTATTCAAATCATTGACTTGTTTTGGCGGAACTTGCCCATGTTTGGTCATATTTAGTCTGCAGTACCACTATTGGATGGGGTATTAATAACTTAATACCCCATCCAATTCCAATATGCATATAACCCTGGATAGGGTATTGATGTCTGGATTCATGAAGAACCTCCAGAGAAGGCAGATTACAGTCCTCTTTTCAGATCGAAGCACCTTTTTAGAGCTCTCCTTTCTTTGGCAGTGATGTCACCAATCCTTTGTTCTTCCTATCTTCCAGTCTGAACCGCTGCTTTAGCGTCGTATAATAAATACATTTTGTTGGTTTTGAGTCTAGAAAAAGTTAAATGTTTATCGTCAACACCGGTGGCCATCGTGGCGAGCCGCCGTCGTGAGCCTTAAATCACGTCACACTGTAATGAAGAATTATGATTGACTGCGTCACCGCCGTCACAGTGCGCCGCCATTGTTGTAGGCTACATTCCCATCGCACACGTTGGACTAGACTCGAGAGAAAGTGTGAAGCCACTGACCACAGGCGTATGCTGTGTATAGCACTTGTCTCAGACCAGGGTTTGGTCTTCTGTTTGTTTATTCTTTTTCTATTCTATCAGACATTTATATATAAAGTTTAGCTATATCAATCGATATCATGAAAAAAAGAAAAAAAAATCTATGTATTATGTCCTGTGTCTGCGACAGAGAGAAGATGGCGTTCTTCACCAGACCTCGCTTCCACATCCCTCCTTTTCCAGCGGACGACGTCTGAACAAAACAAACATGAAGTATTTGAAGATGAAGGACGTTCAAACCTCAGAGTGTTTTCTCAAATATGTCTCCTTTTCTACGGCAACAACGTCGCCTCCTGTTTTCTCCTGATTTCTTCTGTTGGTACAGAAAAGGCTGAGGACACATTCTCTGAACTGTAACTTATTGTATCGTACTTTTCCTTGAAGGAAACTGAAAACGCTTCTTTGAAAGTGTTTTTCTTCTTTTGCTTTGAACAAACAGCACTTCAGTGTTTTACCAGAGTTAAACAAATGTCACTTTGTAATCCACTTTTATTACATGTCTTTTGTCTTTATGTATTAAAATTAATATTATTTCATGTACTATTCAATATATCGATAAATATATAAGATATGGTTCAGTTTTTCTTTTGTAATAGAAAAGTATGAACAGTCAAACAGCGCTGCCTACAGGTAAGAAACTACACTTTACACAAAAACACTGGCCTCTGCAGAAGGGCACCACTCATGGAAGTATCTTTTGATTAGTGAAGTTTGATTGTATGAGTCCCTCCCCATTTTCTTTCCACATTATCTCTGCTTCTGCAAATTTAAAATCCAACAAAAAAGAGAAACGCAGAGAAAAGGATGGCATCATAAAAAGATGGCAGAGATCCATCCATCCATCCATCCATCCATCCATCCATTCATTTTCTTCCCCTTAATCCATTTCTGGGTCGTGGGGGTGGCAGTCAGAGCTGCACCCAGTACACAGAGCACCAGCCCCTCACTGATCCTCCTGCAGGTGATGAGTCCACAGGAGCTGAGATCTTTCAGTGGGGGCTTCAGGCAAAGTGGGGTTAAGTGTCTTGCCCAAGGACACAACGACATCAGTCATCAGTGGGAGTCGTGAAGTAGGTCTTACGGTGGGCTCGAACCCACAACCTTCAGGCTCAAAGGCCAATGCTCTACCAACTGAGCTACTGTCGCCCCAACCGGCAAAACGATTTATGCTAATGATGTTTTTGGAAGTTTGTTTTATGGGCTTTTGTGCCAAAGTTACACTGTTTTTTTTATAATTATTTACAGTACAGACCAAAAGTTTGGACATTATTTTCATGATATTGAGAATTGTAGATTCACACTGAAGGCATCAAAACTATGAATAAACTCATGTGGAATTATGTATGTAGTAAAAAACAGTATGAAACAACTGAAAATATGTCTTATATTCTCAGTTCTTCAAAGTAACACCTTTTTCTCTGATTACTGCTTCGCACACTCTTGGCATTCTCTTGATGAGCTTCAAGAGGACCTGAAATGGTCTTCCAACAGTCTTGAAGGAGTTCCCAGAGATGCTTAGCACTTGTTGGCCCTTTTGCCTTCACTCTGTGGTCCAGCTCACCCCAAAACCATCTGGACTGGGTTCAGGTCCGGTGACTGTGGAGGCCAGGTCATCTGCCCCAGCACTCACCACTCTCCTTATTGGTCAAACAGCCCTTACACAGCCTGGTGTGAATCTACAGTCAATAGTCATGAAAAGAAAGGAAACTCATTGAATGAGAAAGTCCATCCATCCATTTTCTTCCGCTTCATCCGTTGCCGGGTCGCGGGGGCAGCAGTCTAAGCAGAGACGCCCAGACTTCCCTATCCACACACACTTCCTCCAGCTCGTCCGGGGGGACCCCAAGGCGTTCCGAGGAAGCTCATTTCGACCGCTTGTATCCGCGATCTCGTTCTTTCGGTCATTACCCAAAGCTCATGACCATAGGTGAGGGAGGGAACGAAGATTGACCGGTAAATTGAGAGCTTTGCCTTTCGGCTCAACTCCCTCTTCACCACGACAGTCCGATACAGCGACCGCATCACTGCGCACGCTGCACCGATCCGCCTGTCAATCTCACGCTCCATCCTTCCCTCACTCGTGAACAAGACCCCGAGATACTTGAACTCCTCCACTTGAGGAAGGACCTCTCCACCCACCTGTAGAGGGCAAGGCACCTTTTTCCGGTCGAGCACCACGGCCTCAGATTTGGAGGTGCTGATTCTCATCCCAGCCGCTTCACACTCGGCTGCAAACCGTCCCAGTGCATGTTGCAGGTCCTGGTTCGTTGGAGCCAACAGGACAACATCGTCCGCAAACACCAGAGATGAAATCCTGTGGTCGCCAAACCGGACCCCCTCCGACCCCTGGCTGCGCCTAGAAATTCTGTCCATGAATACAATGAACAGAACCGGTGACAAAGGGCAGCCCTGGCGGAGGCCAACATGCACCTGGAACAGGTCCGACTTACTGCCGGCAATGCGAACACAGCTCTGACTCCGGTCATACAGGGATCGGATGGCCCTCAGCAGAGGACCTCCGACCCCGTACTCCCGGAGAACCCCCCAAAGGACACCCCGGGGAACACGGTCGAACGCCTTCTCCAAATCCACAAAGCACATGTGGACAGGTTGGGCGAACTCCCATGAACCCTCGAGTATCCGAAGGAGATTATAGAGCTGGTCCAGTGTTCCGCGGCCGGGACGAAAACCACACTGCTCCTCCTGAATCCGAGATTCGACCATCGGCCGTAGCCTCCTCTCCAGTACCTTGGAGTAAACCTTGCCAGGGAGGCTGAGGAGTGTGATCCCACGATAATTGGAACACACCCTCCGGTCCCCCTTCTTGTAGAGAGGGACCACCACCCCGGTCTGCCACACCACCCCGGTCTGCCACTGAATGAGAAAGTGTGTCCAAACTTTTGGTCTGTACTGTATATTTCAGATACAGTTGCCTTCATCATACACAATATTTACATGTTTTCTTGAATTCAACATTTGTGCTAAAGTTACTGGTTGGAAAATGCTGATCAGGGAAACACTGTTGGATCTGAATAAAACTTGGACAATAACCCTCAGAGAACTAGTAAAGAACACTGAGTCCCAGAGATTCATAAGAGTATTTTTAGGGGAAATACTTCAAACACTCCAAAGATAACGTCATAATCCGAAAAGTCGAGGTTCATCGAGACCAGACGGTCGAGGCGTAGAAGGTTCTTTTATTAAGCCAAAAGTGTTCTGCTTAATTACCAGTGTTGGGCACGTTACTTTGAAAAAGTAATTAGTTATAGTTACTAGTTACTTCTCCCAAAAAGTAACCGAGTTACTCCACTAGAAAAGTAACTGAGTTACTCCACTAGAAAAGTAACTATTGCGTTACTTTTTAGTTTCTCGCCCCGTAACCGTAAGCCAGATGAATAGAGTGCATGACCACAAAGCCAAGTACCTGCACAGAGGTTTGCTTTTATTGCAACTCAACGTAAACGACAGCGGATGGACATACACTTCTCCAAATAAGCGTGAGCCGTTGACAGGTGCTTCATTAAGTTAGAGTTGCAAACACAAGACGTGGACAAATGTCTCCTTCTGGAACATAATGTGCACTCGCAGTGCACATTTTTACCTTTAACCTCAGTGAGTTTGAAATAGTGCCGATATTTCTGTCTGGAAAAGGCTGTTTTGCTGCTGCAGTCCTCCTCACTCTTCAGTTTGCTGTAAGCACTAAACACCCACCACCTACCCAATTTCTCTGATTGGCTAAAGACATAATCTTACTATACATCAGCCAATAATTGCTGAGAGGATATCTCATCCTCCTTTCTCTCATGTCAACACTTGCACAAGTCCTATCATGAAGTTTAAAAAAAGTTAATTGTTCAACGGCGTTACAATTACAGTCATTAATTAGTTAGATTACTCGTTTCTGAAAAAAGTAATGCCGTTATTCTCATCACTGTTAATCACCACACCTTTCTCTGGAGAAGTGAGTCCCAAGTGTGAGCCAAGGGGGAGGGCCCCTCGTCTCTGTTGATGGTACGTGTGCTGCTTCTTGATTTCAGCCTGTGGGATCAATCTTTAGTAATTATGTTCTTCTGTTCCTATTAGAGACCTGGTCTGAAAATATGGTCATTACAGCACGTGCTGCATTCCGGTGTTACCTAATTACACTGGAGTCTCAAAACAAATGTCAGAAATAAAACAAACACAACATAAAAACAAATGTGAGAAATAAAGAGATGAACAAACACAAGGCTAATGTTACATTCACTCATTTCTTTAAACTTAATCATGTGGAAAAAGGAATTACATGACTATTACAGGTGACTCAGCTATATTTAACATAAAAGGAAATAATTCAGCTGCACTTGTCCTGTTGCAGCTCTATGCTACTCTATATTGTATATACAGTATGTTTTTGTAATTGTTATTGCTCTGCTTGAAATGTTGGTTCAAAACACTTAAATAGCTAAACTATCATGCATTTGAGTCTTTGGGCTGAGAGCTGATTGGCTGTTGCACCAGATCGAAAGATATAGTCTAACCCCTGCTTTTAATTAAATCAGAACTTTTATTGAAACTAATGAATGATTCTGTAAATGTTAAAGTAACAATCTGATGAAACATACTCCTCTTTCGCCTCTCACCTCTGCAGCTCACTTTCTCCAACTCTCACCTCTCTCTTTGCAGCTCTCACCTAAAGCTGTTTTTCTGTTGACCTATTTATGAGTTCAGATTCTACAGAAGTAGCAGCCACTTCCTGTGTCACACTTTTCCGGTCGATTGTTGATTGTAAGTTATTCTGCTTACACTGGAAAATATGAACAAAGTGATGACACTAAGCAGTTGTAAATCTGTCTCTGAGCAGCCCGGTGCAGAAATGTTGATTGCTATGTGAAAAATGCTCCAAGCTGAACTCTGTCTCTACACGTCTGATACAGACAAGAGGCCTCTGGTCACATTCCTCAAATGTCTTTTATGTCTTCAAAACTGGACAAGTTTATTTAAAACCAGGCTTTTCCCTTATATCCTCATGAATAACATGTTTGTCTGACACCCTTTATCTTATAAATCTTATAAAGATCCCAGGGCCTGGTTAGTGCTGTGATGTAGACCTCTGGGAACACATGGTGCCACAGTGGGGTGGCTGCTGAACGTCAATGGCCAAACTTTTGTTGTGTCCTTAGGAAAGACACATCTAATGCACACTACTCGCATTAGAATGAGTAGTGCGTGTGTGAATGGTTGGTGGTCCGCTCAAATATCTGTTTGAGCTAGCTCCAATAGGCCTCTTCTGCATTAAGGCTAACGCTAACAATTGTCAGTTTGCAGCCGATAGTGCATCAATAAAATCCTTTTGTGTTTACAACCAGAATCTGAGCCCTGCAGAAGGACAATAACCAGGTCAAATCTGAGCTTTTAGAAAAAGTAGTGAGAACATATGTCACGACATCAGGTACAGGACCTGATGTCGTGACATAATTTCTCACTACTTTTTCTGATGAACGGAATGTGTTTATATGGTTTTTAACTGCAATAAAAGAAACAATCACAATCGCAGCTTTATTTCATAAAAATAGTCACAGCTTATTTGTATAGACATTGTCAGCGACTTTTGTAACTTTTACTGATACAAACAAACAAAATACAAGTGAAACTAGAATCTCGCTCAAAAGTCCAGTTACTTTTATTCCCAAACTTTGACATTTCTAAGAGGTTGCTGCGGCATCAAGCTCCAGGTGGATTTTTACTTTTAAAATTATTTTTATATAAAATATTATTTCCAGGTAAATACATAAAAGAAACGAAAAACATGTGAACAATATTTTAAATATCAATCATTTTGCATCTGAGTTAATAATGACCAGTTGTATTGGTGAAACGCCTCATTTGTTTAATCAATTATTGTTGTCAATTGTTATTGTTACTACTGTACTTCTATGACAGTGATGTGATTTTTTTTATGAACGCAATTGTTTATTGTTAATCAGATTATAATTATTTGGTCTCTACCATTTGAGGACAAAGACTCTGTTATAAGTCTTTGTTCCGCCTCTGCACACGACTCATTGGTCTTAAACTGGTGTTAAGCTGGTGCCAAAGGGCAGGACCAAACAGGAGCACAGAAGACTCACCCACTTCCTCAGGTGAGTTCTGTCTGAACCGGAAGACCTGAAGAAATGTGTGGAGTCTGTTGTGCTCCCATTTGGTTGGAATGAAAACCTGCAGCCACACCGGTCCTTTGGGGTCAGTTTGAAACAATTGCATGACTGAGCAATGAGCAACTTTATAAAGGGACAATATCGACCAAATTTTGTAATATTGGGCTGATACACTTTATAACAGAGAAGATGGATGTCAGCTCTAAATGGGGATGGAGACAATGGTGGGCAGGTCTCCGATGGGGGGAGGGTTGTACTTCTCGACGCGCATGAGCCGCCGCAGGATGTCGTCTCGGTCTCGAGGCCAAGAGTAAACGTTTGTGTTCTGGAGCCAAGATGGGACGTGACTCTGTGAAGACAGACCATCTTAACTTTAACAATGGTACAAAAGATTATTTAGAGTTTGTTTATTTATATAGCGCATTTTACAGACCAATTTCACCCATAGCACTTTACAATGTTCAGAGTTTCACACTGGGGCATCAAAGCCCCCATCAACACCATCCATTCACTCTCTCATTTACACTCAGACCTATAGAGCATGGTTTTAGTGGTAGGGGAAACCTACGCAGGCATACATGGAGAGAACCTGTAAACTCCACTCAGAAAGGCCCTGTTCCGACCGGGTCTCAAACCCATGACCTTCTTGCTGAAAAGTGAGAGTTATCCCACAAAAATGTGGCCCATCTACATACTATAAGGAATTCTATATTTGAAGTCCATAAGATTTGCTGCAGTTACTGAGTGAGATAACTTATAACTTTTAACTTGACATTTTAACATTTGGACACAACTTTGACAATAAATCAAAGCAAGGAAGGAAGCTGAAAGGATCAAATGTTTTTATTAACGATCACTTGACGCGGAGGAATGCTGAAATCGCACAAAGAACCAGATTCATGAGAAAACAGAACAAAATCCAACACACATGGGTCAGCAACTGTATAATCTACACCAAGCTAAACGGGTCACCAGAGGAAGCCAGAGTTATTATTGTCAAGACTCTGGAAGATCTGGATAAGTTTGATTGATGCAACATCAAGGTAACAAACACTCATGACTCACAACAACAACAACACCACCACAGCTGAATATCAGCACTAAAGAGACAGAGTCCTGGACAATGTGTTGGAATTAAATACATTTGATTCAGAAGAGCATGGGGACTATGACCCAGAGAAAGACATGGATCCAGACAGAACTTTTTTTTTCTATTGTGAATTGTAAATATTACACTGATGATGATTATAACTCTATGGATACGATGAATGACTTATCAATTATACATTTCAACAGTAGGAGCATGTACAAAAACTTTAGTAGCATCAAAGAATATCTTGATACATTTAGAGTCCCTTTTAGTATCATAACACCATCAGAAACATGGCTGAACAACAAAAAAGGGACAGATTTTTTACTTCGAAGGCTATGAACTCAATTACAGAAATAGGAAAAATAAAACAGGAAGAGATGTGGCTATTTATGTAAATTTAAAATAGTTGAAAATATGTCTGTTACAGTTGATGGGCTATTTGAATGTATAACTAATGAGATAATTTGTGAAAGAAAAAAAAAACCTAATAGTAAGCTGCTTATACAAAACCTCAGGGACCAGGGGATTACAAAATGCTTGTAAAAAACTTGTATAAACAGTTCTCGAAAGCAAAAAACATGGAATCTGAAAATGTAGTACCTGTATTATATCGATGTGTTGAAAAGTGCAAACTTATTCTCGGGTCCGTACATGAACAGAGTATCCTGATACGTTATTGAATTGTAATCTATGAGTTATTGGAATTGTAAATACATTAATGTGGTAAAATAACTTGTGTTTATCTACTATGCATTAACACTAAACATGTATGCACTGGGGGTGGGATTTAAAAAGTATTTACTTCTTCCCACTCCCTTTCGAACTTTATTGTTGTCATTAGGCCCGAGCCCCGAACGGGGTAAGGGCCTATTGCTTTCACAATGGTGAAAACAAATGGTGGCGGTGCGTGACGGACGCGTCAGCGCCCGTAACTCACCAAAACGTGACAGTTGCGTGCGTAAACTCAAAAGCTTTAAAATGATGAATCACATGCCATTGAAACCTATATTGTTTTTGCTCGAGACAAGTCACAAAAAATTCCTTTTTTATTTATTTATTTATTTATTAGGCCCGAGCCCCGAACGGGGTAAGGGCCTATTGCTTTCACAATGGTGAAAACAAATGGTGGCGGTGCGTGACGGACGCGTCAGCGCCCGTCACTCACCAAAACGTGACGGTTGCGTGCGTAAACTCAAAAGCTTTAAAATGATGTATCACATGCCATTGAAACCTATATTGTTTTTGCTCGAGACGTTAAAAAAAAAATTCCTTTTTTATTAGGCCCGAGCCCCGAACGGGGTAAGGGCCTATTGCTTTCACAATGGTGAAAACGAATGGTGGCGGTGCGTGACGGACGCGTCAGCGCCCGTCACTCACCAAAACGTGACAGTTGCGTGCGTAAACTCAAAAGCTTTAAAATGATGTATCACATGCCATTGAAACCTATATTGTTTTTGCTCGAGACGTTAAAAAAAAAATTCCTTTTTTATTTCTTTCTTTCTTTCTTTTTTCTTCTGCACTTTGAGCCTTAATTTGACCCCCTGAACATGCATGAAAAGTTGTTAATTTTGGCCCAAAAATCAGACCTCGCGAAAAATTTGATATTTTGGTGTTTATTTTTATGGGACTCAAAAAATGACAGAACAGCGCCACCTACAACAGCCAAAATAATACCCCTATGGGACTTTTCGGAGGTCAAGTTTGTCGTATCAACATGAGATTTGGTACACATGTTCCTCAAGTCAAGACAAGAAGAAAATATTATTATGGCCCCGCCCTCTGACAAACAGGAAGGCCATAAATTTCACTGCAAAATGGAAAAATGAACAGCAAAAGTTTTCATACATGTCGGTTGGAAAGCGACTCCTCCTCGGCCGTTTCACCGATTCGCCTCAAAATCGCTCCACATCATCTCAACACATGTACCTTCAAAATGACCTCAGGGATTTTTGATCAGTGCAACATTGTTTGAGCAGCGGAGCGGCAAAATGTGACCTTTTTTTGGCCGTTTTTGACAACATTAAATTTGCTCCCGTTTGCACAAACAAAGTCTGATTTGCACAAAACTTTAATACATTGTTCAACTCTAGGGTCTTGGTCGTTTGAAAGTTAAATTATTCAAATTGACACATTAGCGCCCCCTACAGACAATTTCAAAGTTTTAGATGGGCATTTTCAAATTTAGTTTTTTCAAAATGTTTGAAATTTTGCACATAAATCTGTTTTGCCCTCTTGATTCAAAAAGTCAATTGGGTCCAAGGCTTATTTTTTACCCTGTTGCCGTGGCGACGACAAACGCTCCCCATTCATTGCAAATGTACACCTCACACAAACATCAAACCAGCCTCGGCCGTTTCACCGATTTGCCTCAAAATCGCTCCACATCATCTCAACACATGTACCATCAAAATGACTTCAGGGAATTTTGATCAGTGAAACGTTGTTCGAGCAGCAGAGCGCCAAAAAGTGGCGTATTTTTTTTCAGTTTTTGCCAATAGAAAAATTGTTTCCGTTTGCACAAACAAAGTGTGATTGGCACAACACTTGAATCCATTGTTCAACTCAAGGGTTTAGATCATTTGAAAGTGAAATATTTAAAATTGGCCCATTAGCGCCCCCTGCAGACTGAGTCAAAGTTTACATGGGGAGCCAAACCAGCTCTACTTATCATATTCATTACAATTTGACTAACAATCTTCTATGGCTATGGGAACAAATCACCACACGGCGGCGCCACCTCCATTGAAAGGTGCTGCGTGGTACGGTGTGGTGCGGCGTAGTTTGGGGCGTAGTGCGGGGCGTTGTGGAGTAGCGCGTTGCGGCTTGGTGCGGGGCGGCGTGATGCGGGACAGCGTGGTGCAGGGTGGCGTGGAGCGGGATGGCTTGGAGCGGGGCGTGTGCGCGGTGTGGGGAGTCGCGCGGTGCGGCGAGGGCCGTTCGACGCCGCTTGCGGCTTTAATTTATTTATTTCTTTCTTTTTTCTTCTGCACTTTGAGCCTTAATTTGACCCCCTGAATATGCATGAAAAGTTGTTAATTTTGGCCCAAAAATCAGACCTGGCGAAAAATTTCATATTTTGGTGTTTATTTTTATGGGACTCAAAAAATGACAGAACAGCGCCACCTACAACAGCCAAAATAATACCCCTATGGGACTTTTTGGAGGTCAAAATTGTCGTAGAAACATGAGATTTGGTACACATGTTCCTCAAGTCAAGACAAGAAAAAAATATTATTATGGCCCCGCCCTCTGACAAACAGGAAGCCCATAAATTTCACTGCAAAATGGAAAAATGAACAGCAAAAGTTTTCATACATGTCGGTTGGAAAGCGACTCCTCCTCGGCCGTTTCACCGATTCGCCTCAAAATCGCTCCACATCATCTCAACACATGTACCTTCAAAATGACCTCAGGGATTTCTGATCAGTGAAACATTGTTTGAGCAGCGGAGCGGCAAAATGTGACCTTTTTTTGGCCGTTTTTCACAACATTAAATTTGCTCCCGTTTGCACAAACAAAGTCTGATTTGCACAAAACTTTAATACATTGTTCAACTCTAGGGTCTAGGTCATTTGAAAGTGAATTGATTCAAATTGACACATTAGCGCTCCCTACAGACTATTTCAAAGTTTTAGATGGGCATTTTCAATTTTAGTTTTTTCAAAATGTTTGAAATTTTACACATACATCTGTTTTGCCCTCTTGATTCAAAAAGTCAATAGGGTCCAAGGCTTATTTTTTACCCTGTTGCCGTGGCGACGAGAAACGCTCCCCATTCATTGCAAATGTACACCTCACACAAACATCAAACCAGCCTCGGCCGTTTCACCGATTTGCCTCAAAATCGCAACACATCATCTCAACACATGTACCATCAAAATGACTTCAGGGAATTTTGATCAGTGAAACATTGTTCGAGCAGCGGAGCGCCAAAAAGTGGCGTGTTTTTTTTCAGTTTTTGACAATAGAAAAATTGCTTTTGTTTGCACAAACAAAGTCTGATTTGCACAAAACTTGAATCCATGGTTCAACTCTTGGGTCTAGGTCATTTGAAAGTTAGAATTTTGAAATTGGCTCTATAGCGCCACCTACAACAGCCAATTTAAAAATGCCTATGGGAGGGGTTCGAGGTCAAAATTTTCGTAGAACCATGTAATTTGGTACACATGTTCAAGTCAAGACATGGAAAAAATGTAATTATGGCTAATCCCTCCGACAAACAGGAAGCCCATAAATTTCACTGCAAAATGGAAAAATGAAAACCAATCTTTCTCATATACGTCGGTTGGAAAGCGACTCCTCCTCGGCCGTTTCACCGATTGGCCTCAAAATTGTTACAAATCATCTCAACACATTTACCTTCAAAATGACTTCAGGGATTTTTGATCAGTGAAACGTTGTTTGAGCAGCGGAGCGGCAAAATGTGAGGGTTTTTTTGGCCGTTTTTGACAACATACATTTTTTCCCCGTTTGCACAAACAAAGTCTGATTTGCATTAAACTTGAATCCATTGTTCAACTCCAGGGTTTAGGTCAGGTGAAAGTGAAATATTTGAAATTGGCCCATTAGCGCCCCCTACAGACTGAGTCAAAGTTTACATGGGTAGCCAAACCAGCTCTACTTATCATATTCATTACAATTTGACTAACAATCTTCTATGGCTACGGAAACAAATCATCACACAACGGCGCCACCTCCTTTGAGCGGTGCTGCGTGGTACGGTGTGGTGCGGCGTAGTGCGGGGCGTAGTGCGGGGCGTTGTGGAGCGGCGCGTTGCGGCTTGGTGCGGGGCGGCGTGATGCGGGACGGCGTGGTGCAGGGTGGCGTGGTGCGGGGTGGCTTGGTGCGGGGGGTGTGCGCGGTGTGGGGAGTCGCGCGGTGCGGCGAGGGCCGTTCGACGCCGCTTGCGGCTTTAATTTTTATTTTTTCTTGCATTTTTTGTGATTTTGTATTGCTTCTCATATTTTTTATTTATTATTGTTTTGTTATTTGTTTTCAAATGAGCATAGAAGTAGAGTGTACAAAGAAGCTTTTTTTAATCAACTGCCATGACACTGGATTTGACAACAAAGTTCAAAATAAAAAAGACTGATTATCATTATTATCTCACGAGTACTTTGTGAAATCCTGCAAGTGCACTTTTTGAAAATATTTGCTGATAACGGAAATGTGCTTTTTTTTATTGAGCCTTTATTTTTTAACTTTATTTTTCCATGTACTTAACTTTATTTATTGTTCATATACAAATATTAAACCTTGATTTAACTTTATTGAAGCAGAAAGTGAGAAAGTAGTCCTGGAGAGTTCAGGCTCAGGACCCAAACGCCTGTGCTTGGACTGCTCCGTTTTGGTCATTTTGTGTGTGAAAATGCAAAAAAAAAATGTGATTGTTGCAGATCAGAGCAGAGCAAAAGGAGAAATAAGACTCAGATCATGCACACATGACACAGGATTATTATTTAAAATATTAAAATAATAACAATAAACTGTATAGCTATAAGGGCCCTTGTGTCAAAGTGAAGTCTCTGGTGGATTTCATGTGACATCACTTTGACACAAGAGACATCACTTAGACACAAAGCATGATTCAAAATAATCTAAAATGTGGTAATTGAAAGCAGCTTCCCCATCAACCAAAATGGCACAGATTCTTTGTTCTAGAAATATTTTGATATCCGAGTTCTACAGATGTTAATATTGTACTTTAACAACAGAGGAAATGAATAACAATAGCAGCTGGTAAAGTGACTCAGCAGTTCTCATTGTACAGTCTGACAGCGGGAAGAATCTGTGGGACCTCTCCTTCACATGTTTAAGGTGCAAACATAAGTGAGATTTTTAGGAGTTATTGTTCATTCATATTGTGTTGATAAGATGAGATAGACTTTATAGATATTTATCATTTGTGTGCTCCTCATTCCTACTGCTCTGTAACTGGCGATGCAACACTGACATTTCCCCACAGTGAAAATAAAAGATCTATTCGTCTTCAACGTAATCTTCTTGGTTAAGGAAAGAATGATACCATCGCTAACTTACGATGTAGGAAAAAAATACTTTAATTTTTACATTAATGAGCTTTAAATGTCCCAGCTCTCACGGTGCTTACCCGTTTAGCTCCAGGAAACAAGATTGGGATGAAGCGGAAATTCTGGCTCCCGTTCTGGATGAATTCATTCTGAAGCTGAAAAAGACAGTGATTTACAGTTATTAACATAAATCGTCACAAGAAATATGTGAGAGCAATAATACATGTTACAAGTCAATGCAGTTTTCAGAGACTTTAGAACCTTTTTTCATCAAATGTTGTGATCTTAGACTTTTATACACACATTTTATTATGGCTGTCCAAATTATCGCGTTAATGTTTTCATTAATTGCGTAATTTTTTTTCACGAATTTGACGCATGTGCTGAATGACTGGCACGTGCCTGAAGAGGCAATGCCCATATTTGGACTGGTCTGTTTTCTCCATACAAAAAAAATCATTTATGTGAACTGTGTAAATCCATTGAGAAATGTTCGAGGGTTACTGCAGTTCACTTGCTGTCGTTTGCTGTATGTGCTGAACGGGAGTCCGCATCCTCCATGGCCGCAACGTTCTGGCCCGGGGCAGCTGTGGCCGCTCTGGATAGCGGCTACCACCTCCAGCGGCTGTGAGCCGCTTTGACAACACGGCGAACGGCGCCGTGTTGTCATGGTCATATCCAGGACCATACAGGCCACAGAACTATTCTCTGCTTGTTGTGTGCATGTCTTTGTGTAACCTGTGCATGCAATAAATACAGCGCTGAAGCCGGATTATGGAGCCTCTGGAAGTCTCTGTGTCTCCCCCCGAAGTGCAACTAAACTCATTAAATTAAAGCTAGGGTACCTAATTTTTCCTTTGCCCTACCAGTTCATGTTGGTTGCGTCCAAAAGTAAGATGTTGTGAGCAAATCAAACATATTTAATGACAATCATTGGCTGACATAATGCATATCAGACTTGAAATGTCAAACAATAGTTTGTAGAGGCACAAAAATACTGTAAATTTGATCCACAGCCTTTATGAGACAGAGAAAAATAATAGGGGCTTTAGCTGAAGCGGAATATGTTGCGCTGAAAAAATACTGTTTACTACAGAAAGACCGAATGTTAATAATGTTAATGCTATTTTATGTGGTTTTATTGTTATAATAAACAAATACTGTACATATGTACACTATGCTGTCATTTATTCTTCCATTCAAACAACTATTTACAGAAAAATATGGCATCATTTTGCAGATAGTTCGAAATGCAATTAGTTACGATTAATTAATTTGTACGCTTTAATTAACTAGAAAACGTTTATCGTTTGACAGCCCTACATTTTATACAAGAGTGTCTCTTGTATACCAGCTGTTTGTTCGAGGTCTTAAGTATTTTATACTTACTTCTAAGCTTTCCTGACTCATTCACTGTTAGCTCCCCTGACTCATTCACGGTCACTATAAACCAGTATCCTGTTGCTACTTGAGTCCAAATAATTAGTCCATAAACAGTTCAGCTCTATAACAAGAAAAACACACACATTGGCCGCACTGCTACATTAGCCACAATGATAAAAGAACTAGTAAAAAGTAGCAACTCTCCAGTACAGAAATTGCGGTTTCTGAATGATATTATTATGGTAGCAGTGCTTTGATGACATCCCTAACTTCAGATTTTTATTTGGGTAATGCAACACAGAGAATACAATGGGGATGAGAAAAAGAGGAGACTTATACCATTGGTACATTTTTATCTAAATGTGCCAATTAAAAGATGATCTTCATCCTCATGTATTCAAACATAGACAGAGTTCCAACTTCATTATTCCAGAATAAATACAGAGATTGAGAAACAGGTTTTTTGCTGCAGCCCTGAGGCCGCGAACAACCTCCATCTACAAGAACATCTGTGCCCTCTCTTGCATTTGTTAAAACTGCTTTAGTCACACACCTTAAGACAGTATGTGATGAGAAGTGTTAAGAAAATGTTGTTTTCAGGTTCTTTTTAATGAATTTTGATTACATTGTGGATATGTGTGAACTAAAGGCCTCTCTTATGGCTTTGTGTGAGCTTATTGTTAATCAATGTTGACAAGAGGAAACCTGGCCTTTGTTTGAAGTTGCAGTCTTTGGTTTACTATTTACATAAACAGGAGGTTCTTCTGTAGCGATGCAGTCTGTGAAATTTTGGGCCAATATCGATGTTTAACATTAGTTCAATTTTAAGGACTCTAATATTGTAATACTTTAAACATAATAATTTGTTTATATAGAGCTTTTCACTCAAAGACGCTTATTCAATCACTGCAAACACATTGATAGACACTGACAGAAGCGAGGCACCAGTCTGTGCCATCGGCCCCTCCCAACACCACCAACCATTCACACACACACACACACACACACATCAGACTCATTCTAATGTGGGGGAAGTGTCTTGCCTAAGGACACAACCACAGTTTGGCACTTTACAGCCGCAGCTGTACACAGAGGTCTCCCATCACAGTACTAACCAGGCCCTGCCCCGTTTAGCTTCGGAGGTCTAATCCGGCTTTCACCTGCAGGAGGCGCCACATTGTATGTATTCCAAAAAACTAGCAATAAATGACTAATTCCAACAACAGCATAATGTGGTAGTTTTACTGAAGACCATGAAAAGTTTCAACCCAAACAGATCTCATCACCTGTTTGTGGATGTAGACCGTGTTGAAGGTGTGCTCGTCCTGCTCCTGGCCCACAGGGGGCGCCGTCACCGCGCTGTAGTACTTGGGGCTGATGATGATGATTATCAGATATTCCTTCTGCAGCAACAAAACACACACATGTCTCAGTCCATGTGACGGGGACTTTGAGGAGCACAGGGACTGACCTCACTCAGATATCGCTCCATGAAGTCGATTTTGCTGATGCTCCTGAACTGCTGTTCGAAGATGTCGATCTGGAAGAAAACACAAAACTTTTTCATTCCATACTTTACTACATTTACCTGTAATAACTTGTTTGCAAAACATTATTGTATGTCGCTATAATAATACTATAAATGATGACTGACCGGAGAGTACGGATGGATAAGACCAGGATACTTTTATATTTCTGGCCCAAACACTTTTTAAAGTTGGCGCTCAACCAAAATGAGTTTGACACTAACCTAACGCTAACTTGACATATTTAACATTGCCGTATTTTCCAGACTATAAGACGCACCAAATTATAAGCCGCAGGCTTCAATTTTTAGAATTTTTAAAACATTTTGTACTTGTACAAGCCACAGTGGATAATAAGCCGTACTTATTCCACATTGTAAAGTTGAAATATTTTTCTCAAAAATGTTTATTGTGTCTTCTTATTACTGTGGGTAATAAGAGTAAGAAGTGAGTCACTGACTGTGAAGTAGAAAGATAAAGAGCCACTTCTACTGGTCTCTCTTCACTTTCATGTCAGTGCAAGGAACCAAAAAACTATTTATCATATGACATATTTACACAAAGATATTATAAGATAAGACTTATAGATCTGCTTGATCGACAGATATTACATTAAATTGGACCTCTGTGAACTACTCGTCAATTCTGTTGGACTACTGTTACTTGGCAAAATGTTTTTGGCAAGATAGGAAAAAAAATCTAAATATTTTAAGCCGCACCTTACTAAGTGTCGGCATATTTTGTATTTTTTTTAAATGCTGAGGGACATCTGATGGAAGACAGCTACCCTATACGCAGAACATGAAGGGGAAAACAAAGTTACCACAAAGGTTCCTCTTTGTGAGCATCACCCACAACAACTCCATAGCCAATGCTAACACTACAGCCAATGCTAGGTAAGATAACGTCAACGTTTCAGATTAAATATATGATGCAGGGGGACTTCGGGTTGAGAGAGAATGCAACAATATGTCTGATTATCCGTCTGTCAATAATGCCATAGCCTTGGTGCATCTAGCTGCCTGTTACCTGCTAATATGCTAACCTAAACAGGTGAACAGACAGTGAAATGAAGACACAGCATTGAGCACACAATAATATCATGAATTCATTAAGCACCATTTTAGTGACATTCACTCCGAGCATTATATTAAATGAACCTATTGACAATTTTGTCACAATAACCATTAAATTAGTTTGTCCAAACTAGTCGTTAAAGAGTTCCAACCCGTGTTCCCTCTAATCTTTCATGGGTCTGGGCAAAAACACAAACCCCCCTGAGTGGCACGTGGAGCACTTAGAGCAAGAGATCACTGTTGAAAACTGTTCACATTTCAATGCACCTGCTGTATACACCTGCTGTATATACATCTGCTGCATACACCTGCTGTATATACATCTGCTGCATACACCTGCTGTATATACATCTGCTGCATACACCTGCTGTATATACATCTGCTGCATACACCTGCTGTATATACATCTGCTGCATACACCTGCTGTATATACATCTGCTGCATACACCTGCTGTATATACATCTGCTGCATACACCTGCTGTATATACATCTGCTGCATACACCTGCTGTATATACACCTGCTGTATATACACCTGCTGTATATACACCTGCTGTATATACACCTGCTGTATATACACCTGCTGTATACACCTGCTGTATATACACCTGCTGTATATACATCTGCTGCATACACCTGCTGTATATACATCTGCTGCATACACCTGCTGTATATACATCTGCTGCATACACCTGCTGTATATACATCTGCTGTATACACCTGCTGTATATACATCTGCTGCATACACCTGCTGTATATACATCTGCTGTATACACCTGCTGTATATACATCTGCTGCATACACCTGCTGTATATACATCTGCTGCATACACCTGCTGTATATACATCTGCTGCATACACCTTTGTGCAGGGTGAGGTTGATCCTAGCCCTGTTCTGGATCAAATGCAGCTTCAGACTTCTGTGTTGGAGACTTCTCCCGCACTCTCAGACAGAACATAATAGTCACAGCTAGAGAGCTTTTGGCTCCGACTTTTTTCTAGTCAGAGAATGAAGCCTGCACGCTTAGATCCACCGCGGCCCATACACTGCAGAAATACGTGACAAATATGTGGCCACGTCGTTTGTGCTGGTGGCACAGGACGCTGGATTTTTATTTTGTGTGCTCGGACTAGAGCCCTGCACTTGAGCCCTTGGCCCGAGGGCCCCGACGGCCCGACAGCCCGAGGGCCGGGCTTCGGGCCGATGACCGCATAATGACCTCGGACACGGGCCGGGCTCGGGCTCTTCATTTTCAGAGCGGCAGAATAGATTTACGAACGCACCCACTGAATATAGCGTTCTATCACGCTGTAGTGTTTGTTGTTCTGTGTAGTGTTGTCATTGACGGCACATAGCATTACTTATGTAATGTGCAGATGTGTTGCAGCATCTGGGCATCATACAGCTGTGTATCATACAGCTGTGTATCATACAGCTGTGTATCATACAGATGCGGCCGTTCACTCCGCACACACAGAACTCATTGCAACACATCACTACCATGTATAACTCCGCCCTCTAGCTAAGTCTGCGTTCATATCAGTGCGCGGCACTATATACTACGCTAAAACATTGTTATGGGAGGTTACACAAAAAAAAAAAGGCGAGCTTGATGCGGGTTTCGGGCCTGAAAATTCAGAAACCATATCGGGCCGGGCCGGGCTGGGGCGCCACCCCCTCGGGCCAGGGCCGGGCTCGGGCCCAGATAATAGGCCCGTGCAGGGCTCTAGCTCGGACCCCATAAGCACTGCGCGACAGCGCACACGCACAGCTTAGAGGGAACACTGGCTCTCACGACAACAGAGGGATCAGGAGACAAGCGGGAAGTATTGAAGGAAATATATTCAATAATAAACTTTATGGCTCTCACAATGGAGACAAAAGGCATGTAATGTATTTTCTCTAAACTGCAAAAAGTGATGAAAAATAAGTCAAGAACTCCTCAAACTTGGTAAAAGCTATCTTAATTTGAGCACATTCTGACGGCCTTGAAACATTTGTCAATGGGTCAAAGCAAAATGATCTTGTTTTAAAAAGATACAAGAAATATCTCCCTTGGACTGAGAAAATAAAGCAACAGATCTTGAAATAAAACTAAATGTCTCTGTCCCATTGGAGAATCTTGTTTAAACGCAAACAGAATGTACTCAGACTAAGATAAAAAACCACTAAATTCAAGAAATTATTACCTCATATTTTTCTCTCTTTTAGAGTGTGTTGTAAAGTGGCTTCCTGGATTCTCAGATATGAGAAACCAGAAAGTAAACAAGGGACAAACTCACGCTTTTCATCTGCGCTCGATACAATGCAAAGGTTGGATTATGTTTTGGCAACACAAACTGGTGAGGCCTTATCTGTGTGTAGGAGCGTGCAAACGTTGTATAGATGAGATATGATAATAATTTATGGGTTTAATATTTCCCTTTTCCGCACTCTCAAAGACGCTTCATATCTTTATTGTCTCACTCTAAACACAGTAGTGACGGACTTTTGTAAACCAGACTCATTCTAATGTGTGGGAAGTGTATGGTTGCTGTGGTAACAGAATGTGAGTGAACTTAGTGCAATATAATGTTAAGTATAATTATAAAAATTGTTATGTAGATTATTTCTTTGAATGCATTTCTTATTCTACTTTTATTTTTTTAACTTGTTTGCACAGAGAGCCAAAGCAGTTTCCAAGATTGTCACTTCCGGTTACTCACACGACAGTAAAGAGAATTCTGATTCTGAGAAAGAGCTCTGGTCTCTGCAATGGAGGATTCCAGCTCTCAGCATTTCTTACTATTTCTGTCTCATCTGTCTCTGAACTGATGTAAAAGTATTCTTAATATTCAGAGGTTCAGTTGCACCAAGTAAAACTGTCATTAGTGTAAACCACGCCCTGCAGGAGGAGGAGGAGGAGGAAGATGACTCACGTGAGTGTCGAAGCCGTTGTGTCGCAGCAGAGCCACGAAGCTGATAACCTCATTCACATGTTTGTCGCTGTCGGCTTCGTAGGTCACAAACACTCTCCCTGAGAAACATACACAGAGTAAGGTGAGGAGAAGGTGAGGGGAGGAGGTGAGGAACAGAGGAGAGTGAGGAGAAGGTGAGGAGGAGGTGAGGAGATTCATACAAGAACCAGGTGAGGAGATGAGGAGAGGAGGATCATACAGGAGCAGCAGAGGTCCAAACCAGGCTTCTGGTTCTGATTGGACGACACCATAATCCAAATAGGAGCTGGGTCTAAACCAGGACATCACTCAGGGTTATGTAATTTGGATGTGTCATGCCTAAGGGCACGGATGTCTCCCATCACAGCACTAACCAGGCCCTGTCCAGCTTAGCTTCATAGGATATGCACCTATTCAGTCTGTAAATACAATGATTTTTGAGGACTTATGGGTAAAAGGTCTTTACATGTGACCAAATGTAATTTCACTGGAGAACATAGATCTACTCTACTCAAGAGTAATCTAGAGTAGAGTAGAGCAGAGCAGGGCTGGTGGAAATGGGACTCATGATCTCTGGAGTGAAGTTCACATCTGAGAGCAGCCTCCAGGTTACAGCTCTGGGAGGTCGACCTGTCACTGACTCTGAATTTAAAGAACTTAAGAGTTTAGTGAGCCACACATGTGAGCACTTGTTATCTTCACCGCCACAGGGTGATCTCACAGGGTGATCTCACAGGGTGATCTCACAGGGTGATCTCACAGGGTGATCTCACAGGGTGATCTCACACGTCAGTTTGACTGCTTTAGGTTTGAACGCAAAGATTCTCCTCTTCAGGTCTCTGTCCTGAAGTCCTCTCACATTAGTCCTGGTCTCAGGTCTCTGTCCTGAAGTCCTCTCACATTAGTCCTGGTCTCAGGTCTCTGTTACAAGTCTGTCAATGACACCGTACCAAGGTACATCTGTGACATGTTAAAGCCATAAGAACCAATTCTGAGGAGCACAGGGACTGGCCTCCTGCTGGTTCCAGAGTCAGGACTAAACATGACGAGGTAGAGATTCAGATTTATGCAGCTAAAATCTGAAACAGTCTTCCTGAAAATGTGAGACAGGCTTTTTCTCTGACAAAGTTCAAATCCAGGTTAAAAACAGTTCGGTTTCTGCTATAACGAAGGATATTATCTTTACTCTTTTCAATGTCCTGTGATTATTTATGATTTGAATGCCTGTTTCTATCTGGTTTCGTTTAGCACCTGTCTTGTGTGTGAACTGTACTACACAAATACACTTGCAGCCCAACAACCATCCACGGCTTCTTTAACACTTACGCTGTTCCAGAGACAGTGGTGAACTCAGTGAGGAGGTTTTCTCTTTGATTTGAGCAGTTTTTCCACTGAAAAAGAATAGACAGATTTTAAACGAGACTCGGAGCAGAATGTGAAGAACTGGTAACTCACGTGTGAGCGTGAGCTGCAGCCGCGACATCGGGGTCTGAGAGACACAAGACACACTGTATTAAGGATAAGGTACACAATAATAATGAGAAAAAACATTAAAAATGACATTCTGTCCATACTGTATTTCAAGAGTTAAATACTTCTTTAGTAGATTACACACAAGCACAGAGAGACACACACAGCCTCTGACTCACAGATGGGCCTGGGTCCTGGGTGGTATTGAGGCCAGGCAGGTTTCTGAACTGTGACCCCCCTGTTGCACTCCTGGGGGGGGCACTGGGCCCAGCATAGCTCCCCTTGTGGCACAAAGGAGTACGGCGACAGTGTGTGGTGCCTGAACTCTGAGGAGGGGGGCAGCGAGTGCAGGGACAGGGGCTGCTCCAAGCTCATGCCAGAGGAACCCAGAGACTCCTCTGAACCAGAGTCGGTCTTCAGGCTGAGGTGGTGCTGCTGAGGAAAGGGTCTTGAGGAGCAGCTGCAGCTTGTGGCCATACCTGCCATCAGAGCAGAGAAATGTGTTTTTGTAGGATTGATTAGATTTAAAAAGGAAACTGAGCCTCTGTCCTGGATCTACAGACTCTGTCCTGGATCTACAGACTCTGTCCTGGATCTACAGACTCTGTCCTGGATCTACAGCCTCTGTCCTGGATCTACAGACTCTGTCCTGGATCTACAGACTCTGTCCTGGATCTACAGACTCTGTCCTGGATCTACAGACTCTGTCCTGGATCTACAGACTCTGTCCTGGATCTACAGCTCTGTCCTGGATCTACAGACTCTGTCCTGGATCTACAGACTCTGTCCTGGATCTACAGACTCTGTCCTGGATCTACAGACTCTGTCCTGGATCTACAGACTCTGTCCTGGATCTACAGACTCGTCTGGATCTACAGTACTCTGTCCTGGCTACAGACTCTGTCCTGGATCTACAGACTCTGTCCTGGATCTACAGACTCTGTCCTGGATCTACAGACTCTGTCCTGGATCTTACAGCCTCTGTCCTGGATCTACAGACTCTGTCCTGGATCTACAGACTCTGTCCTGGATCTACAGCCTCTGTCCTGGATCTACAGACTCTGTCCTGGATCTACAGACTCTGTCCTGGATCTACAGACTCTGTCCTGGATCTACAGACTCTGTCCTGGATCTACAGACTCTGTCCTGGATCTACAGACTCTGTCCTGGATCTACAGACTCTGTCCTGGATCTACAGACTCTGTCCTGGATCTACAGACTCTGTCCTGGATCTACAGACTCTGTCCTGGATCTACAGACTCTGTCCTGGATCTACAGACTCTGTCCTGGATCTACAGACTCTGTCCTGGATCTACAGACTCTGTCCTGGATCTACAGACTCTGTCCTGGATCTACAGACTCTGTCCTGGATCTACAGACTCTGTCCTGGATCTACAGACTCTGTCCTGGATCTACAGACTCTGTCCTGGATCTACAGACTCTGCCCTGGATCTACAGCCCCAGTCTGTCTGTGGGAGCGGCTCCCTCAATGTGGATCTCCCTGAGGTTTCTCATTTTTCTCCAACTGGGTTTTTAGAGTTGTTCCTCTGATGTAGAAGGCTAAGGACAGTGATGATCCAGGACACTCCACATTTATTAACATTTATGGACAGTGGTTTCTCCTCCTTATGGATAAATTGTTTTATTGACTTTCTGATCTGGGTTGGACCTGTAAAGTCTTCTGAGATATCTGCTGTCCTGATTTAGGCTGATAAAAGAATACATTGAAATTTAGGTCAGATTGTTTATTTCGAACCTGCACAACACATTTTATATATGTCAATATATCAGACAAATAACAAGTACACGGTTCAAGGGGTTGGATGAAGTAAAGACACCGTTCTGCCACCCGCACCTGCTCCAGAGAACACATCAGGCCCTTCCTCAAACAGCTGCACTGGCTCATGTCACATACTGCATACAAAACAAGCTCATCTCACCAACCTACATCAGCACTGTGTCACCACCTCAGAGCCTTCTGGACCCTGAGGAACTTTTGAACCCTGAGATCCTGAACTTACTTGAAGCAGTGTAGGCCCAGGACTCGTAGCTGTGGAAGGGAGTGGGAGCACCATAACCAGGACCATAGGAGCTGAGGTGGTGGTTCTCAGGGCGTGTGGAGGTATAGTCCGGCCCCTGGGAGCCCTGATCCAGACGGGGGGAGTGTGCTGGCCCCTGGGAGCTCATAGTCTCATCGTCCTCCTGTGGTGAGTTACTCAGACTCTGATCCGACCGACTGTGACTGCGACAGAGACAGAGACCTGGTTACCGTGCCATAGTGTGCCATAGTGTGCCATAGTGTGCCATAGTGTGCCTTAAGGGCCGTTTCCACGGGCTCGACTCGACTCTCCCAGTTTGCAAGTGCTCAAGTTTCCTGCTAAAAACTACAAGGAATTGTTTTCCGTACGGACGTCTTTACACCTACCCCAGTTTGAGCGAGGACGCGAAGAGAGAGACACGAGGAGGGAGAGAGACGTGAGGAACATGAACAAGAATTCATGAACTTGAATCAATACGTTGAAATTTAATATAGCAAATTTTAGATATATTAGGAACTCTCTGACTATAGATGCTTCTAATTTATATCTAAATGCGATGATAGTTCCGCACTTCCGTTATTGCATGACGAGTTGGTCGCAGGCATGTAAAACAGCATTAAGGCCCCTGGAATCATTGTACAAAAGTTCTCTTAAGGTTCATGACAAGAAATCTCGGCTCTATCACCACTGTCATATTCTTAAAAAGCATAGTATATTGAGTTTTGAAAATATAATCATATATTCAAATCTCTGTCTGTTGTTCAAGATAATTAATGGTACTGCAGCTCCTCCATTAAAAAAGTTTATTTCACTGAGCTCAGAAATTTCATCTCGAGCCACTCGATCGACTGTTCGGGGCGAGTGTAGGATTCCTCAGTGTAAAACAGCGTTCGGCAGCTCAGCCTTCTCCAGTGTGGCCATCAGACAGTGGAATATGTTGCCAACAGAGCTGACCACATGTGTACATTTTAACACTTTTTCACACCAGGCCAAAAAATGGCTTCTTTTAAAACAAACCTGTTCCCATAAAGTAGTGTAAATTGGTTTCATTTTAATGCTGTTTAGGGGGAAATGTATTTTTAACATGTGTAATTTTCTAAAACTTTGTATGTTGACATCAGTCTGCCCAGGGACTGCAGGTGGAAATTAGCACAAGTGCTACAACCTGGTACAATGCATCTCTCCTTTCTGAGGTTAATGTATATTGTACACTGTCCCTGTTCAAATAAATAAATAAATGAAATGAATGAAATGAACAAGTTGCAGAACTCTTGAGCAGTGTTTTAATTAGAACCAGGAAGGAGTCTGGTTTTTCAACATTTTTCAACATAAAACACCAAGATTGACCAATAGTAAAATCGCTAGTTCCTCCCACTAATTGAAACTTTTAACTCCGGCGGCGGTCTCCCAGTTTATATTACTTCTTGCTTTGATTGAAAATCCAGGTTAGGAAATTAATCTTCAAAAAATGATTCATTTTCCTGCATAAGAAATAGCATATTGCACCGATTGTAAGTAACTCGGGTGTGAACTTCAAGCTCACTATCGCCCCCATCAGTGAGGCACAGATACTGCCTGTCTCAATGCAAGCTTTTTCCTTGTGTCTTCTGCTGCAGTCTTCTGCTGCTGGACACCTACATTTCTCCAACGGGGGATTAATAAAGTATCTATCTTTTTCTCTGATCAAAAAACTTAAACTATACATAGTACATACATACAGCTTACTAAACACTAAAGTTGAACAAATGTTTTCAACTCAGGATGATTGAAGCAAACAGCGAAATGGCAACCAGAACGAGCCAAGCACCCTCCACTGTGAAATAACGATCTGGGGTGAGGCACACATGGCTGCCGCACCGGTCTCTTTGAAAATAAAAAACTGATTTTGAAATTGCTTTCTTTGACTACAGAAATTATCCAAACAGGTCGGACTCATACCAAAAATACATTAAAGGCATAGGACAGGGTAAAACAATAACTAAAATAATATTTTATTCTTTCTATGATGGTCTCCTCTGACTGCACGTCCTTGATTGACGGCGTCTCTGACCAATCACAATTGACGTGTGCTGACATCAGATTGTTTTGGTATCGATTCGGCCCGGCTAGAACCAGGGCCAAGCCATTACTAAAAAGTACCGGGTAGCGGATAAAGCAAGCCAAACCGGGGAGAGTCAAGCCCGTGGAAACGGCCCCATAGTGTGCCAAAGTATGCCACAGTGTGCCGTGAGGAGGGTGGGTGCACTGGTGGGTCATCGACTCTGGGCTTCACCTTAAATTCAACCGAGCTGTTGAATTAACCACCGGGGTGGAAAGTGTGTTATTATGGATGATGTGTTTTTTCTGCCTGACACAAGGCCTCACCTTGCCTGGGTGATCTTGGGACTGGGGTGAGACCTGTAGGTGTGAGAGGAGAGTGGAGAGGGCAGCATGTCCAGGACACATCCCTGAGCGCCTGAGGAGAGAGCACAAGTTGTTGATTGTTTTGTCTTAAATAGAGAAGTGTGTTTCTGCCGCCCACGTCTCTCCCACGTTTGGACCGTTTCTTATCGATCAAAGAGACGACGATTCTCACCACAAAATGTTCCAACGCTTCAAACATCCTTGGAGTTTAACCAGGACAGTATTCAACAAGTACAGTACAGTACAGTATAGTATAGTATAGTGTTATAGTATAATATAAATATCCACCTCCATTTTAACCGTGACGATGTTGAGCCAATGCAGTTTCCACCTGTTTTTTTTGTTTTTTTTTTTAAGTGAAACATAAATCTGCTCTCAGCTCCCATATCAGAATTATATTTCATATCTTACCTGCTCCTGGTGCGTGCGCGGATCCTGGACTGTTCTTCTTCTTTAGTTTCAAACACAGACCGTAAAATCCTAAAATCGTCTGAATGCTACAGCAAAACAAAATATACAGCACGTAGAGCGCGCAGTCTCACGGAAGCAGACTCCCCTCCACCCCATCCCCGTGAAGCCCCGCCTCCTCCTCCTCGTCTCCCGTGAAGCCCCGCCTCCTCCTCCTCCTCTCCCGTGAAGCCCCGCCTCCTCCTCCTCCTCTCCCGTGAAGCCCCGCCTCCTCCGCGTGGTCCTTGCACATAGCCTCTGGATAGAACTTGTCTTTACCATGGATCTATTAAGATCTTTACAGACAGCCAGGATTAAACCTTATGAAAGAGTTTGTTTTGTTTTGAATCATAGTTCTGAAGTGTTGCTCGAAGTACATTTTTCTCATAGTTGTTCAATTTGACTGATTCAGATAATACAGTGAATACCAAAGTGACTTGACCTTGAAACAATTATAAAACAGACGGTACACTGTGTATTATTTAGTGCCATCTAGCGTTGAGATCTTATATTGCAGTCTATTAATGTACGGAAGCCTAAGAGCCTCCTCAACTCTGTCATTCACCAGACTGCCAAGAAAAGAATACTTTAGTTTAATAAATGACCAGATCTCTCCAAACGTCTCGTGGATGTAAACAAGATCACGTTCAGACGCAGTTTCAAGTTTAGATGAAACTTGTGACAGTAGTTGGACTGCGCTCGGAACGGGTCAGAACATCCTGAGACTATGTTGTAGAGTCTGCCTCGTTCTCATTATTGTCAGTGTGAAAAAAGTTATGTATTGTTCACGTGTGAGTTTGTTGTGTACAAACACGGTGGCTGAGTGGATAGCACTCTTGCCTCTCAGCAAGAAGGTCCTGGGTTCGAATCCCGGTCTGCGTAGGTTTCCTCCGGGTAGTCCGGTTTCCCCTACTACTAAAAAATATGTACAATAGGTCTGGCATGCGCCTCCTGTTCAGTGACCCCGCTCCCATCTCTGTGTGTTAACGCTGTCTTTGTGCGTGTGGTTTGTGATGTTGACAGTTTGCTGCTATGACGCTGGACTTCTGCATAATAATTTTTTCCGAAAGATTGTTGTTCGGATCGTCCTTTTACATAACTATGGTCCTCCATGGTTCCTTCTCCCAACTTGTGAAGGCACGATGAAAGCAACGATATCAGTAGCTCATGTGAAACCAAAACGTGATTCTCGCATCCACCACCGTTTTTCAAGATGGCGCATATTCACGGAGAGCACTCCTCTCTCATGGACACTTTTAAGTTAAATTCTAAGCCTATGAAATGAATACTATTCAAAAAACATGGTGAAGGTAAATATTCTTAAAAAAGGTCACATTTGTTATTAGTTAACATGTTTTTGCATATGGGGCAGCTGTAAAAATTACGCAGGGTGGCTTTAAATGCTAAATTGAGCATGAAAATCTGCATCTTATATTCAGGTGCGGCTTGTATGTGGACAATGTCTACTTTCTTTTCAAATGAGGAGGTGCAGATTACTCCAGAATGTTCAGTATTTCACACAGAGACATGAAACAGCAGAATGGAGTCATATTTGTGTATTTCAGCAGAACTTTATACATTAGTGCAGTGTGAAGACATATCTTTAAATCATCATCTTTTTAAAATCTCATTTAAAAAACATTATTTGAGCAGCAGAAACTTAGATGTGTCGCTCTTTTGTTGTTTGGAAAAGCAAAGCTCGAGCCAAGACTTTGTCACAGCGACGGCCTGAGAATACTGCTGCAGCAGCACCTGGAGCTCCTGCGACAAACACACACAGTTATTTTCCATCTGCAGTAATACCTCATTGGAAACATGTCCCCACTGAGCAGCACACATATGCATCAATAAAACAAGATTAAAAAGTCAACAAAACATCATAGGGAAGTGCAATAAAGGCTGCACTTTAGAAGTTGGGAATAAGCAACAAAAACTGCAATCTAGGTTTAGAGCAAAAGCAATAACACACTGCACAGTTTAAAACCCACACAAAGTATACTCAAAGTCACCTGTAAATGAACCTCATGTTCCACTTCAGCCACAATGTGAGTGACCTCTGAACTCATCACGTCCTCCTCGTCTCCGTCGTACGTGAGGAAGAGTTAAGGCACAATTGCATGTGTGACAGAAACAAGACCGAAGGTTCAGAAGGTTCTTTGAATACGACAAAGTGTAAAGAAGCTAGTTATACTCCATCACGTTTCAGAAATTTCGGTCTTTGCCAGAGGAGGTGATGGTGTGATGTCAACCACGCCCCCTTAAATAAAAAAAGAAGAGATGCATCAGGAAGCAGGACACACAACCCATCAACAGAGACACGGGGGCTTTCACTTTGTCTCACACCTGGGACTCACTTCTCCAGAGACCACAGCAGGGGTCTGAGGTCTGTCAGTCTGCTCAGAGACATGTCACACCATCACTGTCTCTTACGAAGTCTCCAAAACATGTGATGATTAAGCAGAACTAGCTTCTTTACACTTTGTCTAACTTTCTAAGCCTTATGGTGCTTTCAGACCGGATCATGCGTTGTGTCTGCTTTCAATGCAAAGTCAATGGTGGGGCGCGTTTGAGCGTCAAAACGCACCAACCTCTCGGCACCAGTGGGGGCGGGTCCCAGCTCAAAAGTGGCCAAAATGACGTGCGCTGACATGCTTGCAATACCACCCCGGGCCGATGAGGGTGGACCCAGAAGAAGAATTAGCCAATGCTAATATATAGCATTGGCAGACCTCTCAAAAACGTCTTTACAGGATGGACCAAAAGTTGGCTCTTGGCCCAAAGCTCCGTTCCACATGTGTGTCAATGCTGAGGGGGTGGATTTGTTTGGTCCACTCTAGTTTACTCGCTGTGAATTTTTGAAGTCTCTCGTTCAAATGAATGGAGCTGCGCCGGATGACGCATGCGCAGATGCGTTTTTCCCAATTTTCTTGTGGGCGGAACCACTCACGGCCATTTTGGATAGCTCCAGTAGAGCACATTTTTTGGCCCATTAGTTAGAACGGCGGAGATAGGCGTGACTATGTCCGTTAATATATACAGTCTATGCTCGGCACACACGCACGGTCTGTTCAGTAGAGACGCACGGACTTGGCGGGAAAGTCAAAGGGGAGGAGCAGGAGCGAAAAATCGACGCCCACAGGAGATGGAATCTGCTCATCCTTTTCTTGGGATGTTCGTGCAGCAACTCTAAACTGTGTTTGCATCATAGCCTGCCGGCTACTTCCGGCACTTCCGGCGCGCGTCAGGACATCTCGGTCTGAAGACCCCTGCGTCTGAAAACTAGAGAATGCGCGTCTTGTGAGCGGGGCTTCAGCGTTTCAGCGTTGGCGGTCTGAAAGCACCATTAAAGGTGCAGTAAGCAATTTTGTCAGCTTAGCCGTTGCACTAACTCGAAACCACTCCCCCTTCCCTCGCCTCTCCACCAAGCCAAACATCCAGCATTTTCTTTTCTTTGTCACAACAGGGAGAGTGGGTGGTAAACATGAAATTGGCATTTTCTGTTCAGCCCTTTTAGGTTTAAGAAAATCTGATAACTCAGGTGTGGACACTCGTGAGAAACAGGAAGAGGGTGAAGGGTAAACGCATCCCATTGGTCCGTTGGGGATAAACAAATCCCATTCATTCATTCATTTTCATCCCTTTATTGTCCATTTCTGGGTCAGGGGGGTGGTAATCAGAGCTGCTACCCAATTCACAAAGCACCAGTCCCTCGCTGTTCCTCTGCAGGTGGTAGGTCCACAGAAAGATGGCTGCTCCTTCATCACAGATACGACCTTGATCTTTCAGGCAAAGTGGGGCTAAGTGTCTTGCCCAGGGACACAACAACAGCAGACATCAGTAGTAAGTAATCTTAATCAGTGGGAGCAGATAACATGGGTCATGGTGGGATCGAACCCACAACCATTAGGTACAAAGACCAACGCTCTACCAACTGAGCTACTGTCGCCCTGAACGATGAATGAAACCCATTGGTTTATTTTTATCGGCTCGCTCCAAAATACGTTTTATTTTTGGAGACTATTGGCATCTGGTAGCAATTCCATTACTATTTGAAAACACATGATAACTTGACTACTTTTAGGGTTTAGGGCCTTTTTCGCACACACAAAAAAAAAATGCAACTGGAAAAAATCACTGACTGCATCTTTAATCAAAAGAAGACATTTCATTTTTTTACCACCCAGCGGCTACACCACCTCTGCTGCACTTTATTACAATCTTCGTCACTTTTAGAATTATATTTATGTTTGTTTGGATGGATGTGTTTCTCCTGCATTTCTCCATCAGGTTTCAATAAAGTGTCTATAGCTCTCTATGTATCTATACAGATTCCATAGTCTTTCAACGTGTCTGTGCCTGGCGCCCCCTACTGGACATCAATGTTAATGTCAATGCGGCCCCACAGTCTTTAGATTCTAAAGCTAATGTTATAAAGAAATCAAACATCATGTTTCTATGAAACACATTGAACAAAATATGAAGCCAAGTCAAAATTCAAAGTAAACCTTATTCCATCAGCAGCCAACAACACTGGATTGAAACGCAAAGGGACCAGGATGACTGATCCATGTAAAGGAAAGAATGAATGGGGCCGTGTGCCGTGAGATTTTGAATGAATGAAAACCTCCTTCCATCAGTAAGGGCATGTAAAGATGAAACGTGGCTGGGCCTTTCAGCATGACAATGATCCCAAACACACCGCCCGGGCAACGAAGGAGTGGCTTTGTAAGAAGCATTTCAAGGTCCTGGACTGGTCTAGACAGTCTCCAAATCTCAACCCCATAGAAAATCTTTGGAGGGAGTTGAAAGTCCGTGTTGCCCAGTGAAAGCCCCAAAACATCACTGCTCTAGAGGAGATCTGCATGGAGGAATGGGCCAAAATACCAGCAACATTGTGGGAAAACCTTGTGAAGACTTAAGCCTGGTTCACACGGCAGGATATTTAGGCCGATTTAGACCCGATTTACCCCTTACGACAATCTTAAGAAACGCTCCGATTTCCGTAACAAAATCTTACAGATTATCCTGCCGTGTGTGGTGTGTTAAGACTGCACTCGTCGCTCGGAAGGACATCGGGACTGCTCCCGATCTCAAATCGGGGATATCCAACATGTTGGATTGTTTTGGCACGATTTCTTGTCGTGTGTGGTGTCCTCCGAGGACAAGCGAGCGCGTTGCCATGACTACGGCGTGTAGCCAATAAGAAGACGAGGTGACAAGCCGGTGAGGAAACACCGGAAAAAAAACCAAAACACAGCAGCATGGCTTTGACCATTGCCTTTTCTTTGGATTACGTGTCTTCTCTGTTAACAACAAACTGCACACTATCGCCACTGCATCCTCTTCGTCCGCCATGACTGTTTACTCTGAAGTCACGCTTGATCTCGAGAGATTTTGTGAGATTTCCGTCTGACCTGGGAATGCTCGGCGTGATCTTGCCGTGTGGCTACGCACCACACACTGCACGACCAAAGTGGTTAGACGCAGGATTTTTAATCTCCCCGTGTGGGGTCTAACACGGAGAAAAATCGGCCGACAATTTTACAATCGTCTCGTGTGAACCAGGCTTTACAGAAAACATTTGAGCTCTGTCATTGCCAACTAAGGGTATATAACAAAGTGTTGAGATGAGCCTTTTATTATTGACCACACACTTATTTTCCACCATAATTTGCAAATAAATAATAATAATAAAAAAGATTTTCTGGTTTTTATTTCTCATTCTGTCTCTCATAGGTGAGGTATACCTATGATGAAAATTACAGGCCTCCCTCATCTTTTATATTCTTATATTTGTTGTCCCACTGTAAATATAGTCCTGAATGCGACCCAGCCTCTTCAAGCCTAACCCAGCCTTACCCAGCCATGAGTTTTGTCAGGGTAACGACTCATTCACGCAGTCGTTCGTCTCTGGTGCAAAAGTGCACCTCATGGCTAAAGGATATGTGAGGAGGTAGCGGGACAGGGTCCTGCGGGCAGAGGCCGGCAGGTTGAAGAAGAACACCCGCACCCCTTGCATGAAGCAGGGAAGCTGCGGCTGGCTCCAACGGGGGAGGACAGGGTAGGGTCCAGGGGTCTCTGCTGGGGGGTCCAGAGCAGGGGAGGTTCCAGGTGTCTCAGCTGCGGGGACCAGGGGAGAGGAGGACGAGGACGCAGCGGAGTTCCTGGATGAGCGGCTGTGATAGTATCTGAGAGAAAGAGAGAGAAAGGGAGAGAAAACTGTGAATGTGCAGTAAGCTAAACATGTGAAAGCATGAGGCTCTGTGAGGCCTCCTGCTATTGGGGGCAAATTGATTCTGTTCAGTATCACCAACTTTTAGGCACACAATTAAATGGATACAGTAGCAAAGTATTGTGATATTTAATTTACTAAATTTATATTTCTTTTAAGTGTTTTCTTAGAGTTTTCTCTGGTCATTTCCATCTGAGGTCTCTATGATGCCTGCTTGTTGTGACTCTAATCTGTTACTGTATATGTGAATAATGTAAGTGATGTGCTAACAATTCACGTGAGCGTTGTCTATTCAGAGAATAATGTCTTGTCTGTAATACGGTCCTGAATGTTCATAACCTGAGAGCTCCATCAGCGGCGTTTTGCTGAGCTCCTCACAAGGATCTAGGATTTATCAATAGGAGATGTATTTCAGAAGGCAGGATAAACCACTTGTCTGTCATCTTGAATGACGTGCTACTTCAACCACTCACATCGAAATCAACCCGTGACGCTGATGAGAGCGACGCTGGGATATCAAAAATAGAACAGCCGATATATTATTAATAAATGTCAGGTCTTTGGCAGCCAATAACATTGAACAAGATTGTTATAGTTGCTAATGGCCCTTGTTTGAGCATCAGTTTATATGAAGTAATTTGCGTTAGGCTTAAATGTTATAATGACATATGTAAAGTCTACTGCTACTGCTGCTGCTACTACTGTTGTTGCTGCTGCTGCTGCGGCTGCTGCGGCTGCTGCTGCTGCTGTTACTACTGCCGCCCTAGCCTGGTCGTACCACACCATAGTACGAAATTATGATTGAGCGGAGTGTACGGATGGCTAAGGCCAGGCTACTGCTGCCCGCTTCAGCCAAGTAAAAAAATCAAAAAATCCTTATAGAAAAAAAATCAAAAAATTCCAAGTTTGAAACGCAAAATTCCAACATAATATCTCTCTGGTCTCTCTCTCTCTGGTACATACATGTATGTAGGGACTCCTCGTGTTGCCAGGTGTTTCCGGATCAGCCGCTCAGTCCCGTACCAGTTGAAACCTTTAGTGGAGTGTCCGAGTCGAGGCAGATGAACACTCACTGTTTGTGAAAAACACACAAACATGAAAAGCAAAAGACCATGTGAGACCATGTGCGTCTGAGCTCACAGTTTACGCTACAGCCTGGTATAGATGAAAGAATGTAACAACCATTAAATTAAAAGTGTGGGGAATGTACAGTATATAGGAGCATAAAGCTGAGGTATGTAACTTCCAAACCACAGCACCATAAATCATCAGTTAAAATGTTTCGATCTCTAGTTCCTCGCTCTTTCACTAGTTTTCACATGCATCTTTAGATCATATTTTTTTAGGACTTTTTGCGGATTATTTTCAGAACACATCACCCACGCGATAAACCAGGGTATAAATTAACCACCTGTCTACGGTGGTTTTAACGTTTTCCAAAGGCACGACAAAAAGACATTATTTCAGCAAGGGAGAAAACACATTTTTATTTAGTTTGTAGTGTTGTCTGTATAAAGTTTTTCGGCGCTTAAGGACTACAACGACAGAGAGGGAAACATGGAGGGAACTATAAGACGTTGCAGAAGCAAGCGTAAAAGAATACAGCACGCAAAGACAGATGCCGGGGCAAACGCCAGAGACTGGAAGTGTTTGAGGCTGTTGAGACGCTCACGAGTGACTGAGAAGAGCGGTGCGCCGGTTGGACCCCCGGAGAGACTACTATGAGTGTGGGCCGAGGCAGCTGGACCAGCGTAGCCAAGGCTGCCTTTACCTTTGACCATAGACCTGCAGTGACCTGGGAACTACAGGAGCAGAGACAAGGAAAGGCCGGGACGTGGAGCAGCAGAGCGAGCACGCTAAGGCGGAACACAACGCTGGAAACGAGCTAAGTGAACGTACATATATTTTCGACGACCACGCACAACAGCATCTATTCCCCCCTGACCAGTGTGTGAAAGCGCTCTTCTCCTCCCCCTCCACCACAGCGCTACTTGTCCAACTGAGGCCCAGAGGACATGGACTGATTCGCAATAGGGGAGACTGGACTGAGCCACTGTGGCATACAACGCTCATCTAAAATCTAAAGAACGTGGACTAGAGTCCCCATTATAAACGTGGATTGGGTTGCTTGCATTGGGTTGAGTGTAATTCTTCCTCCCTCCACAGCCACGCAGAGGACCAGTCAACCCGCGCCCGAACAGCTGGATGCGCAGGAGAGCGACTCTGGAGTTGTGCTGTACGCAGCAAAGAGAACTTCTGGCCCGGGACAGTGCAAACCTTCTTATTGACTGTAAATTAACATTATATCTTTTCAAGCTGTGTCATTATTCAACAGTGGGTTTTACTTAAAAGCTGATCAAAGAACCTCACATTTGTGACATAAACATCTATCATTTGGTTTTATATTGAAAGCTTTGAAAGCCCCTGAATGGCTCCGTCAAATGTAATATTATTGTTTGTGCTTTGGTTTCTGATAAGTTTGTTATTAAAACTGGGGTACCCAACTTTCAAACCACACATTTTAGTGTGACATATTATCTTAACTTGTTCCCCGCTCTCAACACATCACTACTTTTCAATTTTAGTCCATGTCACATCTTTAAATAAGCAGAAAAGCAAAAAAGAGGACCACAATCATTCTAGTCTCTCCCTCTCTGGTCTCTTTCAAATGTTTCATGTGAACATTACCCTTTTTGCCTTTTGCAGCGGTGTAGATCTTCCGCAATCCTTCCTCAAGAGCTGTCAGTAAGATGCCAGATAAGGAGTTGTTTTTATCTCTCTTCTGAGCCACAATTAGAGCCAACTGCAGAAACACCATCTTTATCACATCTGTACAACATCTTGTATCTTGCCATTGGTGCTAATGTGTGTGCGTGTGTATGTGTGTGTCAATGACTGTACTGTGTTTTGTAGGGTTCTGAATATTTGTTTTTGTATTGTATTGTAGTATGTGTCTGAATGGATAGGATTGTATTAATACAAGTTTTCTTGTTTTCTCTTATTATCATAGTTTCCTGTGAATAAATGCATGTATCTTGTGCATCTTTTGTAATAAATATACAAATGAGAATCTGTACAACATCTGCACAACATCCTGTGTGCAACACCACACTCTCACACATACACACACACACACACAAAGTGAGGACTGCGGGAGTTTGGTTACCAAGTGAGGACCACCAGTTTTGTTTAAATATTTAGATAAGGGAAGGACATTTATTGAAAATATTATCCAAACTTTTATTCTAGTTGAGGGGAAGAGCTTGTTTCAATTCGAGTTTAACTGTTCTATGCCTTTCCACTGCAGGAGTTCTTGGTAAAAAGAGCGGGGTGGAACTTCTATCGGAACGTCCTCTCCCTCAGTCCTCTCAGTGGCCGTGTCTCCACCGCAAAGTAGGTCCCCTCAGCGACGTCATGAGGATCGATTGCAGCATAAGCGAAACCCTAACCCTAACCGTCAACATTGACTCAAACTGAGAACTTTTTGTGACAATCACAGGGAAGCTTCTGAAAGGCATTTGGAGTTCATTTAAGAATCAGAATCAGAATCATTTTTATTGCCAACGTAAGTAACGGGAGGTCACAGACTTGGAAATTGCTTTGGCTCAGTGCAACAGTCAAAAAGAGATAATAAAAATAAGAATAAAAAACACTTCTAAAGAATAAATTTAAATTTAAAACAGAGTTACAGTTACTATTTACAATATACAAGTGCACATGGTGCACACAATGTAAGGTGACAGCAGTACAGTGAAGTAAAGTGACGTATGATGGGCAGTAAAGTGACTTTATAAAGGGCGGGGGGACAGGTTAAGAAGTGTTCAAGAGTCCAACAGCAGAGGGGAAGAAACTGTTCTTGTGGCGGGAGGTTCTAGTCCTGATGGACCGCAGCCTCCTGCCTGAGGGGAGTGGTTGGAATAGTCCATGTGCAGGGTGAGAGGGGTCGGCTGTGATACGACCAGCCCGGCCTCGAGCTCGGGCGACGTACAGGTCCTGCAGCGATGGAAGGCTGCGGCCGATCACTTCCTCTGCAGAGCGCACAATGCGCTGTAGTCTCTGTTTGTCCCTGACTGTGGCTCCAGCGAACCACACGGTGATGGAGGAGGTGAGGATGGACTCGATGATGGCCGTGTAGAACTGCACCAACATCTGTGCAGGCAGCTTGGCTTTCCTGAGCTGCCGCAGGAAGTACATCCTCTGCTGGGCCTTCTTGATGAGAGAGCTGATGGTCGGCTCCCACTTGAGGTCCTGGGTGATGGTGGTGCCCAGGAAACGGAAGGACTCCACAGAGGTGATGGGGGAGTCCATCACGGAGGGTGGGGGCGGGGGGACAGTGCTCTTCCTGAAGTCCACAATCATCTCCACTGTCTTCTGGGCGTTCAGCTCCAGGTTGTTACCACTGCACCAGGACACCAGCCGGTCCACCTCCCTCCTGTAGGCGGACTCATCGTTGTTGGAGATGAGTCCAATGAGGGTGGTGTCGTCCGCGAACTTGATCAGCTTCACGGAGTCGTGGCTGGAGGTGCAGTGGTTGGTGTACAGGGAGAAGAGCAGGGGAGAAAGAACACAGCCCTGTGGGGCTCCTGTATTTATAATCCGAGAGTCCGAGACATTCTTCCCCAGACGCACTCGCTGCTTCCTGTCCGTCAGGAAGTCAGTGATCCACCTGCAGGTGGAATCGGGCACGTTGAGCTGGGAGAGCTTGTCCTGGAGCAGGGATGGCAGGATTGTGTTGAAGGCAGAGCTGAAGTCCACGAACAGGACCCTGGCGTAGGTCCCCGGGGAGTCCAGGTGCTGTAGGATGTGGTGGAGGGCCAGGTTAATGGCGTCGTCTACAGATCTGTTGGCTCTGTAGGCGAACTGCAGGGGGTCCAGGAGGGGGGAGGTGAGGGACTTGAGATGGGAGAGAACCAGGCGTTCAAATGACTTCATGACGACAGACGTAAGTGCTACAGGTCTGTAGTCATTGAGTCCTGTGATCCTGGGCTTCTTCGGGACGGGGACAATGATGGAGGATTTGAAGCAGGCCGGGACATGGCAGGACTGCAGAGAGGAGTTGAAAATGTCCGTGAACACAGGAGTAAGCTCACTGGCGCAGTGTCTCAGAGTGGCCGGAGACACGTGGTCCGGGCCAGGAGCTTTGCGGGGGTGCAGCCTCAGGAAGAGTTGTTTAATCTCTTTAGCGGCTATTGTTAGGCTGGGGGCAGGGCTGATGGGTGGGTCGTTAGAGTAGTGGGGGGTGGGGGAGGGAGAGGTGTCAGGGGCAGCATCAAAGCGACTGAAAAATAAGTTCAGATCGTCAGCTAGCTTGTGGTCATCAGCACAGGGGGGGGCTTTGGGTTTGTAGTTGGTGATCTCCCGTAGGCCCCTCCAGACAGAAGCAGTATCGTTGTTACCAAACTGCTCCTGTAGTCGTTCTCTGTGCCGGGACTTGGCTGCTTTCAGTTCTTTCCTGAACTGATATTTAGCTGCTTTGTAGCCGCTGCGGTCCCCCTCCCTGAAAGCAGACTCCTTTGCTTTCCTGAGCTGCCGGAGTTTAGCAGTGAACCAGGGTTTGAGAGGGGTCCTCACTTCCCAATAATGTCCTCAAATGCCGATTTAAAACATTCACTGGTCCTCACTCCAATGCACACACGCACACTCTCGCACAAATGTATTTTAAAAGAATGAGTGATTGTGAAATTATGAAATGTCTTAAATGAACAGATGGCAGACTATAGTTATCCATTGATCTTGTATTTAAGCCTTTTTCATTGATTGGTTTCTCAGTGACCATTGTTTCTTGTACTGTTTAACTTTTTTATTGTATATACAGTCTTTGTCTGGTGCACACCGGGGACTTTTGCACCAGTATGTACAATGTGTACCAGAATGGTATTCCCGTGTATTAACATAACAGATAAATAGTTTGTTTAAAAGAAGAGTCGTTTTTCAGCATCAAAACCAAAGTTGAGATTTAATTAAATGTTTCAAAATTTGTTTTAAAACTAGCGATGTGTAAAAGAAGAAAAAGGGGAATTAAATGTATACATTTAAAAGTGATGAAATACAGAAAAACATTATTGGAAGCTAATGCTAAAGACCACATTCTAACGATAAACCATGATGCTTTAGCCAACACATGCCCTTCTCTGGTGGAAACCAAACTGAACCAGAACCAGCTCAGCACCAGAACTGGCCCAGGACCAGTCCAGCACCAGAACTGGCCCAGGACCAGAACCAGTCCAAGACCAGAAGTAGCCCAGGACCAGAACCAGGACCTGTCCAGAACTAGCACCATTCTGCTGCTATACAGGGATCAAGAGTTCCGAGCTTCCGGCTCGACCGCACGGCATTGTGGGAAGTTTCCTCAAAAACCTGTTGCGAGCATGATTTGTCTCTCTTTTTTCCAGCCCATGTAGCACATGTAGCTCTATAGTCAGTCAGTTGTGTTTACATCTAAAACCAAAAGAAATAAATGCATTGCTTTTTTGTTACATGAAAAAATCTTTACCTTACCTTCTAAATGTCTGAAATTGGTGAATTTTTTAGCTATTAAAACAACCGATGGGCTGGAAAAAAGAGACAGATCACACTCGCAACAGGTAATCTAATAGGAGAGCATGATTTGATGCCCACTTTTTTGAGAAAACTACCCATAATGCTGTGCGGTCGAGCTGGAAGCTCGGAACTCTTGATCCCTGTATAGAGGAAAAGGAGCCGAAAATGGCGACATCTTAGTTATAGATAAAAATACAGTATTAAACAAAAATAAAACATACTTTCATAGAAATAATGACATAGATAGAGACAGAAAGATAGCTACGCTGAAAGTAAAACCCATCAAATTGACTGCTCTGAGTTCAGTGTTGAACACTAGAATAAAATTCAAATAATTTATAAAAGCCACAAACCTGATCCTGTCCGTCGATCCTGCTCTGTTTGTCATCGATGGGAAACAGCAGCACGTTTCCCAGCTGCAAATCTGAAAATAATATGACATAAATACTAAATATTACGATTGAACGATATAGTCTCCTGGTATAGCTCATGGTGTCCTCTCCTCAAAATGGAAATGTCTATATAGTTTTCAGCTGGAAACGTGTTGTTTGTTATGTTTTTTCGCAACGTCAGATTGTTTTGGCATCTTCTCGGCCTGGCTAGAACCATGGCCAAGCCATTACTAAAAAAGTACCGGGTAACGGCTAAAGCGAGCAAGTGGAAACGCCCGCAAACCGGAGAGAGTCAAGTCAAGAGTGGGGTCTTCATTCTCCTCATCTCTTCAAGTGCAATATGGAGTACCCCAGGGCAGTGTTATTGCTCCATCGCTATTCAATATCTTCTTAAATTATTTATTAAATGCATTGGAAGAGCTTTCTGGGCTGTTACCAGACAGTATAAGAGTTACACCAGCTGCATGTGCGGACGACACTTTACTAACTGTCACTAGTGCACATCCAGCCCTTGCGGCTGCAGCTTTGAATTGTGCATTGGCTACAAAAAAAAAAACACAGTTCACATACAAAAGATATTTACAAAGCAATGAGTAAATTGCCCTAGACTAATGGTTACACGTCTGCTGAGTTACTAATCAGTTTTTCAGATGTAATTTGAATAATGAGTATGGTGTGAATTCTGATGTTTGATGGGATGGAGTTCCAGTCTCTGGCAGCGGTTACAGAGAAGGCACTCTGACTGAAGGCACTCCGTCTCAGAGGAACCAGGCAGTCCCCTCGTGCTGCCCCTCTGGTTACCCTCTCAGACAGAGCGGTGTTCTTTATGTGGACAAACTGACTGAGTGTTGATTATTTTGTATATTAAACAGAGGTTGGACTACTTAATGGAATTGTCCCAGTTTAAAAGCCTGTGCTTTTGAAGAATATTGCAGTGATGATGTCGTAAGGGTTTTTTGGCCAAGTCATGTTTGAGGGCCACAACATCTCCTTCTTAAGTGAGACAAAGCACTTGGAGATAACAATCAGCAGTGACTTAAAATTAAAGTGTTATGTTGAGGACTTGTATAAAGGGGCTAGGAAGGAAATGTTTGTATTGAGGCTCTTAAAATCAAAACTAATAAAGCACCCAACAAAGATGCATGCGCATAATTCTAAATCTGCCGTATTGTGCCCAGATGACAGCAGATCATTATAGAGCGGTCAGATTAACAACTTTGCAAACAAGGTGGAATATTGCGCTTGCATGCTTTGGTTTTGAACTGTTCCATGGACTCTCGCCTGCTGCACTAAGACCATACCGACCCACACAAAGAGTCCTGGCTTATCATGTGCGCTGAGTCAGTTGTGCTTTTCCAGACGGGACACTGCCAAGTGCCCACATGATGCAGAGATCGTGTCTCACTCTGGCCACTAGGATATGGAACATGCTGGACTCTGACTGTGTCTCTAGTGAAACTTTTTCAGGGATGAACTATTTGAAAACTTCCCTCATAACTAGAATTGGGGGTGAGACCATGAAAATGTAATGGGCTTTTTTTAATTAAATTTTTGCAAGGTTTTCTTGTTAAATGTTATTAAATTTATTTAAAAAAAACAAAAAAACAAGCAACTGTAACCCTAACTCTAACCATAAACATATGTGATATATCTAACCTTTCATTTTTGCTGCAGATTCGTATCGTTTCTTGGGTTCATCAGATCTGATGTCCAGAGCAGAGAACAGGCCTCCTCTACCCCATCGCCCCGAGTCATCTACAAATGTAAATGTGTATGTACAGTATATAAATACATATGTGTATACACACACACACAGTTGTTTGTCAGATATGTACAGTAGATGAAAGACACACACAGTGAAGCACACACACACACAAATACAGTGAAGCAGTATTGCTCTTTCAATCTTCTAGTTCAAATAATTGATGAATAATAAATGCATCAAAGACTACTTTTAGTTTGTTTTTACAAATTGATTGTATATACAGTGGGAAAAAAAGTATTTAGTCAGCCAACTTTGTGCAATTTAACAAAGATGAAGGAGGCCTGTAATTATCATCATTTGTATACCTCAACTATGAGACAAAAAATCAAATTTATTTCCAAGTTATGGTGGAAAATAAGTATTTGGTCACCTACAAACAAACAAACAAAGTGAGGTTCCTGGTTCTCTCAGAGTGTAACTCCTTCTTTAAGAGGCTCCTCTGTCCTCCACTCATTACCTGTATTAATGGCATCTGTTTTAACTCATTATCAGTCTGAAAGACATCTGTTCACAACCTCAAACAGTCACACTCCAAACTTCACTATGGCCAAGACTAAAGAGCTTTTAAAGGACAACAAAAACAAAATTGTAGACCTGCACCAGGCTGGGAAGACTGAATCTGCAATAGGTAAGCAACTTGGTTTGAAGAAATAAACTGTGGGAGCAATTATTATTGCTCCACGCAATATCTCACCCCGTGGGCTCAAATGGTCAAGAACAGAGAGCAAAAATCCCAGAACCACACAAGGGACCTTGAGAATGACCTGCAGAGAGCTGGGACCAAAAGTCGCGTTTCCACAGCAGGAACTTCAGGGTAATTTTACAGGGCCAGTCCGGTTGGTGCATGTAGTGCAGTAGTAGTTTATCACCACCGTGTAAGGATTGAAAGAATGACATGTAAAGCGTCTTTGAGTGTCCAAAAAAGCGCTATATAAAACCGAAGCATTATTATTATTATGTCTCCACCGCAGGAACCTCGCACACAGGGCCATTTAAAGGAACTTTTTCCGGAACCAATGGAGTACCTCCTCTATAGAAGGTACTCCGTTTGGCCCTGAACAGCTCCTGGGTGGGGTTTGAAGTTAACCTGGCGCTAGCTTTAGCTGGCTAAAAACACAAAACTGGAGCAGGACTATAAAAGCTCAAGACCGTAAAATTAATAATTATTGATAACGCAGTGATCGAAAGTCATGACATCGCCGAGGGATCTTACTCTGCAGTGGAGACACGACTACCCAGAGGGCCGAGTGAGAGGACAGTTCCTGTAGATGTCCCACTCCCTCCTTTTACCAGGAACTCCAGCGGGGGAAACGCAACTAAAGTAACAAAGGCTACCATAAGTAATACACAACGCCGCCAGAGACTCAAAACCTGCAATGGCAGACGTTTCCCCTGCTTAAGCCAGTACATGTCCAGGCCTGTCCGAAGTTTGCTAGAGAGCATTTAGATGACCTGAAGAGGACTGGGAGAATGTCATATGATCAGATGAAACACAAATAGAACTCTTTGGTAAAAGGTAAACTCTTTGTGTTTTAAGGAGAGTTGAATCCAAAAGAACACCATACCTACTGTGAAGCATGGGGGTGGAAACATCATGCTTTGGGGCTGTTTTTCTGCAAAGGGACCAGGACGACTAATCTTTGTAAATAAAAAATGAATGGGGCCTTGTGTTGTGAGATTTTGAATGAAAACGTCCTTCTATCAGCAAGGGCATTGAAGATGAAACGTGGCTGGGTCTTTCAGCATGACAATGATTCCAAACACACCACCCGGGCAACAAAGGAGTGGCTTTGTAAGAAGTATTTCAAGGTCCTGAAGTGGCCGAGCCAGTCTCCAGATCTCAACCCCATAGAAAAACTTTGGAGGAAGTTTAAAGTCTGTGTTGCCTAGCAACAGCCCCAAAACATCACTGCTCTAGAGGAGATCTGCATGGAGGAATGGGCCAAAATACCAGTTTGTGAAAACCTTGTGAAGACTTACAGAAAATGTTTGAGCTCTGTCATTGCCAACAATGGGTATTGTGGTAAGTAATGAGAAGAACTTTTGTTATTGATAAAATACTTGGCAACCATTGGCAACCATAATTTGCCAATGTGATTTATTTTATTTTTTTTCTCATTCTGTCTAGTTGAGGTATATATAGAATAAAAATTCTCCTTCATCTTTCAAGTATGAAAACTTGCTCAATTGGTGGCTGACTAAATACTTTATTGCCCCAATGTACATTTATTATAATATATAGCTATAATTATATTAAGAGGATTACTTTTATTTAACACATTTGAATTGTATTATTTGGTAGATTTGTCTGTATAAAATGAGTCAGTTATGTTTGTTATTCTGTCTTTATAACCTCAAATCTCAGGACACTTATTGATAATCTGCTACAGTCTGTTGTGTGAATGTGAACGTTATGTTTTTCATGACGTACTCTTAGAACTTGTTTGTATCAAATATCAAATCAAATTCCCAGTTTAAGACAACAATCGTGCTTCAAGTTGCTTTGATTATGTTGACATTCTTACAGAGACAAATCCATTAAAGCTGGTGTGAGTGAAACATAAGTGGATCTTCCATTTGGAAGACGTTAGTTTTCATGTTGACCACAGAAGGAGCAGACAGGTCCGTACCGACACAGTGCACAATGATGGCGTCCTCTTTGGCAGCGTGAGGGTGTGTGACATCACCCAGGATGTAGTGGATGGCATTGGCCTCAGAGTCTGTGGAGCTGATGCTGTCTTCATCATCATCATCTCCACTGTCGACCGACGGGAGACACAGAGACCTGTACCCACATGACTCCCACCAGGCCATTCTGATGATACAGTGAGGATTATTATTGTTATTACTCCTACTCCTCCTCCTACTACTACACCTATTTTATATGTTACATGTGTCTTTTGATTTTAGTTTAGATCATTATTGTTCAGACATAATAAATGAAAGACATACTTTTTCTGGTATTTCTCCTCCTGTTGTTTCCTCTTCAGTTCTTCTTGTATCTTTGCTCGTTTGGCTGCAGCCTCTTTCCTTCGCTCTCGTCTGATTTCTACCTCTTCTTCAGTCAGAGCTTGACGTTTCCTCGAGGGAAGAACCAGAGAAACACATACCTGGAAAACACAGGTCATTCTCTCTGTTGGAGGTAAAGGCTGTAGAGACTAAGACTGTAGATACTGTAGAGACTGTAGATACTGTAGAGACTGTAGAGACTGTAGAGACTGTAGAGACTGTAGAGACTGTAGAGACTGTAGAGACTGTACAGACTAAAGACTGTAGAGACTGTAGGCTGTAGAGCAGTCCCTCTAGGATTCCACAGGCAATTATTGTGATTGCTGCGGGCTAATTTTTTTCCAAAAGTTACAATGGCAAGTTGCGATTTAAAAGACTGTAGAGGTTGTAGACTGTCTCAGTGTGTGTCTCACAGGGGCCTTGTGTCTCAGGGCTGGGCCCTCAGCTGCAGACCTCTGTAGATCGGAGAGATGTTCCTCCATCAGAGCCTCAAACCTGCTCAGATCGTCGGAGCTTGGGTCTTTGCTGTAGTCCCGACCCTCAAAGAAATACATGTGATCTGAGAACACAGTCACACAGTGTCACACACAGTAACATACACAGTAACACACACAGTAACATACACAGTAACACACACACAGTAACACACACAGTAACATACACAGTAACACACACACAGTAACACACACAGTAACATACACAGTAACACAAACAGTAACACACACAGTAACACACACAGCAACACACACAGCAACACACACAGCAACACACACAGTAACACACACAGTAACACACACAGTAACACACACACAGTAACATACACAGTAACACACACAGCAACACACACAGTAACACACACAGTAACATACACACAGTAACACACATAGTAACATACAGTACACAGTAACACACACAGTAACATACACACAGTAACATACACAGTAACACACAAAGTAACACACACAGTAACACACACAGTAACATACACAGTCACATACACAGTCACACAGTGTCACACACAGTAACATACACAGTCACACACACAGTCACACACACAGTAACACACACAGTAACACACACAGTAACATACACAGTAACATACACAGTCACACACACAGTAACATACACAGTCACACAGTGTCACACACAGTAACATACACAGTAACACACAGTAACATACACAGTAACACACACAGTAACATACACACAGTAACACACACAGTAACACAGTGTCACACACAGTAACACACACAGTAACACACACAGTAGCACACACAGTAACACACACAGTAACATACACAGTAACACACACAGTAACACACACACAGTAACACACACAGTAACATACACAGTAACACACATAGTAACACACACACAGTAACACACACAGTAACATACACAGTAACACACACAGTAACATACACAGTAACACACACAGTAACACACACAGTAACACACACACAGTAACACACACAGTAACACACACAGCAACACACACAGTAACACACACAGCAACACACACAGTAACACACACAGTAACATACACACAGTAACACACATAGTAACATACACAGTAACACACACAGTAACATACACACAGTAACACACATAGTAACATACACAGTAACACACACAGTAACACACACAGTAACATACACACAGTAACATACACAGTAACACACAAAGTAACACACACAGTAACACACACAGTAACATACACAGTCACACAGTGTCACACACAGTAACATACACAGTCTCACACACACAGTCACACACACAGTAACACACACAGTAACATACACAGTAACACACACAGTAACATACACAGTAACATACACAGTCACACACACAGTAACACACACAGTAACATACACACTCACACAGTGTCACACACAGTAACATACACAGTAACACACAGTAACATACACAGTAACACACACAGTAACATACACACAGTAACACACACAGTAACACAGTGTCACACACAGTAACACACACAGTAACACACACAGTAACATACACAGTAACATACACAGTAACACACACAGTAACATACACAGTAACACACACAGTAACATACACAGTAACACACACAGTAACACACACAGTAACATACACAGTAACACACACACAGTAACACACACACAGTAACACACACAGTAACATACACAGTAACACAAACAGTAACACACACACAGTAACACACACAGTAACACACAGTAACACACACACAGTAACATACACAGTAAAACACACACAGTAACACACACAGTAACACACACAGTAACATACACACAGTAACACACATAGTAACATACACAGTAACACACACAGTAACACACACAGTAACATACACACAGTAACATACACAGTAACACACAAAGTAACACACACAGTAACACACACAGTAACATACACAGTCACATACACAGTCACACAGTGTCACACACAGTAACATACACAGTCACACACACAGTCACACACACAGTAACACACACAGTAACATACACAGTAACACACACAGTAACATACACAGTAACATACACAGTCACACACACAGTAACACACACAGTAACATACACAGTCACACAGTGTCACACACAGTAACATACACAGTAACACACAGTAACATACACAGTAACACACACAGTAACATACACACAGTAACACACACAGTAACATACACACAGTAACACACACAGTAACACAGTGTCACACACAGTAACACACACAGTAACACACACAGTAGCACACACAGTAACACACACAGTAACACACACAGTAACACAGTGTCACACACAGTAACAGACACAGTAACACACACAGTAGCACACACAGTAACACACACAGTAACACACAGTTTAGACCAGAGGAAAATGTCTTCATGTTGATGGAATACTAAAATAGTGTTGTGTTACTCTATAACAGTGTTGTGTTACTGTAGTAATCCATAGTGCGTAATGACACACGGAGGAACATACTCTGTCCCTCCGGCTCTGCGCTGCCGTCGCCTCCTCCTTCTCCTTCTTCTCCTCCTTCTTCTTTAACAGCTGTCGTCTCGTCGTCCTCCAACCACCCACCATTTTCAGTCAAACCCAGAATCGTGTCGAGCTTCACTTCCTGAACAGAGCTCTGCTCTGAGGACAGAAGTTTATCCACTCCAAACTTCAGGATCTCACTGAGCTGCAGAAAAAGACAGTCACGAACAGAGACACACACACACAGACACACACAGATACACACAGACACACACAGACACACACAGACACACACAGACACACACAGACACACACAGACACACACAGACACTCTGACCTTCAGATCAGCAGCAGCATCAGACTGGTCCCTGAGGGAGAAGCGTCCCTCTTCTATCACGGTGTTGGTGAGGTTCAGTTTGGACCGGGCTCTGGAGAACATGATCTCCTCCACCGTGTCCCGGGACAGGAGTCGGATTATCTTCACAGGCCTGAGACACAAATTACAGATTATCTTCGAGGCATTTATTGTAAACTGATATAAAGTTATTTGTGTGGAGCAGAACTAATTCTAGATTCAGTTTATATTCCATTTAGTAAAACCACATTGGAAACGTGCACAAGAGCCCCCAGTGTCTCTGGTCTCTCACCTGGTCTGTCCGATGCGGTGGCAGCGTGCCGCCGCCTGTAGATCGTTCTGAGGATTAAAATCTGTGTCCATAAAAATCACTGTGTCTGCAGCCGTCAGGTTCATGCCCACACCACCTGGAAACAGAGCGAGAGAGAAAGAAACACACACACACACACACAGACACAGAGACACACAAAAATAAACAGTAGGTCAGGGATTACTGGAACCTATTTTGTAGTTTACAAAGACTTTCTTATTTCAAACGACATGTCTTCTGACCAATCACTTACCTCACATTACACTGTTCATTATTAACTGTTTTTTGCCTTTACTCGGGCTGGGAACTAACTGCGATGCAAGTAATGTGATTGGATTCTGATATATTTATTGCAATTCATGTCCATCATACAAGACCAATTACAAACATGAAGGAAAACAAGACTGTGACATTTATTATGGTCTGCACATGAACTGAAGTCCGAGTCATTTCAGAGGGAGATGATTGAATTGTCTTAATACTCCTAAAACGAAGACAATAATGACTCATTTACTGTATTACTATGCTAGAAGAAAGACTAAAACATCAAACAAATCCAACCAGATCTTGAACATCCAGGTGAAACAGATGATGATTTCTGGTTATGTTTCTATGTTCTTCAAGATTCTGATCATAATAAAATCACCTGCTCATGATTCTGATCATAATAAAGTCACCTGCTTTAGTGCTGAGCAGAAACACAAACACGTCCTTCGTGCTGAAGTTTTTCACCGCCAGATTTCTCTCTTCTCCTCGAACTGATCCGTCCAGTCTCTCGTAGCTGTAACCTGATCACAAAACAAGTCTTTGTAGAAAACCCAATATCCCAAACACCCAATAATTTATAATAATAATTTTTAAAAAATTCTCTCTAAACAAGGGCGTTTCCCCAGAGGACCAGGGGACAAGAATGGAGGCTTTGAGTTGGGTGTGTTCTAAAGCTGGGATTGTCATTGCTGGCATACGGCAATAGTTTACACACCGAAAGTCTCATTCCACCTTTGTTTACACACACTAAGATAATTGTATAGTTAGACAGCTGAGCTTAAACCACAGAATTATCTCAGTAGCAGTAGTGGCCCTCAACTAATGACATTTAATTTCAAACCGCTGTCAGGAATGAAGCAGACAGAGACGGATCGTGGTGCGCCAAACTCTGGAAGTTTATTTAAGTTTCTCTCAAGTTCCAGTGGTTTCAATTGTTTCTTTCTCTCAGACAAAATGGAGTCAGTACACAGTTTATGTAGTCATTGTCACGTCACACATCAAAAGACGTACGTGTCACACAGAGACAGTCACATCATAGTCAAAATAATCAGAGTCCTTGTAGAGTCCTGCACGTAGGCCATATTGCTATCTAATACTAACACAGCTAGATGTTGCCACAATACTCCAACTCGCTTCTGGGGCGAGTGTGAGACTTGGCTTCTTTTACACCAAAGGCAACGGACGTCACACTGCACTCCAGAGCAAATGGGGAGGCCAGGCACCAAATTCAATAGTAGTGTCACTGAAAATGTAGAGAGGCCCCACAGAGATGGTTTTAGGCTCAAAAGTGAGATTTTATCTATTTTGCACTAACATTTCCAAAAATTAACCAGGACATGTAAAGAGCACTATAAAGCTCCGTCCCAATTATCACCCTAGCCCTTAATTTGTACCCTGGCTTATACTTCTAGGCAGCACAATTACGTGGGGCAGAGTGGCTAAGGGCAAAGTGAAGAAATAACCTGGATAACTCTGAAACAAAGTGAGTACTCTGATATGCCAATTCAAGCGTTCTGCTCAAAAGAGATATGGAATCAATGTAAAAAAAAAAAAAAAAAAACACTCCTGGATGAAATGCACACAAAAGGTTCTAAATATTGTTAGGAAAAAGATTAACGCCCCTCAATCAATATCTAGAGCTATGAAAAAATGAAAATAATTAGACTTTCAACCAGGACAACTGGATCCAAGGTTCCGAGACTGGGAAAGCATTAACCTTTTTTTCAACTGATGATTTGTTTGAGGGGGAGGTTCTAAAGTCATTTGATCAGATCAGGGAGAAATTCAACTTGAACACAACAGATTGTTGTAGTTGAGAAGTTATCTGATGTCTCGCAAAGATTGGTTATTTTATAATCGCAACCAAGTGAGCTGGAGACGATGTTTATTTTGGCCAGGAAAATAAATAATTGTGATAAAGCTGTCTCATGCTTGTATAAATGCTTAAAATCAACTATTTCAACGAGCTCTCTTGAGATAAAAGAAAAGTGGGAATTGGAAATGAATAGAACTAGAAGACCACACCTCGGAGCAGATGTGTGAATCCGAACATAAATTAACTAGTAGCCCAACATGGAACGATTTTTTCTGGAAAGTAAATATTAGATATTTTAAAACCCCATTCATATTTTCAAAATATGATAAGACAAAAACAATACTGTGCTGGAGACAATGTAGACAAATTGGGGAGCAGAGACATATCTTTTGGGATTGTCCAAAATTAAAACCATTTTGGGGGGGAATCAGGGGGGAGCTTTCTAAAATACTACACATTCACATAGACTCTTTGGAAGGCTCTTTCCTGATGTTTTGCGTGGGGACAAAAGGTACCAAAAGGGCAAAAAAATGATAACTGTGTCCTGGTACAAACCACTACCCCCACATTAGAACAATGGAGGGAGAGAGCACACTGGCATATACAATGGGAAAAATAACATCAAAACTAAATCTTAACATGACAAATGTTTGAAAAAAGGTGGACTCCGTTAGTAAAGTCTTTTCATTTGCCATTGAAATGATGGGTTCTCGTGACAAAGCCATTTTTGTCTATTTGGACACTTGCGCAATCTTTAACAGCATACAGTGCCTTGCGAAAGTATTCGACCCCCTTGAACCTTTCAACATTTCGCCACATTTCAGTTTTCAAACATAAAGATATAAAATTTTAAATTTTTGTCATGAATCAACAACAAGTGGGACACAATCGTGAAGTGGAACAAGATTTATTGGATAATTTAAACTTTTTTAACAAATAAAAAACTGAAAAGTGGGGCGTGCAATATTATTGGGCCCCTTTACTTTCAGTGCAGCAAACTCACTCCAGAAGTTCAGTGAGGATCTTTGAATGATCCAATGTTGTCCTAAATGACTGATGATGATAAATAGAATGCACCTGTGTGTAATCAAGTCTCCGTATAAATGCACCTGCTCTTTGATAGTCTCAGGGTTCTGTTTAAAGCGCAGAGAGAACCATGAAGACAAAGGAACACACCAGGCAGGTCCGAGATACTGTTGTGGAGAAGTTTAAAGCCGGATTTGGATACAAAAAGATTTCCCAAGCTTTAAACATCTCAAGGAGCACTGTGCAAGCAATTATATTGAGATGGAAGTAGTATCAGACCACTGCAAATCTACCAAGACCCGGCCGTCCCTCCAAACTTTCATCTCAAACAAGGAGAAGACTTATCAGAGATGCAGCCAAGAGGCCCATGATCACTCTGGATGAACTGCAGCAAACTACAGCTGAGGTGGGAGAGTCTGTCCATAGGACAACAATCAGTCGTGCACTGCACAAATCTGGCCTTTATGGAAGAGTGGCCATTTCTCAAAGATATCCATAAAAACTCTTGTTTAAAGTTTGCCACAAGCCACCTGGGAGACACACCAAACATGTGGAAGCAGGTGCTCTGGTCAGATGAAACCAAAATCAAACTTTTTGGCCACAATGCAAAACAATATGTTTGGCGTAAAAGCAACACAGCTCATCACCCTGAACACATCATCCCCACCTCAGCTGTAGTTATCTGCAGTTCATCCAGAGTGATCATGGGCCTCTTGGCTGCATCTCTGATCAGTCTTCTCCTTGTTTGAGATGAAAGTTTCGAGGGACGGCCAGGTCTTGGTAGATTTGCAGTGGTCTGATACTCCTTCCATTTCAATATAATTGCTTGCACAGTGCTCCTTGAGATGTTTAAAGCTTGGGAAATCTTTTTGTATCCAAATCCGGCTTTAAACTTCTCCACAACATTATCTCGGACCTGCCTGGTGTGTTCCTTTGTCTTCATGGTTCTCTCTGTGCTTTAAACAGAACCCTGAGACTATCAAAGAGCAGGTGCATTTATACAGAGACTTGATTACACACAGGTGCATTCTATTTATCATCATCAGTCATTTAGGACAACATTGGATCATTCAAAGATCCTCACTGAACTTCTGGACTGAGTTTGCTGCACTGAAAGTAAAGGGGCCGAATAATATTGCACGCCCCACTTTTCAGTTTTTTATTTGTTAAAAAAGTTTAAATTATCCAACAAATTTCATTCCACTTCACGATTGTGTCCCACTTGCTGTTGATTCATGACAAAAAATTAAAATTTTATATCTTTATGTTTGAAGACTGAAATGTGGCGAAATGTTGAAAGGTTCAAGGGGGCCGAATACTTTCGCAAGGCACTGTAGGAGATTCCATTGCCAATCTGCCAAGGTTTTTTTTTTTTCTTTTAATTTTTTACTTGTTCTTTGTGTATCCTGTTTCTGAATTGCACACACCTAAAGCTTTCTGTATCATATACATGTGGAGATAAACTGTGAAGCTTGTAATATTGTACTTGTAATTTTCTGAGTGGAGTTTGCATGTTCTCCCTGTGTCTGCGTAGGTTTCCTCCGGGTACTCCGGTTTCCCCTACCACTAAAAACATGAACAATAGTTCTGGCATGCGCCTCCTGTACTGGCGACCCCACTCCCATCTCTGAGTGGAGTGAGAGGACAAGTGCCCAAAAATAATAACAATTGTAAACCGCTTTGTGACTCTTGTCTGTGAAAGGCAGTATATAAATAAAGATTACTTACTTACTTACTTACTAATAATAATAAACACTTTTGTTCAAAACAAATTTGTACCCATGACCTAGATTGTGCGCATGCCCACGGGGGTGTAGGGTGTCCAAACACTCTCGCCACAATTAAAGAAACCAACATGAAACATCCGGGCAAGCGCAAGTAGTGATGTGCCGAACGGGAGGAAGCTTCAAAGCGTGTGCGAGTGTGTGAGGTTTTTTTAAAAGCATGTGTTGTTGCCGCATGTGGTGACATTCGATCGCGAAGCGGTCGGAGCATGTGACGTTCACTGAGGCTTTAGAGATGTCAATGCATGTTGTTATGCTATAATAACATACAAAACATACAAAACATGAGGTTTTGACTAAGCTAAAGACAAAAATAGACTTCAACCTCTGTATTCCATGTAGTCCTGCAGAATGTCCAAGGTCCTGGTCATCTGAGAAAACAGCAGAACTCTGTGGCCCCTGGAAACAATACAACACTTTGATCAGAATTTTATTAGATTTTGTGAGGAAAAGGCTTTTACTATTCTCAATGTGCATCTCTAACTCAGCTCTAACTCAGCTCTAACACAGCTCTAACACAGCTCTAACACAGCCCTAACACAGCCCTAACTCAGCCCTAACTCAGCCCTAACTCAGCCCTAACTCAGCCCTAACTCAGCCCTAACTCAGCCCTAACTCAGCCCTAACTCAGCCCTAACTCAGCCCTAACTCAGCCCTAACTCAGCCCTAACTCAGCCCTAACTCAGCCCTAACTCAGCCCTAACTCAGCCCTAACTCAGCCCTAACTCAGCCCTAACTCAGCCCTAACTCAGCCCTAACTCAGCCCTAACTCAGCCCTAACTCAGTCCTAACTCAGCTCTAACTCAGCTCTAACTCAGCTCTAACTCAGCTCTAACTCAGCTCTAACTCAGCTCTAACTCAGCTCTAACTCACCCTGTGAGGAGGTGGCTCAGCAGACTGTCCAGGAGGCAGAACTTCCCACTGGCTTCAACCAGATGCTCTCCCATCACAAAGGGCTCCGGCTCCACGCCTGACTCACAGCTCACAGCGTTATGTTTGAATTAAAGCCAACATCATTTTACAGTTAAGTGTTTTTATTTATAAAACTGACCGTCGAACAGATAAGGGTGGATCACACACTTCCTCAGCTGCATCAGGACGTTCAGCAGCCGTGTCCTGTTTCTCTGTTCGTTCCCAAAGACCTCTGGACACATTTAACATCATCATCATTACATTACTACATCACATCATTATAACATTACATCATTAATGATGTGTAGTAATGAAAAAACTATACATCATTTTCGGCTTATAGTCAAAAAAACATTTTTTCGGACTATAAGCCGCACCGGATTATAAACCACACCTGTCCCACGTTTGTAATATTGAAAAATGTATCTCAAAACTTGAGAAGTGAGTCACTGGCTGCTGTTCTTAGGCCCCGTTTGGACGAAGACTCTGCGGAGACGCAACGCAAATAGCAAAAACGACCAGGCTCCTTAATCATAGTGATTGGAGCTGACTTAAACGCATAAACAATTTGATTGGACCTCTGTGAACTACTCTTCAATTCCCACTGATATTGGCAGCAGGGTGCTCCTGCTCCAGGTTTTTAAGTGTGTGAGTGTGTGTGTGTGTCTGTCTCACCCAGGTCTTTAGTGAGAATAGCTCGGTAGTATTTCTTCTGCAGTGATGTCAGGCCGTGGTAAATCACCAGCTCCGTCTTTTTGGGCAAATCCAGAGCAACCTCCGACTTCACACGACGCAATAGGAACGGCTCCAACACGCTCTGCAGCTCAGCAGCTGTCAGTGTCCACAAGGGGACAGAGGACGGAGGGGGAGACAAAGTTTAGGGTTAGTTCATTTGGATGATATACATGTTTTATAAGAAAACACATTTAACTTAGACTGAATAAGGAGTGGACTGACGGTGTTGTTGGCTCCCTTAGTGTTTGCCTTATTGGATAGAAAGGAAAGGGAACAGGCTTCATGGACAGGAATCTAGAACCAAGTGTGCACCGCGCAGCCTCAGTCCTGGATCTACAGCCTCAGTGCTGGATCTACAGCCTCAGTGCTGGATCTACAGCCTCAGTGCTGGATCTACAGCCTCAGTGCTGGATCTACAGCCTCCGTGCTTTACAGTTGTATTTCTTGTGTTTGAGCTGGTCTCTCTCTAAATCATAACAGTAGTTATCTCTGAGGACAACCGTTGCATTCACCAACATAGATCAGAGAGTCAGAGAGATTTAGGGCTAATCTCTCTGGTCTCTCTCTCTCTCTGGTCTCACCCAGGTCCGGCCTGTTCTGCACGTTGCCGTAGCAACTGCAGAAGTTGTCGGCGGCGGTGGGGGCGAAGACACTCGGCTGAATGAAGCTGAGTAGAGAGAACAGCTCCTGCAGGTTGTTCTGGATCGGTGTTCCCGTCAGCAGCAGTCGGAATGCCACGGAAAACTAATGCAAACACACACACATTGATTCATAATTGTAAACGGTATAAATCACCATATATGCCAGGCATGTCAAACTTAGGCCAGCGAGCCATATCCGGACCGCCAAACCATCGTTTGTGGCCCCTGGAGTAAGAGCACACCGGGAGCTCACACAAAGTAGCTGTAATGCCTCATAAGAACAGTAACAGTAAATGTCAATACATCTATCAAAATAATGTTAAGGAAAAATGACTTTTTGGCCTCTGTCGCTGCTTAAGTCCAGCTTTTTTAGTGACCAGTGTTCCTCAGCCAACCAACTCAGCCCAAAGAGGCCGCAGTTGCTTCTGAGGTCAGAAAGGAGGCTGAGGAATGTCACAAAAAATTACATTTTCAGCTGTAAAAAGTCAGAAATTGCGGATCTGTGGCATATCCTGATGCATTTCATTGGTCAGGAGAATTGGTCAAAAAAAATAAACAGATGTGTCCGCTCCTGGCTCTAGAGGTAGAAATGAGGGAAAGCGTTCCCGGCCTGAATGGCTTAAAGTAATACTACTGCTAAACTTTGCTTGCTCAATAGGTATAGCTCAACTATGAGACAGAATAAGAAAAAGTCAGAAAGTAACTTTATTAATTTTTTATTAGCAAATTATGTCAGAAAAGTATTTGGTCAATAACAAAAGGTCATCTCAATACTGTTAAATACCCTTTGTAGGCAATGACAGAGCTCAAACGTGTTCTTCACAAGGTTTTCAAACATTGTTGCTGGCATTTTGGCCCATTCCTCCATGCAGATCTCCTCTTGAGCAGTGAATTTTGGGGCTGTTGCTGGGCAACAGGAGGGACTTTCAACTCCCTCCAAAGATTGTCTATGGGGTTGAGATCAAGAGACTGGCTAGGGCAGTCCAGGACATTGAAATGCCCTTCCTTCATTGCCCTGGTGGTGTGTTTGGGATCATCGCCATGCTAAAAGACCCAGCCATGTTTCATCTTCAATGCCCTTGCTGATGGAAGGAGATTTTCATTAAAAATGTCAAGATACATGGCCCCATTCATTCTTTTCTTTCCACAGATAAGTCATTCTGGTTCCTATGCAGAAAAAACAGCCCCAAAGCATGACGTTTCCACCCCTATGCTTCACAGTAGGTGTGGTGTTATTTGGATGCAATCTCTTCTGGATCATCCAAAAGCTCTGCAAACTTCAGACGGGCCTGGACATGTACTGGCTCAAGCAGGGGGCCAAGTCTGCCACTGCAGGATTTCAGTGTAATACTGAAGGTCCCAGCTCTCTGCAGGTCATTCACTAGGTCCCCGTGTGGTTCTGGGATTTTTGCTCACTGTTCTTGTGATTATTTTGATCCCAAGGGGTGAGATCTTGCGTGGAGCCCCAGATTGAGCGAGTTTATCAGTGGTCATGTAAGTATTCCATTTTCTAATAATTGCTGCACAGTTGCTGTCCTTTGACAGCTCTTTAGTCTTGGCCAAAGTGAAGTTTGGAGTGTGACTGTTTGAGGTTGTGGACAGGGGTCTTTCACACTGATGAGTTCAAACAGAAGCCATTAATACAGATAACGAGTGGAGGACAGGAGTTACACTCTGTGAGAGCCAGAAACCTTTGTTTGTAGGTGACCATATACTTATTTTCCACCATAATTTGCAAATAAATTCTTTAAAAATCAGACAATATGATTTTTCTGGATGTGTCTTTCTTCATTCTCTGTCTAATAGTTGAGGTACACCTATGATGAAAATTACAGGCCTCCTTCATATTTTCAAGTGGGGGAACTTTAGGCACAATTGATGACAGACTAAATACTTTTTTACCCCACTAATTATATAATATAAAAAATATATATATTTATAAATATATAAATAATTTAAACCAAAGGCTCTCTGCAAACATGATACCAGTACTAACACATAGGCTCAATACAATGGTGGTCATCTAAAAATGAAAAGTGTTATGACAATGAACTGCAAATTTAACATGAAACATGATTTTTTTTTTTTTAAAGATACAACAAAACACCACACTAAATCAAAGATAAAACCTTTGGAAAAAGTGAAACTGTCCAGAACAGTTTTAGAACATTTGAGGCGAGAAATTTCATTTCATTTCATTTCATTTTCAACCCCTTTGTCCATTTCTGGGTCGGGGGGGGTGGCAATGAGAGCTGCCACCCAACGCTCTTAGCACCAGTCCCTCGCTGATCTTCTGCAGGGGGTGAGTCCACAGGAAGATGGCTGCTCCGTCAATTGTGAAACAGCCTTGATCTTTCAGCGGGGGGCTTCAGGCAATGTGGGGTTAAGTGTCTTGCCCAAGGACACAACGACAGCAGTCATCAGTGGGAGCAGTTGGAGTAGGTCCCATGGTGGGAATCGAACTCACGACCTCCAGGCCCAAAGGCCAATGCTCTACCAACTGAGCTACTGTCGCCCCAAAGCGAGAAATAGCTCCCTTTATTGTCATTTTTAGGATTTGTTGAGCTGTAAATAATAAAAAGTTTGGACTTAAGCTCAAGTGGGAAGCTCCGCAGCAATAAGCTAACAGCAGGGGACTGCAATGAATCCAGCCGTTCTTGGGGCGCAGAGTTCGGATACAACTTCAGACATTACCCTGGTCCTCATCAGTCCTTGTGTTATAACCTTTGTGTTATAAAACTGATTGTTTTGATTCTATGTTAGAAGACTTGGATTGTACAGCCTGCTTTTAGTTTGAGAGGACCTTTGGCATTCAAGAATGTATAAACAGTTATCTCTCCCTGTTGCCTTGGTTACTACAACTGTATACCACACAAAAATACTGCATTGTATCTATGTCAATTTTGCTGCTGTGTCTGCAGCCGCAAATGCTAGGTAATCTAATGCTAATGCATTCCTTCTGTTCCTTATTAAGCATTTTCCTAAATATCGACACCCATTAGAGAAATACATTTTAGCTTAATACAGACTCCATAAGTTCTCCACTTGATATAAACAGTTGCTACAACTGTACACGCCACAGAAAAAGAGCATTTTGACTACGAATCAGTTAACTTTTACAATGTTCTTCCTGGGGAGATTTACTTCCTGTCCCTGATAAGACTTTGGTCCATATGGAGTTTGACCAATGTCAATAAATGTTTTGGCATGTCCTGGATCATCAGCACAGTCCTTCTTGTTAGACCCTCTTAACAGTCTAACAGACCCTCCTGCCTCAGAAGCAGCAAAAACTCAGTGGCCGCTCACTGAGGCAACTCCCAGGGTCGGGCAGGGCAGTCCATAGGTGCAGATGGAGGGGGCCAGGTTTAGGGGTTCCGTCGTTGTGCCATAAAACAGACAATGGGATGATGGGTGAATAGCAATGAACAAACAACAGTCAAAATCCTAATGATGAAGTAGGAAGGAGGAGAAGATAGTGCTCAAGTTACCATTCTTCTCCCTGCAAACTCCATATGCTTCTTGTCAGCTTGACTGACAATCTAAGATTTTTATTTTAGTCCTCCCTGAGACTTACCTACCTAACCATATGCTAAATTGAAGAGGATTGTTTTAAGCCTGGCCTTGAATGTAGAGACCGTGTCTGCTTCCTTTACGTGGATTGGCTTCGCTAATTCCAGAATAAAGGAGCTTGGTAGCTGAATACTCTGCCGCTGACAGTGCTTTTTGAGACCTTACAAACCCCCAGACGTCTGGTGTTATTAGAATATGGTGCTCTGTTTGGCATCCGCTGAAAGATCTCAGCTCCTGTGGACTCACCACCTGCAGGAGGATCAGTGAGGGTTAAGTTGTACTGGGTGCAGCTCTGACTGCCACCCCCCCGACCCAGAAATGGATTAAGAGGAAGAAAATGGATGGATGGATGGATGGATGGTGCTCGGTTTGGTTGGTATAATATGTCTTGGAGGATCACTTCTGTCTACTCATCCACGATTTTAGGTCTTTTATGCAGGCACTGAGCCTTAAAGCTGCACTAACTGACTATCGAATCAGAACGCTGAGCTCGCGCTCTCTGCTCGCCCTCCCCGCACGGAGCTTTCGCCTCCCATTCTCTTCCTTGTTTCACCAAAACTCGATCTAAAATCAAATGACACGCCAGCACAAACCTGCGGTACCTTTTCTTCAAAAGGACGTATATCCCAATGCATTGCATGCATATGGTATGAATTTTCGTAATGAATAAAAAAATAAAGTCAGTTAGTGCAGCTTTAACTGATCTGTCTAATTTGCTGATTTAGTTTCATCGACAGGTAAAGCTTAGGTTTTCCTGCCGCTTAGGATAGTCACTCTTTTAGAATCATGCATTTATTTATATCACACTGGACACAGTTTTGATTCTGAAACTTGGTTATATCAGATATGTGAGGCCTTTTTGTTGGACCCATACCTCAGTCAGAGAGTGATAAAGGAGAGAGTTTTGATTCTTCAGTCGATGAGCCTCATCCACCACCAGAGCCTCCCACCTCCACCTGCAGCAGACACAACGTCGTACCTCCAAACTCACCGAAAATAAACTGCAATCTAAATGATAAGTACTGACTTTTTGAAAAATGAAGCATCTCTGAGACACATCTGGATAAAGCAAAAGTGTCAGATTAAAGTAATGCATTATTATTATTATTAGTATTATTACTCTAACGAACCTCATATGTAGTAAGGAGAACATGGAACTCTTCGGTCTGTGCCTCCAGTTGAATCTCTGCACGTTTCTCCTTATCTCCTTGGTAGCACAGTACTTTTAAAGATGGAGCAAAACTGAGAGTAAAAAACAAAGTCAAATCAATCAAATATATAGTAATACTGGTAAAATTAGTATTGATATTTGCGTACTAACAATCACAATCAGAATCTTATGTCAGTTTAAACTCATCACATCCTTTCTAGCTGGAATTAATGATCATTATTATTGGACCCAAGCGCAGGTGTAAGGGCCTATTTCTTTCACAATGGTGAATGCAAGTCACCACGCTTTAATATGATGTATCATGTGCCATTGAAACCAGTTTTGTTTTTGCTCAAGAATGGATTTTCAGGAAAAAAAAAAACACTTTATTTTAGCAGAAAATCAAGTGCTAATTAGTGCATTAATATATGGTTAATTAGCTTACTTTATATTTATCAAGTACTGCCATATAGTAGACAAATGTAATCTGTGAAACAGTCGTTCATTTCATAAGGAAATGTTTACCTTTGGCTCTCTTTCACTTTCACCTGACCTAGATCCAAGAGTTGAAAAACCGATTCACGTTTGGTGCTTATCAAACTAAAGTAATGGGAGCAAATTTGAAATGGTCAAATTTGGGGGGAGAAAGTTAAAAATGTTCTGCTCCGCGGCTTGCATCCAATCAAAATACTTTTTATGCTACATGTGTTGAGATTACATGGAGACATTTTGAGACATATTGGTGAAACGGCCGAGGCTGGTTTGATTTGAGTGCGAGGTGAAAATTTGAGAGACTTTATGATTTTCCCTTGTCATCACCATGGCAACATGTGAAAATTAAAGTGATAGTCTGTAACTCTAAATGAATTACAAATTTTAGTAAATGTGTTAAATTGACCTCCTGGCCTCAAATGTTGATATAAAATAAGTCATTTTATTAATTCTAATATTACGGGCAAGTCCCGCCTTCCCTTCTCTTAGCTATAGCTCAGAATCCACGATGCCGTCCACGTTAACCAATCGAGTCATGCCAAGGGCTGTCAATCATCGGCGCTGATGCTCGCAGCTGCGCGCATGCTCAGTTGTTTGTTTTTGCGGAACCTCCGAATCAAGCCTCTATTAGGCTCTGGAACAACATGAAAACTGAACAAAGAATTCTGAACATCTGCGCTGAGGTACTTATGTATATACTGAACCTATATCCATAATCAGATCCTCTGCAGATGTGTCCTATAATGTGCAATTAATGATAATAGCTTCTTCCGGGTTTGCCGCGATTGCTTTATTTGTGCATAAAAACATTATTTTTTTCATTAAAACGTTAAATAATTCTGAAACCAAGGTGTATGTGTATTAATAATGTTTATGTATAATGTGTTCTCTGATTAACATTTAAATGTGTTACGGAAACGTAGGTGTAGACCAATCAGAAAGGAAGGGGGAGGGAGCTTGCGTCGTTTTTTTCAAATCAAGTACCTCTCTCTCTCTTTCTGACAAACTCCAGACAATCACAAGTTATACACCCAATTGACTTTTTGGATCGGAATGTAATAACAAAATGAGTGATGGTTGCGTGCGTCTACTCAAATGATTTAAAATGAAACCTGTATTGTTTTTGCGCAAGAAATGTCAGGGGAAAAAAAAAACCTCATTTATGAATTTTTTGAGGTTTAAAACCTCATTTTGAAATTCTGAAAGCGCATGAAATGTAAAATTTACCACAAAGATCAGTTCCAGCAAAACATTTTTTTCACAAAATTTTAAAAAAGGACCCAATAGCGCCACCCATTAGATTTGGCTATATTTGCATTTATTTTGTCCTAGAGCTACAATATTTGGTACAGATAATTGTTACCTCAATACAAGATAAAAACATGCATAATGATCACGCCCTCTAACAAACAGGAAGTCCACAATAGCAATCGCATGAATTATGTCTATTCAGTTACAAAACGATTTCCCTACGATGGTGTCAGACAATTCTATCTGGAATCTGTGTAAATGTTCTTTCACACAACATCATGTTACCTTTCCATCTCTTTCCTCCAGTTTTCCATAACAGACAGAGGACTAACCACCAAGAAAGGACCGTTCTTTCCACATGCTCCAGAAATGAACAATAGCAAAGAGATGGTCTGCAAAAAAGACACAATAGACTGGAGTCACAACAAGCAGACATTAATATTAATAATAATGCATCGATTTTATATAGCACTTTTTTGGACACGCAAAGACGCTTCACATGTCATTATTCATTCACTCCATACACGGTGGTGATAAACTACTACTGTACACTGACAGAAGCGAGACAACCAGCATGTGCCATCAGCCCCTCCGACCATTCACACACACAACAGACTCATTCTAGGCAATGGGGGTGAAGTGTTTAAGTGTCTAAGGACACAACAGCAGTTTGTCACTTTGCAGACGCAGCCGCCCAACTGTGGCAGGTGTTTCCAGTGGTTAAGTGTCTTGCCAAGAACACAACGACAGCAAACATCAGTGGGAGTTGGTGGAGAAAGTCTTGTGGTGGGATCGAACCCACAACCTTCATGCTCTATCAACTGAGCAAATGTCGCCCTAAACATTATAGAGGAACAGAAACCTCAGATGGAAACAGAGGAAACACTAAGGTCAAAGAGATCATAATTTAATTAAATATCACAATACTTTGCTAGTGTATCAGTTTAACTGTGTGCACAGAATATGGTGATACTGAACAGAATCAATAGTTTCTTCCACCACTAGACCACAGCAGTATGTTCGCTAACCTGGCATGTTTTTCCCAGGCCCATCTCGTCTCCTAAGATGCATCCTTCCTGGTTTCCAAGGCACTGTGTGAGCCACTGAACCCCCTCCAGCTGGTACGGCCGCAGGTGGATCCCTGTCAACGCACAAATAAATCATGTTACTGTGAGAGGTGGCGCTGGTGAACCCAGGTCTGGTGCTGGTAAACCCAGGTCTGGTGCTGGTGAACCCAGGTCTGGTGCTGGTGAACCCAGGTCTGGCGCTGGTGAACCGTCTCCTCTATAGGGACCAGCACCAGACCTGGTTGTATCACACCAGTGTACCTCCCAGGGATTGGCCTACAGCTGGGACTCTGAGGGGCACAGGGACTGGCCTTCTGCTGGTCCCAGAGTCAGGACTACCCATTATTTACTTCCTCAAAATGTGAGACAGGCTTCTTCAGACAATGTTCAAATCCAGGAAAAAAAACAACTGAGGGGTTGTATCTTCACTCCTTTTGATTATTTATGTGTGATGGTTTCCATCTTGTCTAGTTCCACACTTGCCTTGTGTACGAACTGTGCTATACAAATAAACTTGTCTGGTTCTATCCGTGTTACTTGTTCTATTTCATCCCTCTGGCGGTCATCCGGGATTCATAAAACCGTGGTTACATATGTTTTACAATCCTAAACACATAACATGAGATTTGCTTTACATGATGCATTGTTTTACCACCTATGAGCTACAGCTTTTCTTTTACAGAACACTCACAAACTTTAGAAACGAGTAATTATTAAATAAAATAATTGAATGTTAAATTATTAATTGAAAAGTATGAAACTACAACGTAGCAATTACAACGGTAACATTGTCATAATGGTCTCTTCTCAGTACAAGATGCTTCTATAACAGTGGCACGGTGGCTGAGTGGATAGCACTCTCGCCTCTCAGCAAGAAGGTCCTGGGTTCAAATCCCGGCCGGACCAGGGCCTTTCTGAGTGGAGTTTGCATGTTCTCCCCGTGTCTGCGTAGGTTTCCTCCGGGTGCTCCGGTTTCCCCTACCACTAAAAATATGTCCAATAGTTCTAGCATGCGCCTCCTGTACTGGCGACCCCGCTCCCATCTCTGTGTGGAGTGAGAGACAAATGCCCAAAATTAACAATTGTAAACCGCTTTGAGACTCAGATCTGCAGTGAAAAGGCGGTATATAAATAAAAACTTACTTACTTACTTACTTACTAACAGTAATACATCCGATGATTCTGAAGTATTATTTTTTTTAAATAAATATTTTTGTTATTTTTAAGTTGATATTGTTTCCCACTGTACAATGCGTTTAATGTAATTTCGGAACGGTTCCGACTAGTTTTGATAATTTCTGTAGTAAAATAAAAAATAAATAAATATAAAAATAAATAAATACAAAAATCGCTGAAATCCGGTTTTTCCTCTTCAAAGAGTACCTCACAGTGGACTATGCGAGGGCACTCAGCTCGTGCTGGTTGCCATTTTGCTGTTTGTTTCCAATATCCTGCTCTGAAAACATTTGTAATACTTGTCATAGAGTATGTGTAAGGGACTAAATGACCAAGTCTACTGTTATATAAATAAATAAATGTGCACTTTAACGTCCACATAGGGAAATTTGTCCTCTGCATTTGACCCATCCTGATGTCACTGAAGCTTACGTTAGTGTTCGCCGTAGTACAGCGCTCAGGGACACATCTCCAGATGTTGATGCTTGTCTCGGTCAGGACCAGAGCTGGAGGATTTTACCTATACTGAGCATATTTTTAGTGGTGGGGGAAACCGGAGCACCCGGAGGAAACCTACGCAGACACGGGAAGAACATGCAAACTCCACTCAGAAAGGCTGAGAGAGCAGTGAGTGCTATCCACTCAGCTACTGTGCAGAGTGGATAAAGTGTGAAGTTGAGGGTTCTGTTCTGTGCACTCTTCATATTAAACCACCCGAAGACACTCGCTCCTCTCTTCTTCCACACTACTACTTAGCTCGTGACATATATACTATTTATATTTTGTTTAGTTTGATGGGAGAAAAATACACAAGGAGAAAGCTTTCCCTCCTCACGTCTCTCTCTACTCCTCACGTCTCACTCTACTCCTCACGTCTCACTCTACTCCTCACGTCTCACTCTACTCCTCACGTCTCACTCTACTCCTCACGTCTCACTCTACTCCTCACGTCTCACTCTACTCCTCACGTCTCACTCTACTCCTCACGTCTCTCTCTACTCCTCACGTCTCACTCTACTCCTCACGTCTCTCTCTACTCCTCACGTCTCTCTCTACTCCTCACGTCTCTACTCTCCTCACGTCTCTCTCTACTCTCTCACTCTCTCTCTACTCCTCACGTCTCTCTCTACTCTCTCACTCCTCACGTCTCTCTCTACTCCTCACGTCTCTCTCTACTCCTCACGTCTCTCTCTACTCCTCACGTCTCTCTCTACTCCTCACGTCTCTCTCTACTCCTCACGTCTCTCTCTACTCCTCACGTCTCTCTCTACTCCTCACGTCTCTCTCTACTCCTCACGTCTCACTCTACTCCTCACGTCTCACTCTACTCCTCACGTCTCTCTCTACTCCTCACGTCTCTCTCTACTCCTCACGTCTCTCTCTACTCCTCACGTCTCACTCTACTCCTCACGTCTCTCTCTACTCCTCACGTCTCTCTCTACTCCTCACGTCTCTCTCTCCTCACGTCTCTCTCTACTCCTCACGTCTCTCTACTCTCACTCCTCACGTCTCTCTCTACTCCTCACGTCTCTCTCTACTCCTCACGTCTCTCTCTACTCCTCACGTCTCACTCTACTCCTCACGTCTCTCGCACCTGTTTCTCAAAGATGTAGCAGGTAGATTTGTCGTGGGATTATTAAAGGATGATGGTTCTCTTATCTTTATATTACGTTTGTGGACGATTGCATTGGCGAATTAATGTTCTTTTTTTATTTTTTTTATTAGAATAACGATTGTAAATCTGACTTTTAATGTCAGTGCCTCCCCAATCACGAACCTCACCGCACGTCACTGAGTACATTCTAACGATATTATAATAGATCCATGATTCAATAGATGTTGATCATACTACTAACATGCTTCTGGAAGTACAGTGTTTCCGTCCAACACAAACGCTGTGGTCCATGATCTCACCTCTCAGTCCCCACTTCTGGAGCTCTGTCTGCGGCAGCCTGCCCCTCTGTTTCCCTGGGATCAGTGTCTGGATCCTGGAGAGAAAGTCCGCCATGTTTCATGCTCAAACGTGAATCACCTATAAACTTATTTGTCCAGAAACATGTTCAGACCAGAGTCGCCGCCGCCGAGATACGGGTCTGCGTCACTTCCAGGTGTTGTCACGTGACAGCCGGGCACCGCGCATTGTAACCATGGATGTATTATATTAAGATTGTAACACTTTTTGATAATGACTTCGTAACTTTTTCTGTTTCAATCTGTAGTTTATTTCTATGTTTCTATCTGTTGTTTTATTTCTATGTTTATATCTGTTTTTTTATTTGTTGTTTATATTTGTTTTTTATTTCATTATCTCGACTCTGGACTGGATCAGGAGCTCGTTACCATAGCAATGCACTGTTTACTTCATCAGTAAGAATTTGGGTTTGCTGTGTTTCATTTAACCAGTTTTAACTTGTATTAAAGATTTGTTTTAAACTGTATAAGTGATTTTTTTGTAGAATTCCTTTAATTTGAATGGAGCAGTCAAAATGACTGCTGTGTGAGTAATAGTTTCAGAATGCTGGTCCTGGTGTTAACCAAATGGATCTATAATAATAAGAACCATAGACTGTAAATATTAGTGTTAACCATGTAAATATTAGTGCTAACCATAGAATGTAAATGTTAGTGTTTACACTTGTGGAGACCGTGATGTTTTATGTTTATGCAGTAAAGGTACACTTCTTTAGTGGTAGGGGAAACTGGAGCACCCGAAGGAAACCTACGCAGGCACAGGGAGAACATGCAAACTCCACAAGACCTTTTTGCTGAGAAGCGGAAGTGCTATCCACCGTACCTTACTGGTATACAGTGGATGTAACATCGTTACACCTGGTATACCATGGATGTAACATTGTTACACCTGGTAGGTATACTGTGCATGTATTATTGGTTTATTTTTATTGGTGTAAGTATCTTTAGTATTTTAAATATTGAACATACATATTTAAAGGTGTAACTTTCTTTTATTATGGGACTTTTTAAAATCTTCAACATTTTGAATGTTTTGTCTTTTTATTTTATGTTTTCAATGTTCCTGATCTTTTTAAACTCTATAGTAGGAAGCTTATGTGCTTCTAAGTCTATAGTATTTGCAGTACTTTAAAGTACTTTCCATTGATTTAAATAAAAACTTAATTTGTTTTCAACTCTTTCTAAAATCTTTTAATTTTAGAAATTCTTTAACTTTTCTTTATAATGGTGACTCATCACAGTACTTTTTGGTACTTCTACCTGTTGTAGTATTTGCAGTATTCGCAGGACTACAAATTTGTACTTTTCCCTATCTTTTCTAATGGGACATGTATTGAATGTGTGTTTTGAAGTACTTTGTTGAGTATTGTCTGCATCATTATGGGGTAAAAGTGTAATAATGATAATATAATGTTATGTTTTGAACCTAAGTCCTAGCCTTTAGGACTTTAATAACAGCGGACACTTTACCACTTTAACATTATGACACTTTAACACTGGACAGTGTGAAGGAGGAGAAATAAACGCCAGGTGCAAGTGACATAGTAGTTTTTTATACACAGAGATATTGTGACCAAATACAAAAGTGACACTTATAAATCCAAAGGTCAAAGGGACTCGAATGTACTGTATCACTCCATGGCACAGGAAAAGTTTAAGTACACAATTTTCACCAGAGACAGATATCTTTGATGTACTTTGGGGTCGGCTCAGTGCTCCTGGATCAGACACTTACGGACTGCAAACCTGAAACGCACCAGTTTTTATCAGGTTTATACATTTGTAGAGAGAGACAGTTAAAAAGTACCTTCCGAACGGGATGTAGGACAAACAGTACCTGTGTGGAACAAACACAACTGAGACTTTATCACAGAAAAGACTTATCACAGGCCGTACACTTTATCACAGGGACACTGACCAGCACAGTCAGCTGATGTAGAGGACACTGAACAGAGAAGCCACAACAAAACTGTCCCACTGCGAGAGAAATATACAGTTAATACACACACACGCACACAGTCCTCACCTGTGTACCTGTAGTCCTCACCTGTGTCCCTGTAGTCCTCACTTGTGTGTCCCTGTAGTCCTCACCTGTGTACCTGTAGTCCTCACCTGTGTGTCCCTGTAGTCCTCACCTGTGTCCCTGTAGTCCTCACCTGTGTGTACCTGTAGTCCTCACCTGTGTGTACCTGTAGTCCTCACCTGTGTCCCTGTAGTCCTCACCTGTGTGTACCTGTAGTCCTCACCTGTGTCCCTGTAGTCCTCACCTGTGTGTCCCTGTAGTCCTCACCTGTGTCCCTGTAGTCCTCACCTGTGTGTACCTGTAGTCCTCACCTGTGTCCCTGTAGTCCTCACCTGTGTATCTGTAGTCCTCACTTGTGTGTCCCTGTAGTCCTCACCTGTGTGGCCCTGTAGTCCTCACCTGTGTCCCTGTAGTCCTCACCTGTGTCCCTGTAGTCCTCACCTGTGTTCCTGTAGTCCTCACCTGTGTGTACCTGTAGTCCTCACCTGTGTCCCTGTAGTCCTCACCTGTGTGTACCTGTAGTCCTCACCTGTGTCCCTGTAGTCCTCACCTATGTGTCCCTGTAGTCCTCACCTCTGTCCCTGTAGTCCTCACCTGTGTGTACCTCTAGTCCTCACCTTTGTGTCCCTGTAGTCCTGACCTGTGTGTTCCTGTAGTCCTGACCTGTGTGTCCCTGTAGTCCTGACCTGTGTGTCCCTGTAGTCCTCACCTGTGTCCCTGTAGGCCATACCTGTGTGTACCTGTAGTCCTCACCTGTGTTCCTGTAGTCCTCACTTATGTCCCTGTAGTCCTCACCTGTGTGTTCCTGTAGTCCTAACCTGTGTGTCCTTGTAGTCCTAACCTGTGTGTCCCTGTAGTCCTCACCTGTGTCCCTGTAGTCCTCACCTGTGTCCCTGTAGTCCTCACCTGTGTTCCTGTAGTCCTCACCTGTGTGTTCCTGTAGTCCTCACCTGTGTGTACCTGTAGTCCTCACCTGTGTCCCTGTAGTCCTCACCTGTGTCCCTGTAGTCCTCACCTGTGTGTACCTGTATTCCTCACCTGTGTCTCTGTATTCCTCACCTGTGTCTCTGTAGTCCTCACCTGTGTCCCTGTAGTCCTCACCTGTGTGTACCTGTAGTCCTCACCTGTGTCCCTGTAGTCCTCACCTGTGTGTACCTGTAGTCCTCACCTGTGTCCCTGTAGTCCTCACCTGTGTGTACCTGTAGTCCTCAACTGTGTCCCTGTAGTCCTCACCTGTGTCCCTGTAGTCCTCACCTGTGTGTACCTGTATTCCTCACCTGTGTCTCTGTATTCCTCACCTGTGTCTCTGTAGTCCTCACCTGTGTCCCTGTAGTCCTCACCTGTGTGTACCTGTAGTCCTCACCTGTGTCCCTGTAGTCCTCACCTGTGTGTACCTGTAGTCCTCACCTGTGTCCCTGTAGTCCTCACCTGTGTGTACCTGTAGTCCTCACCTGTGTCCCTGTAGTCCTCACCTATGTGTTCCTGTAGTCCTCACCTCTGTCCCTGTAGTCCTCACCTGTGTGTACCTCTAGTCCTCACCTTTGTGTCCCTGTAGTCCTCACCTGTGTCCCTGTAGTCCTCACCTGTGTGTACCTGTAGTCCTCACCTGTGTCCCTGTAGTCCTCACCTATGTGTTCCTGTAGTCCTCACCTCTGTCCCTGTAGTCCTCACCTGTGTGTACCTCTAGTCCTCACCTTTGTGTCCCTGTAGTCCTGACCTGTGTGTCCCTGTAGTCCTGACCTGTGTGTCCCTGTAGTCCTGACCTGTGTGTCCCTGTGATCCTCATCTCTGTACCTGTGTTTAAACTCTGTGCTCCTCTCTTGTTCGTTTGGATTTCTGTTATATCCTGGATGTTGTTATTTTTTAGTTTTGATCAAAGGCTGTGTTTCTGGAGTCGTCCTTTTGTTTTGTGTTTATGACTTTGTTTTGATGCAAATGTCAAAAATGTGCAGAAGTTTGTATTTGATCAATTTGTCTCTAAACTGTTTCTACGTATTTTTTTATTTATTATTTCTTAGTGACTTTGTAGTGATTATTATGTTTTACCATTATTCAAAAAATTCTCACAAAAACCTCTCCTGAACCAGGAAAGACCTCAGTAAACATTGTGTTCATAATAAAACACTGACCCTGACCCTTTGTTGTGACTCAGTAAAACATCATCAGTGACAGTTTATGTAAAGAGTGTAAATAAATACTTTTATCTCTTACCCAGAAAACTGTGAACTGAGTGAGCACAAACCCAATCTGAAGGAAAACAAAAGTAAGCAGAATTTAGAATTTTTGCATGAACACAATGCTCTTGTTCCAGATTTTTAAACAAAATCAATCTAATAACTGAAATTAGATATTTACAGTAATTACTATAAGGAATTAATATACAGTGGGGCAATAAAGTCAGCCACCCATTGTGCAAGTTCTCCTTCTTAAAAGGATGAGGCAGGTCTGTAATTTTCCATCCATCCATCCATTTTCTTCCCCTAAATCTATTTCTGGGATGGGGGGGTGGCAGTCAGAGCTGCACCCAGTACACATAGCACCAGCCCTTCACTGATCCTCCTGCAGGTGGTGAGTCAACAGGAGCCTTGATCTTCCAGCGAGGGCTTCAGGAAAAAACCCCCCAGAAAATCACATTGTCTGAAGACAAGACAATTATGGAGGAAAATAATCCTTTGGTCACCCACAAACAAGCAAGATTTCTGGCTCTCACAGACCTATAACTCCATCCGCAAGGGCATGGAAGATGAAACGTGGCTGGGCCTTTCAGCATGACAATGATTCCAAACACACCGCCCGGGCAACGAAGGAGTGGCTTTGTAAGAAGCATTTCAAGGTCCTGGACTGGTCTAGACAGTCTCCAAATCTCAACCCCATAGAAAATCTTTGGAGGGAGTTGAAAGTCCGTTTTGCCCGGTGCAAGCCCAAAAACATCACTGCTCTAGAGGAGATCTGCATGGAGGAATGGGCCAAAATACCAGCAACAGTGTGGGAAGACCTTGTGAAGACTCATAAAATACTTTTGAGCTCTGATTTTCAGGATTTGTTCTCTCATTCTGTCTCTCATAGTTGAGGTAGATGAAAATTACAGGCCTTCCTCATCTTTTGAAGTGTGAGAACTTGCAAAATTGGTGGCCGACTAAATACCGACTAAATACTCCAGACCAGCAGAGAGGATGTCCCAACCAAGCAGAATCCGCTGGAGGAATGCTAATGTGTTTGAAAAATGCTAGCATTCAGAGTTTCACTCTGAGCCAAACAGACTGCTGTCCACCTCTGCTGCTGCTGCTACTGTGACCTGAATTATGTACTCATTGGTTTTGGTTCTGGTTCTGACACAAGAGTGACTTACAGTCGCCCACGCCACAGACGCTCCTCTGGTGTTGTCAAACATGAGGTCAACCTGCTGCTCGCCTCCTTTCAAGAAGGTCGTGCTGCAGGAGAGAAAGGAGAGACGAGAAAAAAGAGGAGAAAGGAGAGATGAGAAAGGAGAGAGGGGAGAGGGGAAAAAGAGGAGACAGAGAAGAGAAAGGAGAGAGAGGAGAGGGGGGAGAGAGAGGAGAGAGAGGAGAGAGAGGAGACAAAGGAGAGAGGAAAGAGAGGGGAGAGAGGATAGAAAAGAGAGAGAGGAGAGAGAGGAGAGAGGAGAGAGGAGAGGGGGGAGAGAGGAGACAAACATTACTTAACCGTGGCGTTGTTATAGCGAGTGGACTTGGAGACAGTTCTAACCTCAGCAGCAGACACAGGTTTCCCACCACAAACGGAATGAGACCAAACTCTGGGAAACTCCGCAGCCAGATCCCCTTCAACACAAACACATTCAATTATTGTGTTTTTACATCCTCTGTGCGATAATCATGTGAATAATGGGCAATTTTGAACCACATGTGGCACTGTCATTTTACTTTCTCTGTGTCCCAGAGCCTTATACTGCTAACATGCTAACATCTATACTGCACATACAACTATATCTGCACCAGAACATACAGCATTTATACTTGCTTCTTTATTATGCTAAAGTTATAGAGTTTTTCATTTATCTTCTCAATCCTACTGTTTAGTGACTGGTGATGCAACACTGACATTTTCACACTGTGGGACAAGGATCTCTTCATCTTAGAAAGTTTAAAGTTAGTAAGTATTAAATCTCTAGCTTTAGCAAAACAAAGAAGCAAGTATTAAATCTCTAACTTCAGCATAACAAAGAAGCAAGAATAAGTACTGTATATTCTAGGTGAGAAATTTAAGTTGTTTGTCTACATCACAGACAGTTTTTCTCTCTCACCAGGAACGTGCTTCCGGCTCCAAGGATGAAAACTCCAACAAAGTGAATGTAATCTGAGCAGTAAGAGTGAAGAATCCAGAACAACAAGCCGCTCTCCTGCAAAACATGAAACTGAACTGTCACATAAAATAATAAACAACGCTTGTAAATGTTTTGTTTTGTAACTCTCACCCACAGAACTGCAGTGACGAACATCCCAACACTGACCTGAAACAAACCATCAAACAATTCAGTAAATAAATCCAAATGTGAAATTAATCCTCAGTTTCTCGCACTCACAACGATCCCGGCATTCTGTATTCTGTCCAGACGTCTGGCCATCTTCCTGCGCTCCTCCTCCATCTGTCTGCTCATCAGTTCAGAGTCCGACATTTTAGGATCTCGACGGTGAGACGGCGTCAGGTACATCGTGACTCCCATGAAAAACGTCACCTCCAAGAAGAAGAAGAAAGTTAAAGTCGCTGCTACATGACTGCGTTTGTCCAGGAGCTATCCATCAGAGGAAAAGTCATCATCTGGACCAGGTCTGGACTCCAGAAGGGACCAGGGGTGGACTCCAGGAGGGACCAGGTCTGGACTCCAGGAGGGACCAGGGGTGGACTCCAGGAGGGACCAGGTCTGGACTCCAGGAGGGACCAGGTCTGCAAAAAGCGATCAAATGCAATGCTCAAAGTGTTGATTTTTTTTTTTTTTTTTTTTTATCATAATCTGAGCACATTCTGTCTAAAAGAAGATTCTCCAAGTATTTCCTCATTCCAAGTGAGGCGTTTCTTGGATATATTTAAAACAAGATCATTTTGCGTTGTCCCATTGGTAAATCTGGTTTGAAGGCAGTCAGAATGTGCTCATGTTAATTTACTTTTCATCACTTTTTGCAGCACGGAGCATGTTTTGACCCCAGGAGAGACCAGGCCCGGACTTTTGAGACTTGTTCCATAATGAGAGAGACCCTCAGTGTTTAAAAAAAACAATTAGAAATATGAATTTAGTTCTTACCAAAACAGTAACTTGGATCTGAATCAGAGTTCTATTGTTCCTTAAGGAGTTCTTTAAACCAGAGGAAAGAAAGCAATTATTTTATGCACAAGAAACTGGAGAATATGTGAATTTGTTCGTTGTTTGTGTATTTGTATTTACTTATTTATCATTGATTGTGTAATGGCATTCAGATGATTATTTGAATGTGCTTGTTTACAAATGTTGAAAACCAAAGCTTTATTATAATTAACAAATTATAATAAATACAATTATAAATCATAATAAACAATTATAAAGACAAACTAATATGTCACGGCCCACTGGTTGAGAAACACTGGTTTATATGGTGTTTATTTAATATACATGTATGTGATAGTAGGTACATGTGTGTGTGTGTGTGTACACATGTATGTGAAAGTGTGTAAATGTATGTGTGTACATGTATTCCTGTATATGTATGTGTTAGTGTGTATATACTGTATATATGTGTGTGTGTGTGTGTGTACATGTATATGTGTGTGTATGTGTGTGTACATTTATGCATGTGTGTGTGTGTACATGTATGTGTGTGTGTGTGTGTGTATATGTGTGTACATGTATGTGTGTGTACATGTATGTGTGTGTCTGTGTCTGTGTATATGTGTGTACATGTATGTGTGTGTACATGTATGTGTGTGTGTGTGTGTGTGTGTGTGTATGTGTGTACATGTATACGTACTAAAGCCGAATTAACAGTTGAATGAACGATTTTGTGAAACAGTTCCTCCAAGACACAAAACAAGACGCTGAAAAAAAACAAAATTAAATGATAATATCAATCAATCAATCAAAGTTTATTTGTAGAGCGCCTTTCATACACAGGGCAACACAAAGCGCTTCACAGTCCACATCACAAATCATCACATAAAACAAACACCAGAATCACAATTAAAACATTAAAATCACACAAAAGATTAAAACACAATTAAAACATTAAAATCACACAAAAGAATAAAACCATTAAAACTTTCAAAATTACACAAGAAATTTAAAAAAATAAATAAATGACAGCAGTGCATTAAAAATGGAGATAAAATCCTTCAGTTATATGCACAGGCAAACAGAACAGTCTTTAACCTGGATTTGAACATTGACAGAGTAGACGCCTCCCTCACATTTTCAGGGAGATTGTTCCAGATCTTAGCTGCATGGATCTGAAACGCAGCCTCCCCATGTTTGGTTCTCACTCTGGGCACCAGCAGGAGGCCAGTCCCTGTGCTCCTCAGAGTCCGGGCCGGTTCATATGACACCAACATGTCACTAATGTATTCTGGTGCAAGGCCATGGAGAGACTTGTACACAAGCAGAGCCGTTTTAAAATCTATTCTTTGAGCCACAGGAAGCCAGTGCAGAGACCTGAGGACCGGACTAATATGGTCATACTTCCTGGTTCCTGTCAGGACTCTAGCTGCTGCATTTTGGATGTACTGCAGCTGCTTACAGGTCTGTTTGGACAGACCTGTAAGCAGGCCATTGCAGTAGTCTAGCCTGCTGGAGACAAATGCATGGACAAGAATCTCCAAGTCTGCCCTGGACACTATATTTCTAACTTTGGCAATGTTCTTCAGATGGTAAAAAGCTGTTGATGTTATTGATTTTATGTGGCTATTGAAATTTAGGTCTGAGTCCAGTATTACCCCCAAATTTCTGACCTTGTCTGAAGGAAGTAGGGAGAGAGACTGAAGTTGACAAATGACGCCCTCTCTTTGTTTCTGGGGACCAAAGACAATGATTTCGGTTTTGTCTGCATTTAGCTGGAGGAAATTATTTTGCATCCAGTCACTGATCTGTTGGATACAGTGAAGGAGCAAATCCAGTGGTCCATGTTCTCCTGCAGTCAGTGAGACATAGATCTGAGTGTCGTCAGCGTAATTGTGGTAGGACACTTTGTTTCTTTGTATTAACTGACCTAACGGCAGCATGTAGAGATTAAATAGGAGAGGTCCCAGGATCGACCCCTGTGGTACACCACAGGTCAGGGCCACATCATCTGAGACGCAGTCTCCAATCTCCACAGAGTACTTCCTATCCTCCAGGTAAGACCTAAACCAGTCTAGGGCTGTGCCAGTGACACCAACCCAGTCCTCCAGTCTCTGCATGAGGATCTCATGGTCGACAGTGTCGAACGCGGCACTAAGATCTAACATGACCAAAACTGTGACTTTACCTGCATCAGTGTGAAGTCGAATGTCGTTTGTTACCTTCACTAGAGCGGTCTCAGTGCTGTGGTGGGGTCTAAACCCAGACTGGAACATATCAAAAGAATTATTCATTGTTAAAAATTCAGTAAGTTGTTGGGAGGCCACTTTTTCAAGAATTTTTCCAATAAATGGCAGATTCGATATGGGGCGATAATTTTGAAGTCCCGCAGGATCCAGACTGCTCTTTTTTAGGAGAGGTCTTATGACTGCTGTTTTTAGGGCCATAGGAAATGTTCCTGACGACAGAGACATGTTTACTATTTGTGTCAGTGAAGGTAACAAACTGCTCAGGACGGACTTCAGAAATTTAGAGGGCAATATATCCAGGCTACATGTGGAGGAGCTCAGACTCATGATTATCTTTTTGACAGTTTCAGTATCCACAGGTGCAAAGTGAGTTAGCTCAAAAAGCTAACTCACTTTGCTCAAAAATACACATGTTTGTGCGTGTGTGTACACATATGAATGCATTCATGTATATGTGTGAGTGTACATGTATGAGTGTACATTGTGTGACAGTGTGTACATTTATGTAAGTAAGTTTGTAATATTTATATAGTGCCTTTCACAGACCATGTGCCATGTTTGTACATGTGTGTGTGTGTGTGTGTGTGTGTGTTTACCTCCCGACTGCAGCGACGGCGCCAATGTAAAAAAGTGTTTGAAAGAGATTCATCCAATTTCCAAAGATCAGAAACAGAAAAACTCCCTGCAGACGTAACAACAGAACAAAACACATTTTAGATTAACCCTCACTCTAACACATGTGAGAAGTAGTTAGTTAGATGTTGAATAACCAAAAGAGATAATTACTGTTGTGATTTAGGGCAATACAAAATATGTATTGCCCTAAATCACAACAGTAATTATCTCTGAGCACTTTATAAAGTTGTCGCTTTGCAGATGAGAGAATCAAACAGTACAAACACAGGAAATGCATTAATAATTACTAAGGAGCAGAGACCACTGTCCATAAATGTTGTTGAATGGAATAAGGCTAAGTAGAATAAGGACTAATACCCATTAAGATACTTTATACATTAAAATGAGCACTTATTTATCTGTTAAATAGTGAGGAATAAACCAAAGAGTTTTAAGGATGTAAAATGAAGGGAAAGAGAAAACTTACAAAAAAGGTACATTTTGAAGCAAGATGAGAGCAGCTAACAGGACCAGGTTTTTCATGATATGTCTCAAAAGTCTTCAACAAAGTCAACATAGACGAGTAGTGAATGAAGCAGAATAAGAAGGACCAGAGGAAGCTCTCCCACTGTGAATGCAGATATATACATAATTTAATTTTTCACATTTAACACCAGGACCTGTCAGAGACCTGTCTGTGTCTAGACCTGTGTGGTTTTATCTGACCTGGATCGCAGCTCGGAGTGTCATCCACGAACAGGCCTGTAGGGGGCAGACTCAGACAGTGGCTCTTTTATGTACGTATTATAGTTTCACATCTGTAGATACATTTGTGAGAAAGTCCAGTCTGTTTTTTCTTAAATTTTTCTAAAGTAAATGTGAAGAGGTGCATTTCCATCTGTCGTCTCAGAGTGTTTCAGATTCACGCTAAAATCTGGAACAGTCTTCCTGAATATGTGAGACGGGCTTCTTCTCTGACAATGTTCAAATCCAGGTTGAACAGTTCTGTTTCTGCAAAAAACGAAGGATTTCATCTTCACTCTTTTAATGCACTGTGATTATTCATGATTTAATTCTTTGTTGTTTCGGTCTTGTTTTATTCAGTACTTTTCCCTTGGTTGCGACTATGTCCCAAAGAATCATCTAACACTGTGGAGAAGGGCATCTGAAATATTCCCCAGTAACTGTTAAGAGATGTTCATTATGTCCACAGTTGTAAATGTTGAATGAAATGGTCAAGTTTATTTGTATAGCACAACTCACTCAAGACACAAGGCTTAACTCAAACTGCTGAATAGAACAAGGTAGACACATGAAGACATTAAAATCACAAAAAATCACAGAGCACTAAAAAAGGGTAAAGAAATCCCTCAGTTGTAGCACAGATAAACACAACTGTTTATAACCTGGATTTGAACATAGTCAAAGAAAAAGACCTGTCTCACATGTTCAGGAAGTAAGTCTCTGAAACGCTGCCTCCTCATGTTTAGTCCTGACTCTGGGACCAGCAGGAGGCCAGTCCCTGTGCTCCTCAGAGTCCAAGTTGGTTCATATGGTAATGCTGTACTGTTATGTTCTGTTCTGCCACAAGGAGGCGCCAGCGTCAGGTCTGCGTCATTACATCATGTGTGTGACCGTGAGACGTGTCTGCAGTACAAGATAAGACAAGAAATTCTAAAAATATCTCATCGCACTGTCCCTTAAAAATGATCTCGTTTTTTTTTTTTTTCCAAACAAACCATCAATCAAACTCAATGAATGTTCTGAAAACTTATTATACATTTTAGTTTTTTACATTTCTTTAAAAAAATCGCATCTTTCCCTTAACATATTCTCAAGTCCCAACGGTGATCCCACTTCTCCTCTAGGCCATGAAAGTTGGAGTTAGAGTTAGCGTTCAAGTCTCAGAGTTAAACATGACCAATTACTTTGCGCTCGACGCTGGTTGACAAAACATTTTCACATCTTTTCAATAACAATCAGAAAACTTACCATCACAACCAGGACTTTTGCTGCCTCTCCCATGACGCTCACTGCGAACACTTTCACTTTACTTTCGATTCACGCGGAGACCCCGCGTTGACCTCCAGATTTAACCATTAACGCTTCAAGTCCCAAAGCCAGTTACTTTGACGGCTTTTAGTTTTTGACTCTTTGGTTTATTTCAGAATGATGCAAGCTGTTATGATTGTTATTATTATTTATACGCAGTTTTAGAACTTAATTAACAAAAAGAAAAAAAACCGTATGAATTACTTTAAAAAAATATATTATTTATCTATTGTGACAGAACAAAACAAAACAGAAAAGCGATACATCATTTTAACAAAGGAAGTCTTTTTTTTTTAAGTGCACAAAGTTTACAAATGATTCTGTGGCTTCCATTTTGCATAAGTGTGAACATTTTTTGCATTGATGGATATTTGACATAATACTAAGGGAGATAACTGTCTCTGTATACAGCAACTTCATTATTCAAGCACTCAAACAGTAAGTGAAACTTAAACACAATTTTAAAAATTCCACAGATATCACAAGGCAACACACTCTGAAATTCTCCTCACCACTTCTGGATAAATTGGTCTTTCAGTGTTCCTGCTACAGTGAGTTTCAGCCACTCCGCACTGATGATTACCTCACCTGTCCAGATGTAAGACAGATCTCAGCTGTCTGCGATCTGTTTCACCTGTAATAACCATGGAGACACATATTCTCCTTAGTTGAATAAATCAAGCATATTGTACAATGTTTTACAAAGTTTGGTTCACAAAGAAATGCTGAATCATGTGTAAGAACAAACATTAAAGTAACTTGTCACTGACAAATATTAAATTCTTATTATGGCTTTTCTCCAAATTGATCCCAACGAGGAGCTGCTCCATCTCAAGTTGAATCTAGAATCTGGTTCTGGTCGAAGATTTGCATGAAAAGCAAAGCTCAGTTATACAAAGACATTTAATTGTAAGATAAAGGTAAATAAGGAAGTGCAGTCTTTATAAAAGCTTTTAATTCAGACGTGACTGATATAAATACATACAAATACATAAGAAAAATGTTCTTTACATCTATGAAGCACATTTAGACATTGACCTGGAGAGAGAGAGTGGACTCATGAAGCACAATTAGACATAAGACATGTGACATAAAAAGTTTCAAATATTTACACTATTCATAAAAAGCAGCAGATGAGTCTCAGTAACAGGACATCACAACACGTGTGTGTGTGTGTAAACTATATACACATCTTTGTTGTTCATGTACAGAATGTAGCCACCAGTTTGCAGATGGCCTCCCTGAAAACACAGATTACAGATTAAAGAATAGAGATAAGAGTAATAAACAAATTAGAGATTAGGGATAGGCAGCAAAAACAGATAATAGATTAGAGATAGGCAGCATAAACAGATAATAGATTAGGGATAGGCAGCATAAACAGATAATAGATTAGGGATAGGCAGCATAAACAGATAATAGATTAGGGATAGGCATCATAAACAGATAATAGATTAGAGATAGGCAGCATAAACAGATAATAGATTAGGGATAGGCAGCATAAACAGATAATACAGGCATGTCAAAGTCAAATACATCAGAGGGCCAAAAAAAAATTTTTGCTACGAGCCGAGGGCCGGACTGGTTCAATGTTTCTCAACATCCAGAGGCAGTGCCGGTGACACCTGTTGGCTCGATAAAATATGCTCTAAAGCCAATCCTCATACTGTACATATTAGATGTAATAGACATCTGAGAACATGAAAATAGTAAAAAAAAAAAAAGCTCAAACTTGGTGAAATGTAAAAGAGCAGTCTGGACCTCTTTTCGGGGCGTTTTTTGATTAAATCTGCAGAATGGATTATACTTTGGGAAATACAAGTGGATATTCTTCTTCAATAGACAGTTACGGAGAGAAAGCGACTAAGCAAGGATGGGGAAAGTCTAATTTGTTGGAGCAGCAGAAGACGAAAGGTAAAAAACAAATACAGACGTGATTTATTTTGTGCCCATATTATGCGTTATATCTTTTTAATGCAAAGTCTGATATCGTTTACACTTACATATAAATATAGCTGAGAAAATAAGCTTTAAAATGATATATAGCTTGTGGCTTATGAAGTTCAAAATACATCTGCTATTGCCAGCAGATGTATTTTTTCCTCGTTTGCTCCCGCCGGCGGGGGCTAGCGAGCTTAAGGGGTCAATACATTGCCTCAATGGCAGGCAATGTCCCGGGGGCCCTAGATAATTCATTCGCGGGCCGGATTTGGCCCGCGGGCCTTGACTTTGACACATGTGAGATAATAGATTAGGGATAGGCAGCATAAACAGATAATAGATTAGGGATAGGCAGCAGAAACAGATAATAGATTAGGGATAGGCAGCATAAACAGATAATAGATTAGAGATAGGCAGCAGAAACAGATAATAGATTAGGGATAGGCAGCATAAACAGATAATAGATTAGAGATAGGCAGCATAAACAGATAATAGATTAGAGATAGGCAGCATAAACAGATAATAGATTAGGGATAGGCAGCATAAACAGATAATAGATTAGGGATAGGCAGCATAAACAGATAATAGATTAGGGATAGGCAGCATAAACAGATAATAGATTAGGGATAGGCATCATAAACAGATAATAGATTAGAGATAGGCAGCATAAACAGATAATAGATTAGGGATAGGCAGCATAAACAGATAATACAGGCATGTCAAAGTCAAATACATCAGAGGGCCAAAAAAAATTTTTTGCTACGAGCCGAGGGCCGGACTGGTTCAATGTTTCTCAACATCCAGAGGCAGTGCCGGTGACACCTGTTGGCTCGATAAAATATGCTCTAAAGCCAATCCTCATACTGTACATATTAGATGTAATAGACATCTGAGAACATGAAAATAGTAAAAAAAAAAAAAAGCTCAAACTTGGTGAAATGTAAAAGAGCAGTCTGGACATCTTTTCGGGGCGTTTTTTGATTACATCTGCAGAGTGGATTATACTTTGGGAAATACAAGTGGATATTCTTCTTCAATAGACAGTTACGGAGAGAAAGCGACTAAGCAAGGATGGGGAAAGTCTAATTTGTTGGAGCAGCAGAAGACGAAAGGTAAAAAACAAATACAGACGTGATTTATTTTGTGCCCATATTATGCGTTATATCTTTTTAATGCAAAGTCTGATATCGTTTACACTTACATATAAATATAGCTGAGAAAATAAGCTTTAAAATGATATATAGCTTTTGGCTTATGAAGTTCAAAATACATCTGCTATTGCCAGCAGATGTATTTTTTTCCTCGTTTGCTCCCGCCGGCGGGGGCTAGCGAGCTTAAGGGGTCAATACATTGCCTCAATGGCAGGCAATGTCCCGGGGGCCATAGATAATTCATTCGCGGGCCAAATCCGGCCCGCGGGCCTTGACTTTGACACATGTGAGATAATAGATTAGGGATAGGCCAAATAAACAGATAATAGATTAGGGATAGGCAGCATAAACAGATAATAGATTAGGGATAGGCAGCAGAAACATAATAGATTAGGGATAGGCAGCATAAACAGATAATAGATTAGAGATAGGCAGCAGAAACAGATAATAGATTAGGGATAGGCAGCATAAACAGATAATAGATTAGAGATAGGCAGCATAAACAGATTATAAATGAGCCAACACTCACCTCACACACGGGATGTATGACAGACTGTACCTGAGGAGAGAAACGTAATGTCATATACAAACTGTACCTAAGGAAATGCCGGTTAGAGCGTTCTGGCTTTAAGGTTTGGATGAGAAGAGGACAATTCATGTTAAAGGTTCATTCATTTTTATAGTTGCTCCAAATGAAAACACATGATACAATCACAAGTGTCCGAAGAACATTCACCACCTTGTTATAGACTTGATGTAAATGGTTCTTATGTAAAAGCACCATGGAGGGCTCAGTGGGGGCGGGCCTCGGCTCCAAAAGGTCCATGAGCTGACATGCTTGCCATCTGACTCTGGGCCGGAGGGGGTGTACCCGGAAAGAGAATTACCCAATGCTTTTGTATGGTGTTTTCTTTCCTCTCCAAAACGGCAAAGAGCCAATGCTGAAGGGAGTATATATTTTTTGACAAGTTTTATTTAGCCTCTGTGGACTTCAGAATGCACTCGTAAAATGAATGGGGCCAGTGCCGGCTAACGCATGCGAAAATGCGTTTACATTTTGAAAAAGGCCCACAGAAGGGAAAAGTGGTGGCACATTACTTTCAACGACTGAGATAGGCGTGACTACGTCCGTTAATATTTGCAATCTATGGGAGGACTACAGTTAGGTCAAAGAACCATGATGGAGCACAGTTATGAAGAACGGCCCGAACAAGAATCTTTTTGAAAAAGAATTATGTAAAAATCTAGAAACCGGCAGCGTCAACATTGCAAATACAGGCACCAAAAACTTTCGACTATTATATATCAGCCAGATATATATATATATATATATATATATATATATATATATATATATATATATATATATATATATATATATATATATATATATTATATAATTATTATATATTTATGTGTATATATATACACACATATATATATATATATATATATATATATATTATATAATTATTATATATTTATGTGTATATATATATATACACACATACACATATACACATATATATGTAGCCGGGTCAAATAATAATAGGACGAACGGCAGATACTGTCCCCGGTTTGGCCAGTAGAGGGTGCTGTTACAGCGCGTGTGGTTGGGAGGCGTCAGGTGCTGCACGTGAGACGTTACCCTGGCAACGCCTTGAGAGACGTTGGATGGTGCGCTGGCAAGTTGTGGCACCAAAAACGGTAAATAGAGATAACAAAAAAGGATTTAATGATAAAATTATCTTTTTGTATATCTACTGCATTATATCTGATGATTTCTGCTCTATATATCTGTAGATCTGGTGTTGGTAGAAGGCATACATACGTAACACTGTCAGACCTGCGTGTATAAAGCCGTTGGTCAACGTTTTGGCGTGAGTTGACAGATCACTATGTTAGTTACATGTTTAAGGTTTATTTTAAATGGTTATTCATGAAATGTACTCACTATTTGCTTTATGCAGAGGGGAGAAAGACCACTGTTATATTCTCAGTTGTTCTGGATTTGGTTTGAGCTGTGTTCCTACCAGACTGAAAGTGAGTGCAGATTGTTAACTGATATTTCCATTTCCATTCTATAAATGAACATTTTACATGTATTTATTTTGTTTATTATAGTGAGCCTACACCAGTTGTTTTGTAGTCCACTACTGTTGTCTTGTCTTGTCTTATTTTTGAGAATGAAGTGTTTATTTTAATTTTATGTGAATTGAGTAACGTTGTTAAATAGAAAGAAAAGAAAAAGCCAAAAATACCTGAATTAATGCTGTCTTTCTCTAGAGGCAGTCGGAAATTAAAGAACCACAAAATCTTTGGAGCTTGTCTTGGGTACATTATTTTCCTGATTCAAAATAGTACCAACCACTATCATCTGGTGACAAGCATTTTTGGTGTCAGAAGTGGGATTTCCTGGTATTATTGGCTCTTTTAAAGAGATATATTTATATGTTTTGACATTATTACAAGACAACAGTAGTGGTGAAGAGGATATTCACCCTGAGTATACTACTGCAAGTGATTCACTGCAACGCTTACGAAGGACGTGAGGACTAGAAGATGATGGACGAAGAGAGCAGACCTGAGATGCATCTTCCTGGCCCTAGTAATGTCAGAGGTGATTCGGCTGAACCTCTTGTAGAGAGTGGTAACCAATTATTAGAGTTACAAAGAAAGTTAAATGAACTGACTCAAAAACATGATGCAATGATTTCAAGTATAGGTTCTTTGGGTGATTCACAAACAAGGTCTATTGTATATGTACCAAGAGAGAAGCAAATTGTGCCATTTAATGGTGATCCAGGGAAAGATGCCCACTCCGTAAATGAGTTTATTGAAGAAGTTGAGCGGGCTATAAGTCTGAGAGGTCTAAGGGACAGAGATCAAGTAGACTTTATCTTTTCACATTTAAAAGGTTCTGCATTAGATGAGATTAAGCTTCGTACATATGGACAAAATGTTGAAACCCAAGATTTGTTTTTGTACTTGCGTGAAGCGTACAACACCACAGTTGTTACATGCATTCTATGCACGCAGACAAGCTGACGGAGAAGATTTGCGGAATTATTCCCATGCCCTCTCTCAATTGTTGAATTCTGCCCTTTTAACCTCTCCTAATGTCGTGCATGACCCACAGCTTGCGATACGTGACCAGTTCATTGAAGGGGTTCGTGATTCTTCCCTCCGTCGTGAGCTTCGAAGACTTACCAGAGAGAGACCACAGTCCAGTCTGATCTCTGTCCGTGAAGAAGCCCTTATGTGGAGCCTGGAGGATCACAACAGAGCTTTAAATATAGGAAGAAGCAGACCCCTTGTTGGAGAAACTCTAAATGAATATCCTTTAAATGTTAAGTCTGACCACAAAGTTGAACATGACTTGGCCTCAACACTGCAAGAAGTAGTAAAAATAATAGCCCAGCAAGGTCAGGCTATTGGAGAGCTAACCACTGCGGTACGAGAGCTAAAGACCAATAAAGCAGTTCAGAACATGACCACTAGGCCAAAAGTAACCCCCAAATATACTGATGATGGCCAGCCAATCTGTCTAAGATGTGAGGGAGTTGGACACATGGCTAGGCAGTGTCCGGCTCGCAAAGCTCAAACACACTCAAGCCAAAATGTATCTGCGGTACAGGGAAACCAGATCCCTCGATTGCTATGAGCCAAGCAATGCGAGGAAAGTCAGAGGGCTCCGCAAAAATTTTAACCAAGAAGCGCTTTTTAAGAAATGCTGTGGGAAAGTGCCCCATGGTAAACATTGAGATAGGTGGCGTTCCCCTCCAGTGCGTCATAGATTCAGGAAGCAATGTTAGCACGTTGAGTGAGAACTTTTTCAGGAACCGTCTCGATGGGGAAGATGAAGACATCATCTGTACATCCAAATGGTTGAGAATCACTGCTGCAAACAAATTGCCACTTCCATACCTGGGGTATGTTGAGTTAGATATCCAAGTAATGGGAATAACAATTCCTGAATGTGGATTTCTGATCATAAAAGAGGACAAAACAGAAACATCTGAGCCTGATCTATCTCCTCCAGGCATTATTGGAATGAACATAGCAAAACGGTGCAGAGAGTTGATACTAACAGAGTTTGAGACGGTGCTTGGAGGAGAACTGGATTCGGAATGGAGAGAGGCCGTTCACAAAGTACAAGAGGCAGAACTGGTGGAAAAAGCAGCTATGGCTCGGATAACAACAAAAAACAACTGCCATCTGCCTGCACTTTCAGTGTCCACAGTTTATGTAAGAGGCCCGAAGAGAGACTCTGACAACACATCCTCTCTAGTCTTGGAGCCAGGCAATCTTTCCTTACCTGGTGGTGTTATTGTTATGCCCACTGTTGTCTCAGCTAATAGTCCGGTGTTTCCAGTCCAAGTAATCAATTTCTCACCTGATGATGTGTGGCTCCCAGGAAATTCTAGGCTAGGGTATTTATCGCCATGCAAGTGTATTGAGACAGGTGACCCTTTTGAAGTTCAATTTCAACGTGTATCAGCGTCACATGAGGAAGTAACAGTTAGTAAAATAGGCACAGACAAACCAGACAAAGACATGCAAGACCTATTTGAGCAGTTACATTTAGGTGGTACAAGTGAGCAACAGGCAGAATTGAAGGCACTGTTATTCAAGTATGCAGATGTTTTTGCAATGCAGGATGAAGATTTGGGCTACACAGACAACGTCCAACATGAGATACCTGTATTGGATGAGGTCCCCATTAACCAGCCTTACAGAAGGATCCCACCAAATCAGTATAAAGAGGTGAGAGACCACATCTCAGAACTGCTAAGAAAAGGTGTTATCAAAGAAAGTTCAAGTTCTTATGCGTCCCCAATAGTTTTGGTCTGCAAATCTGATGGTAGTCTAAGACTATGCGTGGACTACAGAAAGCTAAACTTGAAAACCAGACGTGATGCATTTCCATTGCCCCGTATTGATGAAAGTCTGGACGCATTGAGTGGTGCAGAGTTCTTTTCAAGCATTGATCTTGCAAGTGGTTACCACCAAGTTGCAGTCCATGAAAAAGACAGGCACAAAACTGCTTTCACCACTCCATTCGGCTTATATGAATATCTACGTATGCCATTTGGATTATGTAATGCACCTGCAACTTTCCAGCGCTTAATGCAAGGAACAATGAGCGACCTCATCTTCCAGATTGTTATCGTGTACTTGGACGACCTGCTCGTGTTCTCAAAAACTTTTGAAGAACACCTTGAAAGGCTGGAAACTGTTCTCCAGAGACTGAAAAATACAGGTTTAAAAGTGAAAGTTGAAAAGTGCAGATTTCTCCAGTCAAATGTTAAGTTCTTAGGCCATCTGGTTTCAGCTCAGGGTGTAGGTACTGATCCTGAGAAAGTTAGCGTTGTAAAGTCATGGCCCCCTCCTAACTCTGTAAAAGAACTTCGCTCTTTTCTTGGTTTCTGTAGTTATTACAGGCGGTTTATTGAAGGGTTTTCACAAGTAGCAGGACCTCTTCATGATGTTGTTAATAACTGTATTAAGGAGAAGACCCCATTTAAGGCCAAACAGTTATTCCAGACAGCCTGGTCT